ACCCAAGTAATTCACACTTTCTGAAAGCCTCTCCTCCTTCCGGAGGGGAGGGATTGTGAGGGGGAGACGATTCCCGTGTCATGCAGGGGGCATTCTGCCCCCTGCCCTCTCATCATTGCTGGCGCGCCACGCCTCCCAGTTGGGCACCCAATCGGGTGCCGCCACGGGGGTGTGGTTTAGCCGCTCAAATGCGGCTGTGCCAGCTCTCCCCGCCATTGCGCTTCAGATTTTCCACGAGTCGTTTCTCTCTACCCATGGTTGGTCGCCCTGGTTGCCCAGGGGGCCTGGTAGGAGGTTTTTCCAATTGGCAAATTGGCACCTGCCTTTTGGTGGTTTTTTTTTTCGTAGCAATTGTCACAACTTTCTTTGTATTTGGCAGTTAGGCATTGGAATGTGTTGTTGGTGCATGGAAGGGCAAGGTGTGGCCATCGCCTACCCCTTCATTTATGGGTATTCCGTTAAAGGAATCTGGCGGTCGTGGATCCTGTCCGATGCCCTGTGTTGCGGGGGGCCATGGCACAACCCTCGGTGACATCAGGGGAGAGCTTATAGTTGTATTTGCATCTACAGGCTCCCCCTACTGGTGGTTAACCCCTCATCAGACTCACCCCTCTCCGAGTGGGTGGAGTCAAATTTGCTGTGGTCCAATGCCTAAGCCAATACCTTCTCACATGCTGTAATCAATAAAGTTGTGGCCTTTCTTGCCCATTAACCTAATATACTGTGTCCACGTGTTTTCATTCCCCAAGTGGGGATCGGGTCCTCGAATCACAAACAATATGCAAGCGGAAATGCACATTGCAAGAGGCCTGGCCTACAGGGCCTTTCGGTCCCTTCCAACCCTACATTTCTGTGAGACGCAGCTATCCTTTGAAATTCACGCTTCTTCGAATTTTGCAGCACAGTTCACCCGCCAAACAAATGGATACAAAAATATACCAGGGTAAAATGTGCATATAAATTCATCCATTGGTGAAAACAACATGCAAACGTCCATTGTGTTAGGGGACGTTGCTTTGCAAAAAAAAGTGTGCATTGGGGGGAAATGCATACAAAAATTTGTTGCTGTTGGTGGTGGTGGTGCTAGGGTGGGTGAAAATTCAGAAGAAAAGCAAATTACAGCCATGGGAAAAGGGTGGGTCCTGAAAACACCTCTCAGGTGTCAAAGACCAGGTTAAAGAGGTGCATCTTTTAAATGAGGACTTCTTGTTGTTCCTTTGTCTTAAGGGAAGGGCTGCATGCAGAAAGTCCCTGCTTCAGTCTCCGACATCTCCAGGTAGGGCTAGGAGTGAGTCCCTGTCTGATACCCTAGAGAGCTGCTGCCAATCAATGTAGACCAGGGATTCCCCAACTTGGGTCCCCAGCTGTTTTTGGGGTGTGTTTTTTTTTAAAAAAATATTCATTTTATAACACAAATAAAGAACACAAACAGAAAAACAAACAATACAAACAAATTCTTGTCATATCCTAATTTTCCTAAACATTGTTAAGTGGGCTTCCCCAAGTCCCACCTATCTGATTTTCATTTTACTTCACCTTTAGCAGTTTACAGTGGCACCTCAGGTTACATACGCTTCAGGTTACATACAATTCAGGTTACAGACTCCGCTAACCCAGAAATAGTGCTTCAGGTTAAGAACTTTGCTTCAGGATGAGAACAGAAATTGTGCTCTGGCGGCGTGGCAGCAGTGGGAGGCCCCATTAGCTAAAGTGGTGCTTCAGGTTAAGAACAGACCTCCAGAACGAATTAAGTACTTAACCCGAGGTACATATATCATAGTTTCTAACCATCTTTTTTTATTATACTTAAATTAACTTCACATTTTATCACTTACAAATTTTAAAATACACTATCTTCTGCTTCTAACCCTCCAGCCTATATCCACTTCCAAAGCTATTCTAAGATTTAAATATTAACATATTTTTTCAAATATTCCTTAAACTTCTTCCAGTCTTCTTCCACCGTCTCTTCTCTCTAGTCTGGGAGTCTCCCGGTCAGTTCAGCAAGTTCATATAGTCCATCATCTTCACCTGCCATTCTTCGATAGTTGGTAAATCTTGTTTCTTCCAATTCTTTGCTAGCAATATTCTCACAGCTGTTGCGCCATACAGAAAAAAAGTAACATCCTTTTTGGGGATTTCACCCCCCCCCCCCCTATACCAAGCAAAAAGGCTACAGGTTTTTTAATAAATATATTTTTCAACACTTTTTCCAGTTCATTATAAATCCTTTCCCAGAAGTCTTTTTATCTTGGGGCACGTTCACCACATTCCAGCTGTTTTTTGGACTACAACTCCCATCATCCCTAGCTAGCAGGGATGATGGGAATCGTAGTCCAAAAAACAGCTGGAGACCCAAGTGGGGAAACCCTGGTGTAGACAACACTGAGCTAGATGAACCAACTGTCTAACTCGGAATAAGGCTGCTTCCAATGTTCCTAGGGAAAGACTCTTCCTTATACAGTGGTACCTGGGGTTACAGACGCTTCAGGTTACAGACGCTTCAGGTTACAGACTCCACTAACCCAGACATAGTACCTCGGGTTAAAAACTTTGCTTCAGGATGAGAATAGAAATCGCGTGGCGGCAGCGGGAGGCCCCATTAGCTAAAGTGGTACCTCAGGTTAAGAACAGTTTCAGGTTAAGAATGGACCTCCAGAACGAATTAAGTTTTTAACCTGAGGTACCACTGTACCTGTCGATTCCTTATCTCTCTGTGCTTATCCCACCTCCATCCCAGTGGCTCTGGCGTTCCTTTGCGACTCAAAAGTGGAACGTGATTTCTCTCTCTCTCTCTCTCTCTCCGCTTCCCCATTCTTCCTACCCCAGCTCCCTCGGAATGCCACGTCACTTTGGGTTTTGCCACTCGCCCTGAGTGGTTGGCATGGTGTGACAAGCTGGCTGCCCTCGGGCGTCCTCAAGTGGCTGGCACTCTGATCCAAAGCGATTTTGCGGACCCGCCACCCGGTGCCAAAGGCAAATGGGAGACAGGAGTGTGCAGGCCTCTGTTCACTTTTCTTTGCTAGGGAGTCACTCAAGGGGAAGCAGAACTGTAGAAGTGTCCACCTAAAATAACCCCCTTTTCAAAAACTATGCATCTTATTACTGCTTCCTTTACGAGGAACCAAAACCCAGGTGGGCTTTCTTAGCAATTTTACAATACAGTGGTACCTCAGGTTACATATGCTTCAGGTTACATATGCTTCAGGTTACAGACTCCGCTAACCCAGAAATAGTGCTTCAGGTTAAGAACTTTGCTTCAGAATGAGAACAGAAATTGTGCTCCGGTGGCGCGGCAGCAGCGGAAGGCCCCATTAGCTAAAGTGGTAGCTCAGGTTAAGAACAGTTTCAGGTTAAGTATGGACCTTCGGAACAAATTAAGTACTTAACCTGAGGTACCACTGTACTTATTAGCTCCTACCCTGCACCATTTAGGTCACGGAGTGGGTTGTAACTAAAGACAGGGGAATATGTCAATTTCAGCTTTTCATTTTTCCACTCTTAAGATCATAATTTTGATTTTTTAAAACAAAGGTTCAGGAAGTCTTATGAACGTAGAAAGTTGTCTTCTGCTGAGTCAGACCTTTGGACTATATACCTCAGTATTGTCTACACCAAGGCCTCATTTGTGACTAGACATTTAATGCAGTATCTTCTTCTTCTTTCTTCTTTGGCGATCACTCATAGCTGAGTAAGATTGTCTTCCATAAGCACGGTTTTAAAAGCGAGTCTGCGATTCTCCAGTGTTTGGACTTCACCCCAAGAAACGCACTCCATTGTCTTTCGATAGAAACAGGTGCCAACAATACCTCTTTAAACAGTCATGGCTTCCCCCCAGAGGATCATGGGAGCTGTCCTTTGTTAAGGGTGCTGAGGGTTGTTTGAGGACCTCCATTCCTCTTCCAAAAGTTATGTACACACTATACATTTAAAGCAAATTCTTTCCCTCGGTGAATTATGGCCACTGTAGTTTGGTTAAGTTGTTAGCAATTGTAACTCTGTGAGGGGTAAACTACAGCGCCCAGAATTCTCTGAGGGAAAGAATGTGCTTTAAAGGTAGAGTGCATAGAATTTTCAATGTGGTTTAATGATCAACCCCTCTTCCAAGGGAACTCCAGGAATTTTGGCTCTCTGAGAGTGAACAGGTAGCCTTCTAACAATTCTCAACACTCTTAACACACTACACTTCCCAAGATCCTTTGGGGGAAGCCATGACTATTTAAAGTGGCATGATACTGCATTAAATACATAGTGCAGATGGGACCTATGCAAACCCTCCAACTGTCCCTATTTTCCAGAGACAGACCCAGATTTGCAGAAGCCATCCATCCCAATTTCTGATTTGATCCTGGAATGTCCTGCTTTTCCTTAGGATGTCCCTACTATACAACCTAGGGACGCGGGTGGTGCTGTGGGTTAAACCACAGAGCCTAGGACTTGCCAATCAGAAGGTCGGTGGTTCGAATCCCCGTGACGGGGTGAGCTCCCGTTGCTCGGTCCCTGCTCCTGCCAACCTAGCAGTTCAAAAGCACTTCAAAGTGCAAGTAGATAAATAGGTACCACTCTGGCGGGAAGGTAAATGGCATTTCCGTGCGCTGCTCTGGTTCGCCAGAAGTGGCTTAGTCATGCTGGCCACATGACCCGGAAACTGTACGCCGGCTCCCTTGGCCAATAAAGCGAGATGAGCGCCACAACCCCAGAGTCGGCCATGACTGGACCTAATGGTCAGGGGTCCCTTTACCTTTACCTTTACTATACAACCTTTAGAAGACATCTGAAGACAGCCCTGTATAGGGAAGTTTTTTTTAAATGTATAATGTTTTATAATGTTTTTATATATAGTGGAAGCCACCCAGAGTGGCTGGGGCAACCCAGACAGATGGACGGGATAATAATAATAATAATAATAATAATAATAATAATAATAATAACAACAACAATTGAATAGGATATCCCTATTTTCATCGGAGAAATGTTCAGGGTTCTCTCCCAGCGCTTCTTAGATACGCTGGGGGTTGAACCTGTGACCTTCTATGCACAAAACAGAAGCTCTGCCACTGAGCTACAGCCCTTCCCTTATGACATCTGAAGACAGGAAGCTGCCTTATAGTGAGTCAGAGGCTTGGTCCACCTGGCTCAGTATTGTCTGCACTGACTGGCAGTGTTTCAGGCAAGAGAGCTTTTTCTAGCTCTGCCTGGAGATCCCGGCAACTGAACCTGGGACCTTCTGCATGCAAAGCAGATGTTCAGTCACCACCGAGTGACGGCACTCCCCCCCCCCCGTAAAATCAGCCATAAGGGATGTAAGGTAAAGGTAAAGGGACCCCTGACCATTAGGTCCAGTCACGGATGACTCTGGGGTTGCGGCGCTCATCTCGCTTTATTGGCCGAGGGAGCCGGCGTACAGCTTCCGGGTCATGTGGCCAGCATGACTAAGCCGCTTCTGGCAAACCAGAGCAGCGCACGGAAATGCCGTTTACCTTCCCACCGGAGTGGTACCTATTTATCTATTTGCACTTTGACGTGCTTTCGAACTGCTAGGTTGGCAGGAGCAGGGACCGAACAACGGCAGCTCACCCCGTCGTGGGGATTCGAACCGACAACCTTCTGATCGGCAAGTCCTAGGCTCAGTGGTTTAACCCACAGCAGATGTACAACATCATTATTTGGCTTGGGGGTGTCTCGGGGCATCCGCAAGCAATTAAAAATAGCTTTGGTGGACCAGCCCAAGAGTGAGATCAGAGTCAACGCTGTTTCTATGTTCTGAAGTGTCACCTTTCAAACTGGTGCCCCAACGGCTTGTGGGGGAACTTATTTCATTATTTACGGGCAGAGTTGGATTCCACACGAAAGTGATGACAAGTGACCTGTCTGGACTTTGACACTTGTTGCCAGAAACATTGCGACCTGGTTTTCACCCTGCTGTGTCATTCCCTGGGTTGATTAGTTTACAACTAGGTTGTCCATCATCAGATATATACCGACGTACGATTTATTTTGTAGTTATTTCAACAATTTATATACCAACAGAGACTCCTTCTCCTCAGAGTATTGCGAAAGAACGATGTCAATCAACATTTGATGATCTCCTTCTACCGGTCCACAACAGAAAGTGTCCTTTCATACTGCATCATGGTGTGGTACGCTGGTTTGACATCAACTGATAGGAAGTGGCTACAGAGGGTGGAGAATACAGCACAAGATATTATGGGCTGTCCCGTGAATCCACTGGATGAAATAGCGGAAGAACGTTGCCTCAGGAGAGTGAGGAAAATTCTCAGGGATGATTCACACCCTGGCCAGCACTTTCTTGATCTCCTGCCCTCAGGCAGAAGATATAGAAGCATGATTAGTCACACCAACAGGGTAAAGAACAGCTTCTATCCCTGGGCTGTTAGGCTGCTGAATGAAAAGATAACAACAGGGCAACTGACTTTCGGGTTTGGTGGGTGGGTGTCAGTAAATGAGGGGAATTAAGACTAAGAGAGCTGAGTGGCGGGTGCTCGTTTAATCTCACTGTATACAAGTTGTACAAGTGAAAATAAAGTATTTCAATTTCAATACTGCTTAATGCCGGCGTCCCTTGGCTCTGCATGATAAGTTAATGGGAGATACAATAAAGATGCAATCAGTTAAAATCAACCAGAAGATCAGAAAACTTGCTTTAAATGCCTGCGGAAATCAAAGGGCCCCTACAGATTGGTCCAGATTGACTGGAAGTGGGATTGCATATATATAACCAATATGCTGGGTATGTGCCTTAAAGGTAAAGGGACCCCTGACCATTAGGTCCAGTCATGACCGACTCTGGGGTTGCAGCGCTCAACTCGCTTTATTGGCCGAGGGAGCCGGCGTACAGCTTCCGGGTCATGTGGCCAGCATGACTAAGCCGCTTCTGGCGAACCAGAGAAGGAAACGTCGTTTACCTTCCCGCCGGAGCGGTACCTATTTATTCTACTTGCACTTTGACGTGCTTTCAAACTGCTAGGTTGGCAGGAGCAGGGACCAAGCAACGGGGGCTCACCCCGTCGCAGGGATTCAAACCGCCAACCTTCTGATCGGCAAGTCCTAGGCTCTGTGGTTTAACCCACAGTGCCACCCGCGTCCCAGTATGTGCCTTACCCTGTTGTAAAGCGTGGAGGAGAAGAATTATGTGTGGGCCACCTTGAGTTCCTCAGAGGAGTGGTGGGAGTCAAATATAAGAAATAAATACCCGTACTACATGTGAGATTCCCTATTTCTCTCTCCCCTGTTTAACCCTCTCTCGATAGAGTGCTTCCTTAAATTTGTGGACTTATTTTGGCTGGTCTGAATGAATGGGCATGTGAGTCTGAGTCACTCAGATAGTATTACTGAACTCAACATTTGACCGAGCCAGCTGCAACCCTAGGCCAACTCTGCAACCTGCGACTGACTTCGTATCATAACAACCAAAGGACTTGAGTGCCACTGATTATTTGGTTTCCATCTTTTATGGGCTGCCTCAGACATGCCCATGAGAACCTTGGGAAAGATTTCGGCAGCTCAATCTCTGGCACTTAAGCTGCAATGAAAAGCTGCAGTTGCCAACTTTTCCACTGGACTGAAATTGCATCTCTCCCTCTCTCCAGAGCAGGTTGCGTTGTTCTCTGTATCCTATCCAGGAATCTGGATTTGGCAACCCCTACCTGGATCAGGCCACGAATAGCTTGCAGATGGTACTGTGTGTATGCCAGTTTATTTCCAGGGACTTGCCCTGGATTGCAATCCAGTGCCTAATTTTCTAGAAATGTTCTGGTGTCAGTGTTTACTAGCAGATCCCCCGGGGACTGTGGGATGCCCACACTTCCACCCTAAAGTCCAACCCATACTTGAGGGAATTTAAACACTTAAAAAAACCAAAAACACCCTGAAACAAACCTTTTCATATTCTCAAAACCAGAAGGCTTTTAAAGGGGGAAAGTCAGTTGTTAAAATTCCTCTGGAATTTAATACCAGGAAGTTTGTGTTGACAAAAATGCCATTGGGGTGTGTGCGAAAATATGATCCGTCCGTAAGGCCTTAATATGTTTTTATGAAGGGAGGAGATAGGAAATTATGACAACTCTTTCAATGCGCAGGATGGATTTGCGTGGGCTGTGAGCAGAGTTTCTTTTAATGGGTTTTCCACTGGGGAAAAGTAACACGGAATAACAAGCCGCAGATATGGAAAGATTTCTCTCCTTTAAAAAGGAAGTCAAAGGCCTTGGGATATATTGGGAGGAAAGGCAGAAGGGAAGTGGAAGGGAGCCAGGCTTCACTCCCAGGGAGATTATCAATTTTGCCCAAAATTCTACCAACTTTTTTTCAGAAAGGGCTCCGATGCATTAAGGCAGCTGTATTGCAAGCAGAAACCCATCCTGTGCCCTCACTGTGTCTCCATGGCAGGAAAAGCTTCACCTGATGAGTAACACTGACTTCCCTAGGTGCTGAAGGCATAGGAGCTTTGCCACAGGGGAAAGTTGGCGACCTCAGGACCGTGATGACACGTGTAGTCTCTTGGGAAGTAAAACCCCACTGAAATCAGTGGGAATATACCTCCAAGAGAAGAAACGCACACTCTCTCACACACAGAGGTGTCAGTTGCACCAGGTCATGTTGTAGGTTTGCCACCTTTTTTAAACCAGCCAGGTTCCTGTGTATTTAAAAGTACCTGCTAGAAGTGTAGCAGGTAGAGTAGTGCAAACAACACCAGGGAACTTCACCAGCTACCAATTTAAAAAAGAAAAAAAATCCCTGTGTGTCTTAAAGGCAACAATTGCCAACTTTTTCAATTGCTAAAGGCACTGGAGCTTTGCCAGAGGAAAAAGTTGGTAACCATTTGTGAACCTTTCTTGCAGGGGAACAACAGCTGGATTTGCAGCATTTAGCAGGTGACACTTAAAAAAAATGTAAAGATTTTCCTAATGCAATTTAAGTACCCCCCCCCCCAAAAAAGAACATTAAAACAACTCCTGAAGCACAGACATTTATTGCCTACTAATTGCCTCAAATCCAGCCGCTGCTCCAGACACAGCTACAGAATCCAGGGGGGAAGTTGGCAACTCTACTCAAAGCGCAGGAACTTTTTCTCTTTTTCTTTTTTCCAAGGCTAGCATCCCGAGGGACTGGCCTGACCATGCCTGCTTTTTAGCTGTCCGCAATTCCGCGGAGGCTGGCCTAACTTTTTTAAAAAAGAAAAAAAGTCAGCAGCACCCACAAGAGAGGAAGGAGGGGGGGGTGTTGTTCTGCAAGCCACTCCTGTCAGAAAGGATTTACGACTTGGAAAAAGAAAAGGGGAAGAGAGCGAGGGAGAGAGAGAGAGAGACGGAGGAAAAAACTGACTTGGATATTTCGCAAGAGAGCAGGGAGTTTTGTCTCCTCTCTCTCTCTCTTTGCAAAGTCTGGGGAGGGTGGGCATCTCAGCTCAAGGCGAGAGTGGCACAGCAAGCACCAATCTGAATTCTCTCTGCGTGGTCCTCTTAACATGACTGCGCCCAGACTTCCCTTCTGTCTCTGCGGCGGCGTCAAGGTTCTGGGTTTAAGGTAGCTGCGCTCGCAGGAGTTGCTATGAGTTCCAGAGCCCTGCTCTTCCTTCTCTGGCTTCATGTTGCGCTGGGACAAACCCTCCTTCAAAGAGGTGAGTGAGTGGCTGGCTACGGAGACAGTCTGTTTTCCTCCAGCTCTGAGTTTTGCTGCTTCTTGCCTCTGTGTGTCTTTACTTCTTTATCTTGGTTTTTTTTAAAGAAAAAGGTGCGTTGGGTGTCCTCCAAAGTCAATATTTCCTGGAGTTGCTTTCGCACACACCTGAGCTTTCTCTCCTAGGAAATGCCAAGGGAAAGAAAGGATGCATAACTTCTATTATTTATTTGTATATTGAATTTATATACAGTACCCCCTTTTACTCCAAGGAGACCAAAGTGGCATGCATGGTTCTTCCCCCTCCTCTTATTTTATTTTATTTTTCAATTTTTTATACTTTTCAAGTTTATACATTTCACTAATTTTTCAATCATTTTAACATTTCAGAACTTGACTTCCTTCCCCCTCTTTGTGCGGTTCCTTAAATTTATTTTTAATATCCTCTGCATATCCAAATTAACTCAATTTGCTCATTTATTCTTCTACTTTAAATATATACTCTTATAAAACTGCAGGTTATTACAACATGGCAGGATTATTTCCCCCTCCTCATTCAGTCCCCGCAACAACCCTGTGAGGGAGTTTCGGCTGAGAGGCAGTGACTGGCTTCCAGTGAGCTTCAGGTCTGAGTGGGTATTCGAACCCTGATCTCCCAGGTCCTGGGAATTGTAGTTCACCTCTAACAGAACTGCAATTCCCAGCACCCTTAACAAACTACAGTTCCCAGAATTCTTTGGGGGGAGCCATTAACTTTCAATGTGCTGTACAGTGGTACCTCGAGTTACATACGCTTCAGGTTACATACACTTCAGGTTACGGACTCCGCCAACCCGGAAATAGTGCTTCAGGTTAAGAACTTTGCTTCAGGATGAGAACAGAAATTGTGCTCATGTGGCGCGGTGGCAGCGGGAGGCCCCATTAGCTAAAGTGGTGCTTCAGGTTAAGAACAGTTTCAGGTTAAGTACAGACCTCTGGAACGAATTAAGTATTTAACCCGAGGTACCACTGTATTTGTTTATTTCTTTTATATCCCATCTTTTTCTCCAAGGAGCTCAAAGTGGCATATGTAGTTCTCCCCCTCCTCATTTGTCCCCCACAACAACCCTGTGAGGTCGGCTGGGCTGAGAGTCTGTGATTGGCTTCCAAGATTACACGCAGTGAGCTTCATGGCCTAGTGGGGGGATTTGAACCCTGGTCTCCCAGGTCCTAGTCTGACCCTCTAACCAATGCACCACACTGCCTCTTCTTGAGACAGCCTCTTCTTATTTTCCTAACACACACCCCCTCTCACTGCACCTATGCTCACAGTTAGGAGTGTAACGCTCTCAGAGAAACCAAGATGAAAAGATGCTGTCCGTTATTTACGTAGCGCCGGCCACATGCGCAACATCGCAGAGAGTCACGCAGGCAAACAAACAAACAATAAATCTCTGCCCCAGTGAACTTACAGTCTCTGCTTCCTTGGTTCCCACCACCAGCGGAATGCAGGCCAATGCAGTGACGTGTATTTTACAACTTTGTTTCGGTGGGTGAGCATTAAGAGGGTTGCGTCTCGATGGGAGACTCAAGGATGCTTCCAGAGACTTGTTGCTATTTTGCAGGTGTGATTTCATCATGTCTCGGGAAATTTAGGCTGTGCCATGAAAGTTGCTTTGGTATTTCCCCACCAAAACTGATTTTTTTATTTTTTGCAATAAGGAAAGTGATGGGGAGGTGTGCGTTAAGGTTTCTCAAGGCAACACTGTTGAACCCCTCTGCAAACATATCTAGAATGAATGTTTGGTAAATCGCCGGTGGAATCTGACCGGCAAGTTTTGTGCAAGTGAATTGGGCTGAATTCTCAGTCAACAGGTCGTTCTGAAGCACTAAGGTGCTTTTTAATAGGCTAATAAGGCAGTTTCTGAACATTTGGCAAAGTCCCTTTCAGTTAGTCCAAGCCAAACAGTTTGCTGCCGGAAGATAAGTCCCATCTACTGTGGAATTTGACATGGCCACATGTTGTTTTGTGGGTAAACCACCGACAGCACCACAGCTACTGGTAAACAAGACATCCCTGCTCGGAGGGTTCCTGCTAGGAATTATAGCCAGTGTGGTGTAGAGGTTAGACTGCTGGAATAGGACCTGGGAGACCAGGGATCGATTCCCCACTCAGCTGGGAAGGTTGGGCCAGTCACTATCTCTCAGCCTAGTCTACCCCACAGGGCTGTTGTGAGGATAAAATGGGGGGGAGGGAGAACCCCAGACACTGCTTTGCACTCATTGGAGGAACGATGAGCTATAGATATATTGAATCAAAATAAATTAGGAGACATCGAGAATCATAGAATTGTAAAGTTGGAAGGGACCCCAAGGTTCACCTAATCCAACCCCCCAACCCCCTGCGATGCACGACTGCTTGAACACGGAAAGAGAATAATATCAATAATAATAAATGTTGTTAATAATAAATATAAATCATAATAATGGGTTACAGCCGATGCTAGTCCTGCTGGGAGTAGACTACAGTGGTACCTCGGGTTACATATGCTTCAGGTTACATACGCTTCAGATTACACACTCTGCTAACCTAGAAATAGTGCTTCAGGTTAAGAACTTTGCTTCAGGATAAGAACAGAAATCGGGCTCCAGCGGCACGGCGGCAGCAGGAGGCCCCATTAGCTAAAGTGGTGCTTCAGGTTAAGAACAGTTTCAGGTTAAGAACAGACCTCCGGAACGAATTAAGGACTTAACCCCAGGTACCACTGTAATTGAAATTAAGGAACCTTCGTTAGTAAGGACTATTGATTTCTATGTGACTGAAGCTGATCTCAAACTGACCTCAAACTGATTTTAAATAGTATGGGTTGTATTCTGGTCCTAGTCAGAGTAAACCCATTGGAATTAATAGCCATGACTCACTTAAGTCTGTTGATTTCAGAGGGGTTTGTTCAGACATTGGATACAACCCATGTAAGAATAATGTAATCATGTAATAAAAATAAAACAGAAGGAGACTTTGCAGGTGGTGGTGGGAATTGAGAACAACTCGTTGAATGTGTAAAGTTGAACAAGAGAAGTTCTTGCTAACTCTCACCATTTAGAGAGGGCTTTTTAATTTGGCATTCTATGCATTTTGTTCTCAGTGCTTATCAAAGACTTTGAGGCTACTCAGTGCTATTTTTCTGGAAAAAGAGGTGCTGGAACTTATCAGGAACACCTCCCTTGCTCTTTTAGAATGGCAATGGCACCCACCTGAGAGGTGCTGGAACTGAGTTCCTGTGAGTTCCGGCTGACAAAAAGCCCTGGGGCCGCCACCCCCTTGGTGCCAGAAAGTCATCCTCACTGGCCCCTACTCTATAAAAAGCATTATTCAGATTCACAGTTTGGACAACCTGCTGAAGAAGATAACAGCACAATAAAATTCAAAATAGTCACAGTTAATTGTTCACTTATTCAGAATCCAATTAAAACTATTTAGCTTAATGAATTCAGCCAAACTGAGGGACTTGATCCAGTGATACATGCTTTCCAAAGTCTGATAGTCGTTTACACCTCCAATGCCCCCCTGCCACCCACTTGCCTCTTAGCTGCCCCCTAAATAACCCCACTGCCCCCCCAGCAGGTAGTACTGCCCCCTTTGGGAAACATTCCCCCCCCCCAATTTTTTTTTATTCATTTTATAACACAACTAAACAAACAGAAAAAAACAGTACAAACAAATTCTTGTCTTATCCTTATTTATTCTAAACATTGTTAGGTGGGCTTCCCCAAGTCCCCCCTATCTGATTTTCATTATCTCATCTTTAGTAGTTTACATATATCATAATTTTTAACCATTTTTTTTATCACACTTACTTTTACCATAAAATCTTCACATTTTATCACTTACAAATAATACTGTTTTAAAATACACTATCTTCTACTTCTAACCCTACAGCCTATATCCACTTCCAAATCTATTCTAAGATTTAAATATTAACATATTATTTCAAATATTCTTTAAACTTCTTCCAATCTTCTTCCATCGTCTCTTCTCTCTGGTCTCAGAGTCTCCCGGTCAGTTTGGCAAGTTCCATCATCTTCATCTGCCATTCTTCGATAGTTGGTAAATCTTGTTTCTTCCAATTCTTTGCTAGTAATATTCTCGCAGCTGTTGTGGCATACAGAAAAAAGTAACATCCTTTTGGGAGATTTCACACACCCCACTTCTTGATAAATAAACATGTGGTCATTTAACTGGAGATAGCAATGAATGGATTGACCTTGGGGCCTTCCTTTTCCAAATCATGGGCTCTATCACTCAGCAAAATCCTTCAAATGGGTCTGAAAGGTCCTCAGATTTATCAGGGACTGACCTGGAGATTGTGACCCTGATACAAGGCAGGTCAGTTTTGCACACAGAGCAACACTGGTTCTAATATGCAGCCAGACCCTTTTTGTTCAGTGGGGAAATGCAACTTATTTTGCAACCGGTGATGTGAATCACAAGGAACTCGGTTGTGTACCTAAAGCAGACTTTGCCAATCTGGTGCGTTCCAGATATTGAGGAGTACAGTTCCCGAAAGGTTTTTCTGTTCTCCTGCAAATCTCGGGGGCTCCTCCTGTTAGCAACACCACTTAAATAACCCAGACAGTGCCCAGAGAGAAAAGAAATCCTGAAAACGCTTTACTGAGGAAGCTGAACAAAAACAATATATACCGTACTGTGAGGGGAAAGGAACAAAAAAAGGGTTTGCATTTCTTAGCTCAGGCCTCGTCCGTAGCTGGGAGACATTCAGAGGAAGGTAGCAGTGCAATTATTCTCCATTCAAGCAATGTGTACAGAAAAGTATATATTAGGGGAAAGTGTGCATATAAGTTAGGGAAAATAGTGAGGGGGGAATGGGCATATTTTTCAAAACTGCATACAAAAGTGTGTTTATCTGGAGAAAATTGCAGTAAAATTCTTAAGAATTGCAGTCGTCATCATTTTATTATGTATACCCGGCTTTTCCTTAACATGAAGCTTCACTTCACAGATGAGGAACCTTTCTTAGACTGAGGGCCACATTTCCTTCTGGGTAACCTTCCAAGGGCCACATGCTGGCAGTGGGTGGGGCCAGAGGCAGAAACGGGCGGAGCAACGACTGTGAAATTCTTACCTCTGAACACTCCTCTCTCTCTGTCCAAGCAAGAGTTCAAGGGCCCATTCCAGCCGGGCAAAAACCTTCAAGGAGGGTCCGGGGCAAGGCGAGAGGTGTGGCCTGAAGAGTGTGGCCAAGGAGGGGGTGTGGCCTGGGGAAGAGTCCTGAGGGCCAGCTAGAGAGGTCTGGAGGGTGTCATCTGGGAGCTAGGCCTGAGTTGCAAGGAAAGGCCAACAGAGAATGAGCAGAGAGTTAGGGTTGAATCCTGACAAGAGAGAAGTACTGTTTTGGGGGGACAGGGGGTAGGCAGGTGTGGGGGATTCCCTGGTCCTGAATGGAGTAACTGTTTCCCTGAAGGACCAGGTGCGCAGCCTGGGAGTCATCTTGGACTCACAGCTGTCCATGGAGGCGCAGGTCAAATCTGTGTCCAGGGCAGCTGTCTACCAGCTCTTTCTGGCACGCTGGCTGAGACCCTACCTGCCCGTGGACTGTCTCGCCAGAGTGGTGCATGCTCTGGTTATCTCCCGCTTGAACTACTGCAATGCGCTCTATGTGGGGCTACCTTTGAAGGTGACTTGGAAACTGCAACTAATCCAGAATGCGGCAGCTAGACTGGTGACTGGGAGTGGCTACTAAGACCATATAACACTGGTTTTGAAAGACCTACATTGGCTCCCAGTACGTTTCCGACCACAATTCAAAGTGTTGGTACTGACCTTTAAAGCCCTAAACGGCCTTGGCCCAGTATACCTGAAGGAGCGTCTCCACCCCCATCGTTCTGCCCGGACACTGACGTCCAGCGCCGAGGGCCTTCTGGTGGTTCCCTTACTGCAAGAAGTGACATTACAGGGAACCAGGCAGAGGGCCTTCTTGGTTGTGACGCCCACCCTGTGGAACGCCCTCCCATCAGATGTCAAGGAAGTAAACAACTATCTGACTTTTAGAAGACATCTGAAGGCAGCCCTGTTTAGGGAAGCTTTTAATGTTTGATGTTTTATTGTGTTTTTAAGATTCTGTTGGGTGCTGCCCAGAGTGGCTGGGGAGACCTAGCCGGATGGGTGCGGTAGAAATAATATATTATTATTATTATTATTATTAGCCTCATAAACTGAGCTGCTTCTGTGCTTGTTTTCTGACACCCAAGAGGGGATGGAGCACACAGCTCTGGCGCTGTGCCGGGATTCCTCCCGCCTCTGGCTGCCCACATTGCTGTTGCATTGTTGATCGCCCTCTGCCACCCATTTGCCTGCTATTATGGAAACACAGAGCACTGGGCTGATGCAGCTGTGTTTTGCAACAGAAACCCTTAGCCGGGCAGCAGAAGTACATTACACATACAGAGAGAGGGAGAGAGACAAAACTGAGTTGCTGCACCAAAACTCTAAGGGCTAAACAAGACTTCTGTAGCAGCAGCTACAAAATTACTCAGCGTGGCACTTATGTGAGTGGAATTGACTGCAGGGTTTTTTGTTATGTAAACTTCAGCTGCTGGGGAAGCCTGAGCACCCTCAGGACTATAGGGGTGGGGGGATGAAGAGGGTTGAATTTAACTCTTCCTTTCCTTTACATGGTCACAACAAATATTGCCTCTCCTCTTGTCTGCACTTCTTCCCACATGCTTGAAAGGCAGGCAGCAGGTCATGGAGACAGTTGATATTGTGTCTCCCTGGCAGGTAGAGAGATCTGCTCAGATTTCCTCAGGACTATTTCTGTGGCATGGTGGTTTATAGCGCTGGACTAAGTCCTGGGTTCAAATCCCCCGTCTAGCTGGATGACCTCAGGCCAGTCGCTATCTCTCAGCCTAAACTACCTCACAGGGTTGTTGTGAGGATAAAATGGGGGAGTGGTGGGAACCATGTACACCACCCTTGAGCTGCTTGGACGAAAGGCAGGGTGAAAATGTAATAATAAAAATAATAATTAAAAAGATTACAGGAAAAAGCAACACATTCCTTCAGCTAATGTTGTGTCTGGATGTCAGCTAGAGAAGCCACCCGCCTAAGGTCCACTTTTAAAGTGGTATCATACCACTATGAAAAGTCATGGCTTCCCCCCCAAAGAATCCTGGGAACTGTAGTTTGTTAAGGATGCTGAGAGTTCTTAGAGCTACAATTCCCAGAGTGGCTTAGCAATCAATCCCTCTGAGAATTGCAGTAGTGTGAGAGGATTGGTGGGGGGAGGGGTATCCTGACCAGCAGAAATGAGAAAACAACGGATGAGTACAGCCCTCCGTGTCTAATTGAGCTTCGATGGGTGCCTGGATGTCTGCAGCTTGTCTTTCCCCGGGCACTGGCAACCCACGCTATGTCACTGAACAAAAGTCCTGCTGGATCAGAGCAAGTCTCCATTTCCTCCCAGTGTCCTGTTTCCCACAGTGGCTTCCACGAAAGAGGCCACGAAGGCAGCCACCCTCTCCTGCTGTTGTTCTCCAGCAATGGGTATTCAGAGATAGGCTGCCTTTGAACATGCAGGATCTATTTAGCCATATCTGGCTCACAGCCAGAGGTGCACTTTTCATCCTCTTTGCTTTCCTCTGCTTGATCTCGGCCGCTTTTGCCACGCATCGCAGCAGGGAGGCCCACAAGTAGATAAATTATTGTTCCATCCGCCTCGCTCTTTCAGATCAGCTGGCAGCATCAGATCAGATCTGGCTCTGCTCTGAGATAGTTGTCAGCATCAAGCATCATTAGAACAGACCCAGCTGCTTCTGTTTGGGGGGCTTTTTGGAAAACCCGACCGTTCCTTCTGGCAAGGCTGAACTCCAGGACTGGGATCGTAAAGCACAGCTCCAAAAAGCACCAAGAGCCAATTGGCTCCAGGCGCACTTCGCAGAGCAAGAGACCGCTTTGCCCCCTCTCTATATTATTATGGGGAATGTGACGGTTTAATTGGCAGCCAGCATCCTGGAATCATAAAGCTGGGAGATGGAAAGCCAAGACATTAATGAAGTGGGCTTTTCATCCTCCAGAATATCCCCAAATTAGGCCCGTATAGCAGCTTCTAGTCAGCAAGTCTGGGCTTCCAACCCTATAAAAAAGAAAGGAAAAGGAAACTCTCCCTACTGGAGCCACAGAACAGCTCATCTCCCCCAACTGGGGTCTGTTTTGCTTACAGCATGTTTATATGGACAGATGTACCACTGCACCAGCTGCAGTGCATCTGCTTTGCATGCAGAAGGGCGCGGGTTCAATCCCTGCCATCTCCAGGTAGGGACTAGGAATGGTCCCCTCTCTCAACGTCCAAAGAGCTCCTGCCTGTCCGTGTCGACAATACTGAGCTATCTGTGTGACGTTGGCTACGACTTGCCGTGTTAACCCACAGACACCTTCGTTCAGTAGATGAATCAATTAACCCACTAAGCCTTGCAGAATTGGTCAAACGATCTTTCATCCGTCCTGGTTTTTAAAGCATGTCATTGTATTGATCAGGGAAGTGATGGAGGTTTGAGGTAGCTTTGGATACGACAGAACAGGAGCGGGCCACCTTTTTATAGGCAGGGGGCCGCATTCCCTTCCAGACAACCTTCCAGGGGCCATTCACCGCTGGTGGGCAGGGCCAGAGGAACAAGTGGGTGGGACAGTAAATGTCAATGAAGGCTGGTTTCTACGCACCCCTCTTTCTATCCTTGCAAGCAATCAAGAGACATTCGTAGAGTTTAAGGACATGTCCCAAGCCCTCAAGCGGGGAAGCAAGGCAGTACCGTAAGCGGTGTGCCACGGGGAGAGTCCTGAGGGCCAGACAGAAAGCCCTGGAGGGCCAAACGTGGCCTGAGGTTCCTCTTCCCTCTGACAGAACACAAGTTTGAATTGTGTTCAAGTTGCCGCTTCAAACAGACTCTGCCTTCCAGCAGGCAGAGGTGGCTGCGATAGCCCAAGGCAAGGAAGAAACAGCACCTTCTGAGGTTCCACGATGGGATATCAGGCAGTTTGTTTTCTGTTCTTCCTCATCCTACTATCCCTGCTGCTCCCTACGGTGCTTTGTCATGTAGCTGGTATGCCTTCTTCCCCATCCTTTGATGATTAAGAGACCCAACCTGGAAAGAGGTTAATTAAACAGCTAGGTGGAGCAGCTTCCATTGCCTGAGGAGGGTGTGCCATTAACCGGGGTGGGGTGAGGAACGGCATTGCAGTGATACCAAGACAGCAGTGTTTTTGGGTCGAGTATTAGGAAGAACTTTCTGGTGGTGAAAGCTGCTCAACAGTGGAGCAGATTCCTTTGGACGCTGGTGAACGCTCCTCTATTGGAGCTATTTTAACAGAGGTTGTAGGGCCACCTGTCAGCGATTCTTTGACTGCGATTCCTGCATCGCAGGGGGTTGGACTAGATGACCCTTGGTGTCTCTTCCAACTCTATGATTCTGTGATTCTGTGAATGGGCTTTTCTTTATTCCAACTGCAAGCTCTTCACCTAGAGCAGTCTTTGTGATCCTGGCAGCTTCCAGATGATTTGGGACCTCAATGCTCATTACAGTGGTACCTCGGGTAAAGAACTTAATTCGTTCCGGAAGTCCGTTCTTAACCTGAAACAGTTCTTAACCTGAAGCACCACTTTAGCTAGTGGGGCCTCCCGCTGCTGCCACGCCAACAGAGCACAATTTCTGTTCTCATCCTGAAGCAAAGTTCTTAACCCGAGGTACTATTTCTGGGTTAGCGCAGTCTGTAACCTGAAGCATATGTAACCCGAGGTACCACTGTAGACCCCCAGGTTCCTCTGTAGATTAGAGCTGCAGAACTTGAAGAGAATCTCTTTGGAGGAGAATTTGCTCTAGCTGGTTTCGCCTGCATTCAGCAAGTCTGCTCTGGGTAGGGCTAGCATTCATTGGACACAAACCACTGCCTCCAACATTGCTTGGATCCTGCTTGGTTGGGGCTTGGTTGGAGACTATGTGGGGCTGCCCTTGAGACTGACCCAGAAACTCCAGCGGGTGCAGAATGCTGCGGCGAGACTCCTTACAGGGTCCTTGCTGTGGGATCGCATTCACCCAGTGCTATACCAGCTGCACTGGTTCCCGGTGGAGTACAGGATCAGGTTTAAGGTGCTGGTTTTAACATTTAAAACCCTCTACGGCCTAGGACCCTCATACCTACGGGACCGCCTCTCCTGGTATGTCCCACGGAGGACCTTACGGTCTTCAAATAAAAACATCTTGCAGATCCCGGGCCACAGGGAGGTTAGGCTGGCCTCAACCAGAGCCAGGGCTTTTTTGGCCGTGGCCCCAATCTGGTGGAACGCTCTGTCACAAGAGACTAGGGCCCTGTAGGACTTGACATCTTTCCGCAGGGCCTGGAAGACAGAGCTGTTCCACCAGGCCTTTGACCAAGGCACAGTCTGACCCCCTCCTTCGGTAATCCTCACAGAACTCTAGCCCAATGGTTGCCATTAATTTGATTTTAGAATGAGTTGATTTTAGAATGCATTTCAATTAATTGATTGTGATTTTATGTAAATTATGTTACTTTTATTGTTGTTAGCCGCTCTGAGCCCGGCTTCAGCTGGGGAGGGCGGGATATAAATAAATTATCATCATCATCATTATTATTTGGTTGGCCACTGTGAGAACAGGATGCATGGCTTGATCCAGCAGGGCTCGTCATATGTTCTTATGAAACTGGAAAGAGAGCAAAGCCATTGCTGGTCTCTTAAGTAGAACAGATGAACAGGGCCTGCTTCCCTATATTTCCTCTGCTGCCAAGCTTGATGGAATAGCTGCTGGTATGGCCACATTCTAAACATGCAAAGGATTGCAAATTTAAACCAGCACTTTAAATTTTGCTGGCAAACTGATAGCTAGCAAATGCAGATCTTGTAAGACCAGGGCAATGCGATTTGATCTTTGGACCTCATGTAACAACGTGCTGGCTGCATTCTTGACCAAGTTGACATTTCCAGGCTACTTTTCAAGGCAGCCCCACAAGAAAGCAGAGAGATCTTATCTTTGAAAGGTCAGTCACACAGTCTGAAGAAAGATCTGGGCAGGCAGGGAATGCAGGCAGGTTGCAAATTGGGTCAAACTTTCAGCAATGGGTGGTGCAGGGGAATGGAATTTTGGGCTCAGGGAATGGAGGCACCCCCTGGTCTCTATTTCCTGATCTTGGGACTCCCCACAAGCGATGCTCCTCGCCAGTCTCCTCAGGTGCTTTCCACCTGGCTGGAATGTCTTTTGAACCACAAAGATGTCCCTTGCTTGCTAGTACAACGGATGGAATAATGTTTGTGTGCGCAAGAAGTAGTGTAGCAACTTCTGACTTAAGCATGGTCTACCATACAAGGCAAGGGCGGAGAATAAATTCAGTTCCGTTCACACTGAAAACTGAATCTCTCAAATTCACACTTTCCGGAATAATATATGCACAGCCCTCCTTCGAAATTTTCACTCATCTGAATTTTGTGACCAAATTCTCCAACCGAACGATGTTTCTAAAGGTGCATCTATCAAGGGAAGGCGTGCAGAATTATGAAGATATTAGTGAAAATAACTGAGAGAAGTGAATTCTGTCAGGGGGAATTGCTTGCAAAAAGGTGTACGTGAATCAAAGCCACCTCTAAAAATGTGTTCATTGGGCATAATCTGCAAGAAAATTGCTGTAGGAATAAGGAGAACTGAATTTAAGATTGGAAGAAAATGAGAAAGTGGGAGAACTGAAGCCAAAAGATCCTTCCATCCCTTGTACAAAAAAAAAAGTTGCATTTGTAGTTGCTCCACCCACTTTTGCCTCAGGCCCCTCCCACCATGGACGTGTGACACAACAGTGGACGGTGTCCCAAGAGGGTCACCCCCTGCTTCCACTTGTGAAAGGTTGAAGGGTATATTGCATTTCTCTTGCCCCCTTTCTTCAGGTGCATTTTTCCCTCTCATAGTTTCTCCATCAAATGTAATTTAAGGTCCCCGAGAGAGTCTGAGGTTTTCTTTACAGCTGCATACGACCAACCATCCATTTCACAACTGTGGTCAGTTTCCTTCATCTTCCTCCTCCCAGCACACACATTCTTGGTGTGGTAAACCTGAGTCAGTTGCAACGCCAGCGCTGAAACAATATCCCTGTTTTCCTTCTCTCCATCTCCTAGTGAGGGGTGAATCTATCCGTGTGTGTGTGTGTGTGTGTGTGTGTGTTTTTCTCGGCTTTTCGTTCTTCCAGTTGTAAGTTCCATTTTGCACACCAGCTTGCAATTTTTCTGAAAAGTCCTCATAAAAATGCGGTAGCATTTGAGTGTGAATTTCTCCCGATATGCAGAAGAAGCTGCCTTATACTGAGCCAGACCATTGGATCCATTTGGTTCAGTATTATCTACACCAGGGTTTCCTCAACTTGGATCTCCAGCTGCTTTTGAACTACAATTCCCATAATCCCTGATGACTGGTCCTGCTAGCTAGGGATGATGGGAGTATTAGTCCAAAAACAGCAGGAGATTCCCAGGGTTTGGGAAACCCTGATCTACACTGACCAGTAGCAACTGTCCAGGGTTTCAGACAGGCGTCATTCCTGGTTCTAGCTGGAGATACTGTGACTTGAACCCGGCACCCTCTGCATGCTGAGCAGATGCTCAAACACTGAGCATCTACCCCCAAATTCTTCTGTGCAGTTTCTTCTAACAGGCTCATTTTTGCAATCTATTTTTTTCTAGTATAGACGTCTCCCTACACACTTTACCCTAGTATATGCATTTCTGTACATATTACAGTGGTACCTTGGTTTAAGAACAGCCCTGTTAACGAACTATTCAGTTTACGAACTCTGCAAAACCAGAAGTAGTGTCCCGGTTTGCGAACTTTACCTCAGACTAAGAATGGAATCCAAACGGTGGAAGGGCACCGGTGGCAGGAGACCTCATTAGGGAAAGCACGCCTCGGTTTAAGAATGGTTTCGGTTTAAGAACGGACTTCCGGAACGGATTAAGTTCATAAACCAAGGTACCACTGTATTTCTATTTCTCCTTAGAAAACTCAAGCAAAATCTAAGAGAATCCTCTTTTGACTCTGGTATTTTGACTCTCACAGTTGGCATGCAATGTTCGAAATTCGCCAGACTCCAGGCGCATTTTGAGCCTGGCTATTGGCCACTTGCAACCCCAGGATGCAGTCTGATGTCTTCACCATCTCAAGACGTATGCCTGGGGGTCCTTGTATCTTGACTGTTTTCACACACTAACAACACATCCTATAGTATTCTCCCCATGATATTTTATCTGCACACTCAGAACGGATTTCAGGAACCCAAAAGTCATATTGAAAAAATACGACTCTCAAGCTGTCTGGCTCCAAAATGGCAACTAGATATTATTCCAGTTTGGCGACTGTAACCCTAGTTTAAGGAGCCGTTTGGTGCTTAGCTTATATATCTGAGTTTCTCACACTGTTGACATGTGGTCCCCAACAGAAAACAAAGTTGCCCACCCATAATCTAAAGCAGCATTTCCAAAATATTCCCTGGGTGGAGTGAAAGGGTTTCAACTGGCAGAAGGTGGAATAATGTATTTATTTGTGTTTTTAAGCTGCAGAAAACAATTCACAGTATTATTAGAACTACCCCCAAATGTTGGTGACACTACCCCTTCTCAGGCAAATATAATTTGGGGGTAGGTTTTCCCATATCCCGCAGCAAACCCCGCTTACAACTGGAGCAATTTGACTTTAGCTTCTTCTCTCCTGTTGACACACAGGCTGAGGGAACATATTCCCAGCTCGGGACAGTCCGTGGCCCAGCAAATTTCTTGCCTCCGGTAGAGTATGTGAGAGGATATATGCCAGGAAGTTTATGGCTGGAGACTTAAATTGCCTTTCATCGCTTCTAGGCACGATTGTCTAGCACAGAGGAGGAAAGGGATTAGTAAAAGCAAGGCACCTGTGGACACGACTTCCTTCAGACTCTGTCTGTTATTCATTGACAAGGCCTCACTGTTGGCTAAGTCATGAGAGCTATATTGTTCTGCATGGTTCTCCACGAGGCTATACCAGATCCATTTCCTTGTGAGAAGACACGTGCTGGATATGTGTGTCCCTTTTTTCATAATACTATTTTTATTTTGAATAATAGATATTTATCAGAGGTGGGAAACTTCAGTCCTGTGGGGCCAAAAGTGGCCCTTCCAAGTCCCTCGATCAGGCCCTCAGAACTCTCCCCAGGTCACACCCAAATCCCATTTTGTGCCCTCTCTCAAGTTTTTTTCCACCTGCCTGGTGAACTCTAGTCATGTCTCTATCCTCCTGGATAGAGGATAGAGAGGGGTGAGTGAGTATGGCTGAAGAAACCAGCCTAGAGGGCAAAGGTAAAATTTGCATTCATTGCTCCACCCATTTTGTTTGTTTTTTAAAAAATATTTTTATTTGGTTGTACATACTGAAAATTATAATCACATCACAACATATCCACAGTTAAACGATTCCTCCGAAACTCTGGACTTCCCACCTTCCCCTCCATGGATTCTGTTGTTAAACCTTTTCTGCTGCATCTTTTTTCAATAATCCAAATTTTTTATAACTCCACTATGTCCATATTTCTTGTTACATTACAAGTGTTGTTGCAGTATGCTAGTGTTTTCATCTGCTTACAGTGGTCTTTAGGGTAAATTATAATTTTTTCCCATTCCTTATTAAAGTTTTGGTCTTCCTGGTTCCCGAGCTTTCCGGTCAGTTTTGCCATCTTGGCATAGTCCATCAACTTAATTTGCCATTCTTCTCTGGTAGGGACTTTATCTTCCTTTCATTTCTGGGCTAATAACATCCATGAAGCTATCGTCGCATACATAAAAAGTCTTTTCTGCTCTCTTGGAATTTCAGCACTTACAATTCCGAATAAAAAAGCCTCTATGTTGTTGTTTTATAAAAGTTATTTTAAACATTTTTTTCCAATAATAATAATAATCAGGTAGTTGTTTATCTCTTTGACATCTGATGGGAGGGTGTTCCACAGGGTGGGCACCACTACCAAGAAGGCCCTCTGCCTGGTTCCCTGTAGCTTTGCTTCTCACAATGAGGGAACCGCCAGAAGGCCCTCGGCGCTGGACCTCAGTGTCCGGGCAGAACGGCCAAGGCCGTTTAGGGCTTTAAAGGTCAACACCAACACTTTGAATTGTGCTCGGAAACGTACTGGGAGCCAATGTAGGTCTTTCAAGACTAGTGTTATGTGGTCTCAGCAGCCACTCCCAGTCACCAGTTTAGCTGCCGCATTCTGGATTAGTTGTAGTTTCCGGGTCACCTTCAAAGGTAGCCCCACGTAGAGCGCATTGCAGTATGAATTGTGCATCGCAATTCACTATATATCATTTCCCAGAATGCTTTTACACATCCACCACATATGCTAAAAGGTGCCTTCTTTTTCTTTACATTTCCCGCAGATATTTGTAGTCTTAGTCTTAGACATTTTTGCTAACTTACTAGGAGTTAGATACCAACGGTACATCATTTTCATATAATTTTCTTTCAACGTACAGCATGCCGAGAATTTTAAATCAGCTTTCCATAACCTCTCCCAAGATGAGAGTTGGATATTATGCCCCAAATCCCTCACATTGCTCGGCCTATTTTGACCCCTGACCCTGCCCACTGCCACCATATGGTCCCCAGAAGCTTGCCCAGAAGGGAATGTGGACCCCAGCCTGTCAGAAGGTCCCCCACCCCTGTTTCAAGGGTGAGAGTTGGAGAGGAGAGAGAGTTTGTCCCCCGCTTTGCCCCACTTTCTATCCCTGAGAGCTTTCATGAGGTAAAACTCTTGACGGGACTTTCTGGCTTATTGGGCTGAGGCTGAAGAGATTTTCTCTCTCCCAATGCAGTGTCCTGACTCTCTGTTGATGCCACATGGTGTCAGAAGTGGGATATGGCTTGGGGAGGGGCGTGGCCAGGGAAAAGTCTTGAATGGCCAGGCAGAGAGGCCTGGAGGACCACATTCTGCCCTCCAGGGCCTGGAGGTTCCCCACTCAGAAACAATAATTCCCCCCATAAACAGTCGGAGAGTATGTTGTGGCGGGGAAGGAGTTAACGTTGCCTGGAATGGCAATATGTCCAAGGGGGAAAAGGCAGATGGGATGGGGAGCCTGGCTGGTTCTCTAAGGGGGGAAGGAAAGACCAGGTCACAGGCAAGGAATCACAGCAGCCACAAAACACCCAATCACTGCAGCTGGGAGTGACTTTTTTGGGGAGGGGAATATTTTTTATTTCATTTTATGATGTACAGTGGTACCTCGTGTTAAGTACTTAATTCATTCCAGAGGTCCGTTTTTAACCTGAAACTGTTCTTAACCTGAAGCACCACTTTAGCTAATGGGGCCTCCAGCTGCCGCTGTGCCGCCGGAGCACGATTTCTGTTCTCATTGTGAAGCAAAGTTCTTAACCTGAAGCACTATTTCTGGGTTAGCAGAGTCTGTAACCTGAAGCGTATATAATCTGAGGTACCACTGTACATACGTAAGACAGAGAGAACAATTATAACAAGAGATGAAAATCTAAAGACCAAACCCCAAAAATATGCACGTATAATAAGTGCAGTTTCAACATGGGTTAAGTAATGGAGTCTGAGCAATTAAAGAATAAAGAAGGAATATTTGTGCTAATATTGAGTACAGTTCCAGATTTTCCAGACTTGCGACAGGGGCTGCCTTGAAAACGGCAGTTGCACTCTATATGTGATAAAGCAGTCATATTTTAAAAGCGTCTGGAGGTTCCAGACCTTGTTGAAATCTAAAATTATGCGTCATTTTCTCCATTATCACTATATCCCAAAGCCAGTGTTGCTGGGAACAATTTGACCCAGGCAGACCACTTTGCAACAGCAATGATGAAAGATTGTATTACATTTAATGCATGAATTGAGGCAACCGGGAACCTCAGATGGTTGGATATATTTTTTCCAATCCCTAACAGAACTTTGGATTGAGTGGGTGAGGGAAAAGGTTTGATTTGAGGCCCAAAATCCAATGTGCAAAATTTAAGATTCGTTGCTCAAACAGGTCAAAGGCCCTGCGCATGTTTAGTCCGATGTAAGCCCCTTTGATCTCAACAGCTCTTACTCCCTAGTAAGATTAGAGCCTACATGTAATTTTTTCTTTATGTTCTGCTTCATTAATTCTCTTATGATTATGATTATTTGCAAAATCTTTTTTTATTAAGTTTTACGTTACAAATTTAAATTCAAGCATTAAACACCAACATCGTCATTTAGGATTCCCTGAATCCTCCGCCCTTCCATGATTACTATTATCCATCTTTTTTCAACTACTTCACTTATTTTCTGTTTTTCTTAAATAACCCATCTTTACCTTAGTTTTTACTACATTACAAGCGTTACTCAACTGCTGCCAAAGTTTTTAGTTGTTTACAGTGTTCTCGGAGACACATTGTAAATTTTCCCCATTCCTTCTTAAAGTTCTTCTCTTCCTGGTTTCTGATTTTCCCAGTCAATTTCGCCCTTTCTGCCCCATTAATTCTCATCCTGTGCCTGTTCTAGGTCCTCGTCCCATCGCTCCGGATTTAGAAGGAGACCTTCTCTTCCTCCTGGACAGCTCTGGTAGCGTCTCCTACTACGAATTCTCCCGGGTCAAGGAGTTCATTGCGGACCTCCTCAGGCCATTTGCCTTCGGCCCACACGATGTCCAGACTGGGGTTGTCCACATCAGCACCACGCCCACGATGGAGTTCCCCTTTGACCGCTACCTCTCCACCGGGGCGGTCCAGCATGCCATTCGCAGCATCCAACAGGTGATGGGCGATACCAACACAGGCAAAGCCCTCTCCTTCGCCAAAGACATGCTTTTCAGTGGGAAGGCCGGAGCGCGGGCTGATGTCCCCAAGGTGATGGTGTGGGTGACCGACGGCTTCTCTACAGACGACATCTCCCAGCCAATGCAGCTCCTGAAGGACATGGGGGTCACGGTTTTCATCGTTAGCACCGGGCGTGGGAACTACTTGGAGCTGTCCGCTGCTGCCAGCCAACCTCCGGAGAAACACCTGCATTTTGTGGACGTGGACGACCTGACCATCATTACCAAGGAGCTGAGAGACTCCATTGCAGGTAATTGGGTAGCGTGTCAAAACAAACAAATGCCTGGCCAGATCAGAACTAGATCTGTTGGGTCTTGTCTCTGGCCTGCCCAAGTCCCAGAATGCAGTTCGGCGGAAGTCCCAGTGGGTACATTAAATTGACACATACACAAAGCCTACTATAATACATAAAAGGTAAAAAGGTAAAGGACCCCTGGACGGATAAGTCCAGTCAAAGGTGACTATGGGGTTCATCTCGCTTTCAGGCTGAGGGAGCTGGCGTTTGTCCACAGACAGCTTTCCGGGTCATGTGACCAGCATAACTAAACCGCTTCTGGCACAATGGGACACCATAATGGAAGCCAGAACACACAGAAATGTCGTTTACCTTCCCACCGTTTACCTTCCCACCGCAGCGGTACCTATTTATCTACTTGCACAGGTGTGCTTTCAAACTGCTAGGTTGGCAGGAATGGGACACAGCAACAGGAGCTCACCCCGTCGCGGGGATTCGAACCACCGCCCTTCCAATCGGCAAGCCCAAGAAGCTCATCAGTTTAGACCACAGCGCCATCCGGCTGCCTTGGCCTGAAAGCAAGATGAGCGCTGTAACCCCATAGTCGCCTTTGACTGGACTTAACCGTCCAGTCCTTTACCTTTTTTTACCTTGTAATACCTAACTATGAATTAAGAATGACTCTCTCAATTTCATTCCTGCAGTTCTGCTTTGAGAGTGGAATCCCATTCATGTCATCTACTTAGAGGTAAATTCCACAGGGTTATCTTCAGTTAAGTCCAACTCAGAGCAGACCCATTGAAACAGATGAACCTAAGTTAGTCATGTCCATTAACATCAATGGGCCTACTCTGAGCAGGATCAGCATCCGCTATACCCCATAGTTTCCAAACTGTGGGTTGTATCCAGTGCTAGACCCATTGGAATGCCTGAGTTAGGCCACATTCACACCATACTATTACAGTGGTACCTTCTTAACCTGAAACTGTTCTTAACCTGAGGTACCACTTTAGCTAATGGGCCTCCCGCTGCCGCCGCGCCACCGCCACACGATTTCTGTTCTCATTCTGAAGCAAAGTTCTTAACCTGAGGTACTGTTTCTGGGTTAGCAGAGTCTGCAACCTGAAGCTTCTGTAACCTGAAGCGTCTGTAACCCAAGCTACCACTGTATGCCACTCTAAACAGTTATCTGCATCATAATCATTTGTACCCTGCTTATCTGACTGGGTTGCCCCAGCCACTTTGGGTGGCTTCCAACATATGGCTTCCCCCAAAGGATTCTGGGAGCTGTCATTTGTTAAGGGGTGAGGAGAGCTGTTAAGAGACCCCTTTCCCTCCCCTCCCAGAGCTACAATTCCCAGAGTTCCTAGGGGGAAAGGAAGGACTGTTAAACCGCTCAGGAAATTCCAATGGAAGCAAAAGCAGGGTTGGAAATGGCCAGTGTTTGTGTATCTGCGCCATGCCCAGAATGGAAATAAATTCAACAAACATGATCAGCGATCAATCTTGTCATTGCTTTTAGTCCGCAAACAAGGCACCCACCCACAATTTGAATTACACGTCCTTTGCTTCAAAATGAATGGGGCAGAATAGCATGACAGTGTCGCTTACATGATCCGTTACTTGAGTTACATGATTTCAGCACAGCAGATGATGAGAGGAATAACCTAACTTTTGGCAGAAGACAAATTGCAGCAGAATGGAAACTGGGCGCCTAGCGCAGGGCAGAACAGGAAAACGATGCCTTCTTAAATCTCTCTCTCTTAAGAGGTCCATCTTTCGAGAAGGGAATCCAGCGCGCTCCAGATCACAAGCCTCGTTCCCCAAGCAAAGGCCGAAACCCCTTGATCCAGCTTGCTTGCATGTCTATTACCCACAAGGCACCTCCTTGCTCCTTTATTGCTTTCACTCTGGACATTTTCCCTGCAGCTGCAGGCAGTTCTTGGGGCTGCTAATGGTTTGGAAACTCACGAGGGTTACCATGGAGCTGGGAAAGCTTCCACCCATTCCTTGGCACCTTTGTGCTCCTTAATCTTAGGGGATGGTTTTTATTTCATGTATTTTTATTATTTTTTAAAGTCCCTTCTGCAGCTAAAGTCTTTCCTCAGCCTTGTTTTGCTCCACAGCTCTGGCACAAATTCATTTTGCCAGGAATAATAATAATAATAATAATAATAATAATAATAATAATATTTTTATACCCTTCCCATCTGGTTAGGTTTCCACAGCCACTCTGAGCGGCTCCCAACAGAATATTAATAATGATGATGATGATGATGATGATAAAACAACAAAACATCAAACATTAAAAACTTCCCTATACAGGGCTGCCTTCAGATGTCTTCTAAAAGCAAGGTAGTTGTTTATTTCCTTGACATCTGGTGGGAGGGCGTTCCACAGGGTGGGTGCCACCACCGAGAAGGCCCTCTGCCTGGTTCCCTGTAACTTCGCTTCTAGCTGTGAGGGAACTGCTAGAAGGCCCTTGGCACTGGACCTCAGTGTCTGGGCTGAATGATGGGGGTGGAGACTCTCCTTCAGGTATACTGGGCCGAGGCCGTTTAGGGCATTAAAGGTCAGCACCAACACTTTGAATTGTGCTCAGAAACATACTGGGAGCCAATGTAGGTCTTTCAAGACCGGTGTTATATGGTCTCAGCAGCCACTCCCAGTCAGCAGCCCAACTGACTTTGAAGGACACCTTCAAAGGTAGCCCTAAATAGAGCACATTGCAGTAGTCCAAGCGGGAGATAACCAGAGCATGCACCACTCTGGCAAGACAGTGCGCAGGCAAGTAGGGTCTCAGCCAGCGTACCAGATGGAGCTGGTAGACAGCTGCCCTGGACACAGAATTGACCTGCACCTCCAAGGACAGCTATGAGTCAGTCATGGCCCAATTGGGGCCCGCTAATCTTTGCCTCTCCAGCCATGTTGCTGGATGATGATGTCACTGGGTGATGACAGCCAATGTGACGTCAGCTGATGGGCAGGGCTCACTCCTCCTTGACCAGCAAGTTTGGACTCTCCACTTGTCAACTGGGGAGTGGAGGGTCTAAATCCTGTGGGAAAAGCACTTGGGAGTTAGACTCCTCCATCCATCCCTTGGGTCAAGTCTAACAGATGAGCAGGAGCGCCCACTGATCAGTCAGTCAGCTGACATCATGTGGCCCTCCAAGTTTCCCTCTCTGGCCCTCAGAACTGTACCCAAGCCACACACCCTTCCCCTCGGCTCCCCACACCCTCCCTGCCCCACACCTCCAGTATGGCTTTCATGAGCGTCCCAGAACTCTGCTCCTTCTTGCTTTCAAAGCACTTAAAAACCGTTCGAGATTTAAACGTCTCTCAGCAGTGTACAGCATAAAAAGAAGGAACGGCGTCGTTAACACAGAATGACAGTAAAAATACCAGCAAAGTAAAATCATGCAAGAATAAAATGAATTGGAATTTAAAAGGATAAAAATATATATATCTTGCTTGTTTGAATGTAGAATAGAGACGGGGGGGGGGGGACTGTTAGTCTGTATGAAAAGCAGCTTAGTGCCCAAAGGTAATAATCAGATTTGTTGCTCCCCCCCGCTCCCCCTTGGATGGAGAAAGGTTCCAGGAAACTGTTCTCTGTCCATTCAACCACTCTGTTCAAGGAAGGTCAGGCCTTGGGAGGTTAACAATCTCCACTGCCATGGAAACCTCTGTGGCCCTTGACTCATTTGCAGCACATGGCTGCGGCCTTCAGAGCAATGGGGGGGCTTCCATTTTTCACCCCAAGGCCATTCCCCATCTTGCACCCACTGACACCCATCAGGACTCCTCTGAGCAGATAAAGCCGTCCTCGCCAAGCTGGTGCCCTCCAATGTCTGGTCTCCCAAACCCGCTGGAGGGCACCAGGTCGGCAAAGGCTGCTGCAAAGCCACAGATCAGAACGATGACCAGCTTCTGAGCTGTGGGGCTGGGAGGGCGTCCGAACCACCCAGGCTTGGCTGCCCAGGAGGACGCCCAGAAGTTGCACTATGATATCATAGGAGGCCTTTTTTTCAAAGGCCCCCTTTGTCGAGAGGCACAAGGCTGGCATTGTTCCGTCAAGCTGGGCTGGTTTCTCCTTGAATTCCCCGCATCTGCCAGCAGCTGGTTGGCATTGCCCGCAGGGCTGGCTCAGCTCAAGCCAAAGCAATGCTTCCTGGCTGCCCATCCCTCCCTGCCCCGCCTCCGTGGACTCCCTTAACCTGGAAGAGGCAGAAAAGAAGAATTCTCCTCGGCTGCACGTGATCTGCGCAAAGCAGAAAGGGCAGCTTGTGCTTTTCAGAGATAGACACACCACAGGATTTTGGCCTTGGATTTCGGAGAGCACAACCAGTTTGCCCGTACTGGGTGCTGAGCTGAGATGGTGCCGCAACCATGACAACAACGGAAGGCGAGAGGCAGGAGGCACCAAATTCTGGCATCGCACAGCGAGCTGCTGAAATTTTCAAGCCCAAACTCCATCACTGCTTCCATTCCAGGGTGCAAGATTCCCCCAATACTTTCTGTTCTCTGTTTGCTGTCCCACAGGTGCAAAGAAAGAGAGGGAATGACAGGGCAGGCATAGAATTCTGAGGGTTGTTGAACTCACAGGCTGAGATATTATTATTTTGAGATCTGGGCAGTAGTGCCCTTTGGGGCTGGTAGGACGGAAAGCAGGGAGCATGACAGTAGGTGGCGCCAGAGCCACTAAAAGGCAGTGCCTACTGGTTCTAGTGTTGTCCCTCTCATCCTCTTCCCTGCTGAGTTCCACAAGGGGCAACACTGAGACTGGACAACCTCTTGGACTGGTTGTAAGAAGGCAGGCAGGTGGGGGCTGGCTTGGTGGTGCAGAACCTTTAATAATAATAATAAAATAAAATTTTATTTATGGCCCGCCCGCCCCAGCCAAAGCCGGGCTAAGAGCGGCTAACAACAGTAAAAGTAACACAGTTTACAGAAAATCACAATCAATTAAAATACATTATAAAATCAGCCTGAGGGCCACATCTCCTTCCAGGGGCCACATGCCAGTGTGCGGAGGGCCAGAGGCAAAAGTGGGCGAAGCAACCAATATTGCAGCTGTCAGTCTATCTGAACAACTGTGAACGAGGTGCCCTTGACACTGTATTAGATCAGATCCATGCCATAGATTAATTGAAAGCATGAACTAGAATACAAAAAAGGGAGGTGTGAGGAGGTCAAGGAAATAAGCAAATGAAAGATAAGTTATGGGAAGATTTATTGTATTTTTTCTTTTTTTTCTTTTTTTTCTTGTTTCTTTTCTTTTTATTATCGTGATGTGATGTTTTGTATTTCTTAAATATGCTGTTTTTTAATTATTTCTTTTTGTAACCCTTTAAAATTCAATAAATATTACTTTAAAAAAAATAGATTAATTGAAAGCATGTGGCTTCTCCCAAAGACTCCTGGGAACTGGATTCTGGGGATTGGAGCTCCAGGCATTTGCAGGTTTCTAAAGGAGCCATGGGACGTGGGTGGCGCTGTGGGTTAAACCAATGAGCCTAGGGCTTGCTGACCAGAAGGTCGGCGGTTCAAATCCCTGTGACCTCCCATTGCTCGGTCCCTGCTCCTGCCAACCTAGCAGTTCGAAAGCATGTCAAAGTGCAAGTAGATAAATAGGTACCACTCCAGCGGGAAGGTAAACGGCGTCTCCGTGCGCTGCTCTGGTTCGCCTCGACCAGTAAAGTGAGAGGAGCGCCACAACCCCAGAGTCGATCACGACTGGACCTAATGGTCAGGGGTCCCTTTACCTTTTTAAAGGAGCCATTTCCTCAGTTTGTGAAGACTGGCTGCAAGCAGGCCGCTCACGTTGTGTCCGGGGCGCCTGCCAAGGTTTGATCACCAAGTTGACAGGGAGGCAGGGCGTGTGTCATGCCAAGAATGAGGTGCAGTAGGAAAGCACGGTCTGAGGTTCACATGCCAATCGCACGCTTGACAACCTGGATTCCACACACACACACCCATCACACTTGTAGCTGCTTCTTCTCAGGCTGAGTGATGTCACCTTTCTTCCCTGGGGCTGTCTGTGTCTGCAGCAACAGACCCGGCCGAGCGAGCACAGACAGCAACGGTGTAATCTCTGTTCCCCTTCCTTTTATAGCAGGGGAGCCCCCTTCATCCTGAGAGCCACCTTCATTTCTGGGCAACCTTCTGTGGGGGGCGGGGGATGCCAGGGGTGGGTGTGGCCAGAGGCCAAAGTGGGCGGAGCAAGAAATGCAAATGTGGGTTTTAAAAACATGCTAAACTACCATATTTTCCGCTCTATAAGACGCACCAGACCACAAGACGCACCTAGTTTTTGGAGGAGGAAAACAAGAAAAAAAATATTCTGAATCTCAGAAGCCAGAACAGCAAGAGGGATCGCTGCGCAGTAAAAGCAGCAATCCCTCTTGCTGTTCTGGCTTCTGGGATAGGTGCGCAGCCTGCATTCGCTCCATAAGATGCACACACATTTCCCCTTACTTTTTAGGAGGGAAAAAGTGAGTCTTATCGAGCAAAAAATACGGTAGTTTCTACACACGCGGTCCTTCACTCCTCCTCATTCTTCAGCCAGGCAAGCGATGGACATGATCAGAGTTCCAGCCAGGAGAAAACACTCAAGGAAGTTGCAAAGCATGTCTGGTGAGGGGGCGTGGCCTGGGGAGAAAATGGGTGTGGCTGGCGAGGGGGTGTGGCCTGGGAAAGGGGTGTGGCCTGGAGAGAGGGGTTTGGCTGGTGAGGAGGCATGGCCTGGGTCAATATTAACTCAGCGGCAAGAAGGAGGGAGACTAAAAGCCAAATAGAATCTCGAGAAGAAAATGCCTTAGAGTTCGGTTTTTAAAGAGATGCTTTGGAAACAGCTCCTTCAAGGGGGGGAGAGCTGCTTACCAGTTCAAAGAGGAGAAACGGCACAAGAAAGCTTTAAGACAATGAGGGTTTGAAGCAGAAAGAGCGAGGACGCTATCAGGCAGAGGTGGTGAGCCTCAGTCTGAAGGGCCAAACCGGCCATCGGGACTCTCCCCAAGCCACACTCTTCACTGACCTGGCTCAGCAACCTCCTTGGGTGTTTTCACTTAGCTGGAATGTGTGCTTGAACTCTGATCATGCCTCTTGCTTGTCTGGACAGAGGATAGAGAAGGGTGTGTTTAGAAAATAGCCTGTTAAAAACTTACATTCATTGCTCCGCCACCTATTGCCTCTGGCCCCATCCACCACTTTCACACTTTTCAGTGCAATTCCCTGACACATTCCTTCCAAAAAAAAAAGGCAATTCCCCTCCACACCCAAAGCATTTTTTTATTTTTATCTTTTTTGCACAAGAGCACCAAACCCACTTTAACTGAGCACCCTGCATTTATTTGCCTGTAGGCAGTTGACTCTCATCTGCAAAGTAACCACAATGTGGGTGTACCCATGCTGCAGATGGGAGGACTGAGGCTAAGAGAGAGGAGAGGGACAGGGAGAATTTATGCATCGCCTACAGCTAGCTAGGAAGCAATTAAGTTCCGGTTTCCAAATCTCAGCTACGGAAATGAATGAAGCTTTCAACGTTCTCAGGTTTGTCAGAGGGCTTGCATCTGTCTGGACGCTTTGGGCGGGGAGCGACGTGATCCTGCGCGGTTCTAGCAACCTGGCGGCCCTCTGGGGTAATGTCTGTACAGTTTCAAGGCCTGCCGAGCGTGCTGGAGAGATTTCCGTGCCTTGGCAGGACCTGGCTTGGGATGGGCTGGAGCCTGTCTCTGTACAGTAGCGAGCAGAAAACTGGCCAGGCCAAACGCAAGGAGCTCACACGCCCCTGGCCTGCCTAGTGCCTGATTATTATTTTTTTTAACTGAAGGCAAAGCAGGCTTAAAGCTTCCTCCAGACCCGCAGCAAGCCCCTTCCTCCCTCTTATCGATTTCCCTCTTTCACTGACAGCCATCAACAGGCCTGCTTAGCAGCTTGGCAGCTAAGGGCGGGGGGGTGAACAGAATATGTCCTTTAAGGGGCACCATAGGGCAGGAGTTTGAAGCATGAAACTGGGTCCCCATTCAGCAGAATAAGAAAGACGTCCCACCTGCCACTATGGCAGGGCTGCCTTACAATGTATGGCGTAATAAACATTGCTTTGTTGTATCCAGTGCTAGACCTTCCCAAAGTAGACCCATTGAAGTGAATGGGCATGCCTAACAGAGGTCCATTCATTTGAATGGGTCTACACGGAATGAAACATCCCATCGCCACCTAAAACAGGGGTGAGGGACCTTTTTCACCCCCGCGGATCAGGTCCTTTTCTCTCCCACCCCACCTCTCGAGGGCCGAGTGTCACTGGTGGGCTGGGCTGCCCACCTGTCAATCAGCTGGTGTTGCACTGATGTCAGCCAACCTTTTCGGCACATTAAAGTCTGGTTTGCTGGCCTCTCCTGGTGTCGCACTCATAACCAGGAAGGGATTTAACCTGAGGGTTAATCAAGGTCTTGCTTGGGTCTGCAGGGAGATGTTCATGCAATTGAATAGGAGCCAAGGATGAACATCTGGCCGTTCACTCTAGGAGTTGGGAACATCTAACCCTCCAGATGTTGCTGAGCTGCTGTTCCCCATCGCCCCCTGCTAGCATGGTCCAAGGCCAGAGGGATGCTGGGAGTTGGAGTCCAGGAAAATCTGGAGGACCACTGGCTCCCCAACACAGTGTGGTGTAGTGTAGTGTAGTGGTTAAGAGCGGTGGACTTGTAATCTGGTGAACCGGGTTTGATTCCCTGCTCCTCCACATGCAGCTGCTGGGTGACCTTGGGCTAGTCACACTTCTCTGAAGTCTCTCAGCCCCACTCACCTCACAGAGTGTTTGTTGTGGGGGAGGAAGGGAAAGGAGATTGTTAGCCACTTTGAAACTCGTTCGGGTAGTGATAAAGCGGGATATCAAATCCAAACTCCTCCTCCTTTTCAAACCTATCCTAGACCCAAGATTGAAATGCAGTGATTTAAGAGTAGCCCACAGCCCCAAGAATAGTCCCTAAAATCCAATTCTCGGGCCCAAGCTTGAGATCTGCAAAGCCTGCCTCCTGGAATATCCCCAGGCGTTTATTTATTTTTATTTCATTTGTTGAATTTGTATATTAGGCATTCTCTCCCTAATAAGAAGGGAAGACCCACCAATTTCTAACCTTCAAATTGCTCACACTAATGTAGATGATGTTGTCTCTGCTTCCACCTGCTGGTCTTGGGGAAGAGATGCAGAGAGCAGAAACATACTTGGGGGGGGATGGGGCATGTTTGACTCACCTGAGCCTCTCCTCCTCCTTAATAAGTACTTTTAATCTAAACATAATATCAAGTTGTGGGGTGGTCTGCAACACTAGTCCTATTCAGAGCAGACCTACTGAAGTTCATTGCTATATCAGGGTCTGGAAATGTAATCGAATTGGTTTCTTTAATGCAGTGGGTCTCCAATATTTTTTTCTCTGGGTCACACTTTAAGAATAAAAATTTGCTAACGCCACACCAACGTTTTTATTGATAAGAAATACGTTGGAAAACCTAAAGAAACAACCCCCAGCAGTGCTTGATTTATAACAGAATACAACTACAGTACTTTACAATATGATCATGGGACATTGATAAAGTATAAAGCAATGCAGTTACATAAGAACACAAATCATTCCCAAAATATTATAAGCAAAGCCTCTTACATGTGCACTTTAGTATGTCTGCAAACTCAAGGAGATGTGTGAGCTTGATTTTGCTGGGTAATTTCATTTATATTAGGTCTAATTTGAGACAAACTCATCTCCTCATCAACACAAGGAAACCTTTCTCTTTTCTGATCTTAATAATAGTAGTAATAAGTATAATAATTTATTAATTGCATGCCACCCACCTGACTGTTGCCCCAGGCGGCTCCCAACAAATTATAAACCAAAGTAAAACATCAAACCTTGAAAACTTCCCTATACAGAGCTGCCTTCAGAAGTCTTCTAAAAGTCAGATAGTTGCTTATTTCCTTGATACCTGTCAGTTTGAAAATCCCTGTTCGCAACAATATATCATGGAAAACTGCAGAAGAATAGCCAATGTGTGGGTGCTGTTTCTGGTTGTAAATGCAAACAAGATTATTTTGATACTATAGTATCAGTGTAGTAACCCTGAAATGTTTAAAAGTTTCTTTGATTGTCCTTCAATTTTTCCACCACACTTTCCATCCTCTCCTTTGAGAACCACTGGTTTAATGGCACAGTTAATTGGTTGAACAAATGGTGGCTGAGAGGAGCAAGTCGGTTTTCTTTTGCCTAGTTGTCTAATCATATTATTTCAATACTCTCTTGTTGATTTTCATTTGTCACATTTTACAGCTTGTTTTGAGGCTGTTTTCTTTCCTTGTTTGCCATGAATTTCCCTTGCTTTTGCAGCCGATTCTTACATGCAATGTTTCTTTTCGTACAAAAGAAGATGCTGTACTTAATTGTGCTTCACGAAATGTAGAAACCATCTGATATTTTTGGATGTTTGCTGTTTATTTAAGATACCTTAGCCTATGTTGCAAACTGCTCAGAGTTTTGTTTAAACAGAAGCAGTGTGTAAATCGTCTAGATAGGCAAATACAGTGGTACCTCAGGTTAAGAACTTAATTCGTTCCGGAGCTCCATTCTTAACCTGAAACTGTTCTTAACCTGAAGCACCACTTTAGCTAATGGGGCCTCCTGCTGCCACTGCACAATTTCTGTTCTCATCCTGAAGCACAGTTCTTAACCCGAGGTACTATTTCTGGGTTAGCTGAGTCTGTAACCTGAAGCGTATGTAACCTGAAGCATATGTAACCCGAGGTACCACTGTAAATCATTTCATGGACATGTCTAACCCAGAGAAACTGGAATGGATATATTCACCCTTCCCTACCTAAGGAAAAAACATCGATCAATGAATCACTGTGCCTTTCTACACTCCAGGTGTCATCCAGGCCAAGCGTCTACGTGCGACCGATATCTCAACAAGCAGTTTCCGCCTCATTTGGCCCAAGTTTTTGACACGGGAGACGGGTTATTATGTCCTGGAGTACGCCCCGACCGGAGACCCCAGGCGGAAACTGACCAAGCAGCTGACAGGCGACCACACCAGCTTCCTGGTGAGCAACCTGGTGCCCCAAACCACGTACGAGGTTGCCCTCATTCCCGAGTCCAACGAGAGATACATGCCACCCCAAACCACCAGGGTCACCACCTTGGAAGGTAAGACAAAGAAGGTCTGGAGGGGGCGGGCACAATGGAAAGCCATCCTAACTGAGCCAGTGGCCAACTGAGAGGCAGAAGTTCTCTGGCCATTCTTTTTGGTCCAGCTCTCACTTCCATACATCACTACTGGGAAAACCATAGCTTTAACTCTGAATAAAGAGTAATGAATAAAATAAATTGTCAGAGTTCAAGGGTACATTCTAGCCAGGTAAAAATTCTCAAGTAGGGGCAAAAGAGAATCAGTGAGGGGTGTGCGGTCTGGGGAGATTTTCAAGCGCTACTCAGAGAAGCCTGTTGGACACATTTGGCTTCCAGGCATGAGGTTTCCTCCTGCCCCAAAACTAGATGGTCACATTATCTGATGGGACATAAGGCCCTTCCAATGTTCCTGTGGAATTTTTTAAAAAATAGCTTCAATTCATCCTTCCCCAAGGTTTGCTGACCCACGCAATAGATACGGAAGCGATTGGTAATGTTTTCCTTTCATTCACTGCAATGACAGCTCCAGGATTTTAAGGGCCGAGAAATAATTACCTCTGCTTCTACCGGGATAAGCAAGTTTTCACGTCAGGCACCTAATTCTTGCCATTGGTGAAACTCCTCTCAGTAGGGGGAAAAACCCAGGAAGCAGATGGTGAGATGAGGTTTGGCACGGCTCAGTCTCTGCATTGTGTTGGAAACTGCTCTTAAGGGGGTTATTATGGGATGCTAGTGCCATTCCACTTTGGAGCAGCTCTTACACTTTGTTCGCTTATGTCACAGCTGGGATAGATAAAAGGAAGGACTTCTTCATGCAGACAAGAGCCTAAGTATGGAATTTGCTACCATGAGAGGCAGTGAAGGCCAATAACTTTTGGATGGCATTAAAAGAGGGATAGAGCAATTCACGGAGGAGGAGGTGGCAGCCAGCCACAGTGGCTATGATCTGTCTCAACTTTCATTTATACCTAGTTTGGGAAATAAGTTAATAATAATAATTTTATTAATCATACCCCGCCTATCTGGCTGGTTTTCCCCAGCCACTCTGGGGCAGCTTCCAACATGTATAAAAACATAATTAAACATCAAACATTGAAAACTTCCCAATACAGGGCTGCCTTCAGGTGTCTTCTCAAAGTTATGTCGTTCTTAATCTCCTTGACATCTGATGGGAGGGCGTTCCACAGGGAGGGCACCACTACCAAGAAGGCAACTGCTGAAAAGTTGTCACAGGAACCCCAATCTCAGGAGTCCTTGCTGCAGGTTCATATTCTACGCTGTCATAGATTCCCTGAATTCTTCGCTCCTAGAAGCTGTCAGTATGCAGCAGTGGCCACACCCCAGGAAATGGCTTTGACTGGCCAGCCAAACCAGATGAGGACACCCTATGGGTCTCAAACTCAAGGCTTGGTGAGATAGAGATCTCACCTATCTGAGAAGACAGGCTCTGGGGGATTGATCAGACAAGACCAATATTGGGTCCAACGGTCAAGAAGACGTTTTCTGCACATGCTGTAGAGCAGCGGTTCTCAACGTGTGGGTCCCCCAGATGTTGTTGGACTACAACTCCCATCATCCCTGAGCTCTGGCCTTGCTAGCTAGGCGTGATGGGAGTTGTAGTTCAACAACATCTGGGGACCCACAGGTTGAAAAAGGCTGCTGTAGAGGGAAGTGAGGGGCAGATGGGGCTCATCAACCTGGGAAGGGAGGCCATCTAAGAGAAGGAAGACTCAGGTTCTAAACCTCCACTGCCTTTTGGGATATCTTTGGGAGAATAAAAGGCTACGGAGTAAACCTTACACAAATCCAGAGTGGAGTCCCTAAGATGGTTGGATGGAGCCTTGTATTATTATTATTATTATTATTATTATTATTATTATTATTATTTACTTATACCTTGCCAATCTGGCCGGGCCTCCCCAACCACTCTGGGTGGCTCGTTCCGCCCAGAGTGTATACCTCATTCCAGCCAAGCAGGTGTCAAATGTATTACTCTGCTTTCCTTTGGTCTACATCACTGAGGCTGAGGGGGAGGGCTTGTTTTCTGGGCAGCCCAGGAGCCCCTTACACTGCCCAGGCTTGCGCCCTGCTGGGGTCACTTCAGTGCTGCTAATGCAGGTTTTTCTTCACCCCCGGAGGCGCACTCCATTGTCTCTCGAGACAAGACAGATGCCGAGAACAATAGGCAAGGAGTGGCCGAGGTCTTGATCCCTCCTTCTGTTGTTGTTGTTTTTGTTGTTCCGAATAAAATCTTATTCAATTGATACTACAGATACGGCCATGTTTGTCTTGCTCCCATCTTAACTGAGGGAGTGTGTCAGAAGTTGCCTTGCACCAGATCTGTCTGCGCCTGTCAGGCATGGAGAGTCATCCCCTCCCTTCGATAACTTCACAGATCAGAACTAACGAGCAGTTGATAGGTTTAAAAAGGTAAAGGGACCCCTGACCATTAGGTCCAGTCGTGACCGACTCTGGGGTTGCGGTGCTCATCTCGCTTTATTGGCTGAGGGAGCCGGCGTACAGCTTCCGGGTCATGTGGCCAGCATGACTAAGCCGCTTCTGGAAAAACACGAAAACGCCGTTTACCTTCCCGTCGGAGTGGTACCTATTTATCTACTTGCACTTTGACGTGCTTTCGAACTGCTAGGTTGGCAGGAGCAGGGACCGAGCAACGGGAGCTCACCCCGTCGCGGGGATTCGAACTGCCGACCTTCTGATTGGCAAGTCCTAGGCTCTGTGGTTTAACCCACAGCAGCACCCGTGTCCTTTTATCGCAGCATCATGTTGCGAGCACAAATACACAGCTCTCCACAAAGAGGGCAGTTGGCAGGTCTAATCCTCCTTCCGTCTTCCGCAGCATTTTAGGCGCCAATGGGAAGTTCCTCCCTCCCTCTGACTCCTTTGCTCTATGATACGTTCGAACCACCGAGTCCGTGGTGAGTGGGGGGGGGGTCCCCCACACTCTCAAGAGACGTCTCAACTAGCTGCCCCCTCCCTTCTGGTTCTGTTGTCATTATCTCATAACTGGGTAACTCCTCTCTTCTTCTTCTTATTGTTAGAACGTTTATTAATTTTCCAATAAAAGGCATCCAATTAACATATCAAATCATAATCCAATAAAAATAAAAATCTAAATTAAAAAAGTTCCAATTATCTTCTGAATTGTAATTTTTAATTTTACAACTTCCCACAGTCTGAACCTTAGAATCATAGAATCATAGAATCATAGAGTTGGAAGAGACCACAAGGGCCATCAAGTCCAACCCCCTGCCAAGCAGGAAACACCATCAGAGCACTCCTGACATATGGTTGTCAAGTCTCTGCTTAAAGACCTCCAAAGAAGGAGATTCCACCACACTCCTTGGCAATGTCCAAATCTCAGTCCTGCCTCTCATCGATATTTCCATATCTCAATTTTATCTCTCCAAACTTCTTTGTCTGCGATCCTCAATCATGTCAGAAATCAGATAACCTTTCATCCGTCGAGTGCAGATTTGTTTGTGCAATGTACCTTTTCAACTGTTGTCTGGGTGACTCCTCTCTAAGCTGTCCAGCTTCTGTCTCTCTCTCTCTCTGCTTCTGAAGACGCTGTGAACAAGGAGGGGGCGACTCTTCCCCCTCCAGCTCTCCATCAGAAAGAAGCTGGTCTTCATTCCCCAGTCCTCGTCTTCAGACCATTCCCTGACGGTGCCCCCTTTCCAATCTGTCTACCGTCTCTCCACAGAGCCCATCAGCCCAGCAAGAGTCCTCATCTCAGATTCCAGGCCCCACAGCATCCGGGTCAGCTGGGCCCCCACCCCGGACAGCGTGTCCTCCTACCAGGTCCTGTATGGGCCCCTGCCTGGGAACGCAGTCAAGCTGGTGGAGGTCGATGGGAGCCTCAACTCCACCATCTTGGATGACCTGACTGCCAACACCACCTACTTGGTGACTGTGTCTGCCATTTATAAATCGGGCAAGGAGAAAGCTCTGTCGGCCAAGGCATGCACGGCAGAAGGTGAGGAGGTACCCATGCCCTCCACAGGGACAAAATTTGGAGACAAGGGAGGAAGGGTAGTGCTGATGAATTAAACTGGTGGTACAGGTGCATTTTCTACATGCTCGGAGGCCCCAAACCAAAGAGAATGTATCTCAAGATGCTGAAGAAATGTGGATTTTCCCCTTTCCAAAATAGCCCAACGTGTTCCATCTAATATGTGGCAGCCGAGGCCATACAACAATGGTCCTGAAAGGCCTACATTGGCTCCCAGTATGTTTCCAAGCACAATTCAAAGTGCTCATGCTGACCTTTAAAGCCCTAAACGGCCTCGGTCCTGTATACCTGAAGGAGCATCTCCACCTCCATCGTTCTGCCCGGACACTGAGGTCCAGCTGCAAGAAGTGAGGTTACAGGGAACCAGGCAGAGGGCCTTCTCGGTAATGGCGTCCACCCTGTGGAACGCCCTCCCATCAGATGTCAAGAAAATAAACAACTATCTGACTTTTAGAAGACATCTGAAGGCAGCCCTGTTTAGGGAAGTTTTTAAAGTTTGAATTTTTATTGTGTTTTTAATATTCTGTTGGGAACCGCCCAGAGTGACTGGGGAAACTCAGCCAGACGGGTGGGATATAAAAAAATTAATAATAATTAATTATTGTTGGTGGTGATGGTGGTGGTGGTATTGACAGATCTGCTTGTCTCACGGCAAAATGGGCGTGGTTTATGAGAAGGGGCAGAGCTTTGGGGACCAGGCTGCCAATAGCATATAGTTATTTCTGTTGACATTTGCTGATGGAAATCCACTGTCTTTATGCCCTGTTTCTTCCCACTGGGCAGAGAACTCCAGGATAAAGCACCTGCGCTTCGAAGACTTGAGCCCCACCACCGTGAAGGCCTCGTGGGAGCCTGCCGACGGCAGCGTCCTGGGCTACCGGGTGAGGTGCCGGCGGCAGGCTGGTTCTTCGACGCTCCTCAGCGTCTCACCGCAGATCCACAGTGTGCTGCTGTCGGACCTCGCGGAGGGCAGCACCAACAAAGTGTGCGTCAAGCCCGTGTACAGGAACCAGCAAGGGAAAGGCGTGTGCCGGATGGTCCACAAGCAGCCGGGTAAGCTGTGGGGAGACTGCGACGCCCTCCAACGTGGATGGCCTTGCCTGAGAAGGGGATAAGATGGGTGCATGGAGGAGAAGGCTGGCAGCATCTACTAGTCGTGGATGCCATTGTTGGAGGCAGTTATGCCTCTGATCACCCTTGACTGAGGAGTCACGATTTATTCATTTATCCCATAAAATTCACAAACCCCAATTTGCTTGGAACTTTGTGATATCAGTATATTAGGTTTGATTTTGGTATGGAGATCTGCTCCTATGTGCTTAGCTCTAGAGATCCCCATTGACTTAATTTTGTTTGGCATCTGTTACTATACTTTGTTACACACATACAGAGGTCTAGATGTACGTACATGTTTCACAAAGAGAACAAAACAATAAAATTATCAGTAAAATAATAATAATAGTTTTATTATTTATACCCCACCCATATGGCTGGGTTTACCCAGCCACTCTGGGAGGCTTCCAGCATATATAATAAAATGTAATAAAATGTCAAGCATTAAAAACTTCCTGGTACAGGGCTGCCTTCGGATGTCTTCTAAAAGTTCTGTAGTTCTTTATCTCCTTGACATCCACAGGCAGGGTGCCACTGCCAAGCAGGCCCTAAAAACCATAAAGCAAAAGATATAATCAGCAATGAACTAAAAACAGATTAAAGAGTACATCCGTATTCTACATAGTCTGCATAGGTTGGTCTAAGCAAAAACGTTCTGGGCAGGCACTGAAAAGAGGACAATGGATGTGCCAACTTGGCGTCAATAAGCAGGGAGTTCCAGAGTGTGGGGGCTAAAAGATTGTTTTCTTACAAAAGTGGAAAAGGTATTACGTGGCACTCGTGACGGTGACAGTTCCGCCTGTCTGCATGGCAAATGTCAGGGACCATGGGCGTTGTAGCTTAACATCTGGAGGGCTACCAGTTGCCTACTCCTGCAGGCCAGAAGAGCCAAACAACTACCTTTCTTTTTTCATTTTACAAAAGGTGTTGGGCCTAATCGCCTGCCGGTCTCTTTTGCTCGCCCCAGGCGAAAGGCCGAATAGCCGTTTTGCATGTTCATCGACTGCCAGAACTAACCTCCTGCGCTTTCTCCCCCGTTTCCAGCTTCAGCAGTGGGAAGCTACAGGCACAGACAGAGAGCGTGAGCGTTAAAGAGACTCGAGGAGCACCTCTGCAGAGCAGAGGGAAAGACTGGATAAGGAGGAAGGCTGGAGGAACCCGTACGAGGTGATCGCCCTCCCAAGCCTGCTCAAGCCCCCCTGAAGCACACTAGCTCCCTCCCCCTGGCAGCCATCTTGCCTACAAGTTCCGAAGCTCCGGTTTGGTGTTCAGAAAAAGGGCTCCACCTGGAAGATGAGATTCCGCTGCGGGGATGAGCCAAAAAAAAGAGATTGGGACTCAGAATTCCTCTTTCCTTACTGTATTCTATTTATTTGTGTTTTAGTATGTGCTGTAGCTGGGGAAGAATGTCACAGGACACCCATCCCCTCCCCTTTAAGCCAACACTTGCTATATGATGTGCTCCTTAACTGATACAGCTGCAATTCAGTCGGAGGCACGCAGTGTAGAGGTGTGAGGAAGATAAAAATGGATTCCATGGGGACCTAGTTAAGGCCAGAGTTAATTAAGGATGGGAGAAGGCATCGTTTTCCATTCCGCCCTGTATTCATTGCAAGCAGCACTGTTTCCCTTCTGCTGCGGTTGGCCTTCCTCCAAACTCTACATCATTCATCTCGCTGTCTGCTCTGCCGAAATTCCGCAACTTCCCTATTTCACGTAATTAATCATTACATATGTTACGTTGCCGTTACTTTATCCCGCTCTGTGCATTTCAGTGCAATGGAAACACAATGCAAATGGGGGAAATGTAATCAATTTCATACAATTTCCGGACTGAAAGCAGCAGCAACAGCGAATGCCTGATAGTATTTGCGGGATCGATTTCCGTTCTGGCCACTGGACAGATAAGAAGATGTCAGGCCTCCAAGGCAGATGTAAACCCTCATAGCATGTATTCCATAAGAGCTCTTTGGAGAGGACGACCTGGATTTTCCCTGCATCAAAAAATGTCCCCTTCCTTATTCTTTCTTGTAAGCCGGAAAGCGTTTCACTCTTTTGCACAACTCTTCCATGTGTTGTTTTGCTAATGTGGTAGAGATTGCCTCTCTGTCTCCTTATAATGCATCCCTTTGGAAGTCAGTGAATTAAACAAGAGAACAAATGACCTGTTTGATTTGGAAGGCTTTTACAATTGGGACCTAAGTGCCTGCTGGTTTCCCCCGCTAGCTTTCAAATCCAGTATTTTAGGGAAAATATATTTTGGAATAGCTTGGTCCATGAAAAATGATTAGTCTAGGGCTCTTGGATGGTGGCAGACAGGGGCAAGGAGAGAGAACAGGGTCAGCCCAGATTACAGTAGAACCCCAGATGAATAAATTGCTGCACTCTAGTGCCACCACTGCAGGTGGCCACAGGGTGGTATTGCAGGTACTGAATTATTACGATTATGATTTGGGTACAGTGGTATCTCTTGTTGCGAACAGGATCCATTCCGGAGGCCCATTCGCAACATGAAAAGCCTGCAACCTGAAACGCCGTATCTGTGCAGGTGTGTGGCGTGATTTGGTGCTTGTGCACATGCGCGAAGCGAGATTTAGCACTACTGCACATGCGCAAACAGCAAAACCCGGAAGTAACCCTTTCAGGCACTTCTGGGTCGCTGCGGGACGCAACCTGCAAAAACGTAACATGAGGTATGACTGTATTTATTACCCCTCCTTTGTCTAAGGTCCCGGGGCAGGTTACAGCATTAAAACGCAATATTAAAAACCACTTTAAACAACTTACAATCACAGAAATAAGGTGGGTCCTAAAAATATACACCTCAGGTGACAAAAGCCAGGGTAAAGACGTGCAGCTTCAGCATTTGCCAGGAGATGTATAATGAATGTTCAATGGGGAGGGAGTTCCACAGGTTAGGAGCTGCCACTGAGAAGACCCTTTCCCAGACCATGGACACCCCTGAGCCTCTGAGGGCAGAACTGCCAAGAGGGCCCCCTCCGCCCATCTCAGCACCTGAGAGTCTACAGAAGTTGTTCTTTTAGATATTTAACAGGGATCAGGTGATACAAAGGAGCAGTAGTTCCAATAGTCCTATCAAGCTTCTGCTTTCAGCCTTGTTCTTCAGTGTGCTCAGACAGAGGCTGGACAGCTGGGCTATCCTATCTGCTCAGTCATTTATCTAATGAGTGATTTGCCCATTTCCCTCTTCTGTGGTGTTACTACTTGCCTAGTAAGGGGCTGTGGGTACCTGTTTCTCTCCTGACCATCCTCCTCCACCGGCTTCTCAGTGGAATGGGTATAAAATATAAGACAACTGGTCAGACTATTTCAGGTCATTATTTTGTTTGCTCTTTCTTGGGCTGGAAGGTTCGTCATCCAAGTCGCCTTTCCAGTGGTTCAGGATGAGATCAATGCATGTGAAATCCCAGTGAAATGGAGGACTGGCTTCTCAACTCGGCAAATGAGGAGAGGGAACAACCACAATTATTCAACCAGAAATCTCAACTTTGGATGAAACTCGGCTGACCTGTTAGCCCTGAAAATAATTGACTTGCACAGTGCTGCTACAAAGACACCTTGGGGGATCTCAAAAGGCACATTAAAGGCTGGCTTGCTCATTTGTTTATTTATCTGGAGAAACTGTACCCCGCTCTTCAGCCGAAAAGGCTCCCAGAGCAATTACATACAATCAAAACAAGGCAGTCCTTACCTGCAGGCTTACAAGCTTAATAAACACACACACACACACACACACACACACACACACACACACACAACATAGAAGGGAAAAGGGACAAGAAGGGAGGAGGAAAATGAAAATGAAAAGCTCTGGCAACCATTTCTGAACAGTTCTCATAGAACTGTAGAGTTGGAAGGGACCCTGGGGATCATCTATCCCAGGGGTCAGCAAACTTTTTCAGCAGGGGGCCGGTCCACTGTCCCTCAGACCTTGTGGGGGGCCGGACTATATTTTTTTTTGGGGGGGATGAACAAATTCCTATGCCCCACAAATAACCCAGAGATGCATTTTAAATAAAAGGACACATTCTACTAATGTAAAAACACGCTGATTCCCAGACCGTCCGCGGGCCGGATTTAGAAGGCGATTGGGCCGGATCCGGCCCCCAGGCCTTAGTTTGCCTACCCATGATCTAGCCCAATCCCCAGAAATGCAGCTGTTGGGATCAAACCTGTGACCTTGGTGTTCTCAGCACCATGCTCCAACCAACTGAGTTATCCAGCAGTAGTCAAGTTGTTCCCATACTGACCAGTCTGTACAGTTCAGGGGCAGGAGGTGCCTGGTGTAGAAGGAGCTCCATCAAAGCTGATGAAATGAGCCTTCTGCTTCATATCTCTCCCACGGAGGCAGCCTGATGGCGTGGCTGCCCCCAAGTGACAGGGGAGGGGAGGCCCGGTGGGTCTGGTCTGTCAATGCGGAGTGTAACTCTCCTGGTATCACACTCATAACCAGAGCTACATAAACACTAACTGCTTTGCTGCACATAAACATAGCTTTGCGCAATCCAAAATCATTTGTGCTTGACCTCAACCTGCTGCTTTTAATAAAAAATTGGTCTAAGATCCTGTCATCCCACCAAGGTGGGTGTGGTTGCTTGAGGTCAGGTCAAGGCATTGGATGGTTCCCCCAAAGATTAAATTTGTTTGCCTATCCCAACTGGTGGGCCTCTAAATATTTTGGACACCCAACAGCCAGCATGGCCAATGGTCAGGGATGATTGGAATTATAGTCCAAAATTGCACCATTCAACACCATCCCCTCCAGGAGCTGCAGACTGCAATGCCCATCCTCCCTAACTGTGGACTATGTTGTCTGGGGCTGATGGGAGTTGTAGTCCTCAACTTCTGGAAGACACCTCATTGGTCCAAGGCACCTGGAGGGCACCAGTTTGGGGAAGGTTGACTTGCCCACTCACCGTTGGACCTCCACCAGCGACAAGGAAGAGAGAATCAAGATCCTCACCCAGCAATGCAGGTTTATGAAGACTGATCTTTATCCGTGGGATTCCAGGTGGGTGGAGCAGGGCTGTTGCCGGAACTCTTTGGAGGCTGTTGCCAGCTCGTGCCTGTAGTCATAGACGGACTGTACATCCTGGCTGTTTCTCAACAGTTCGTTATTCTTGCGGGCTTCATAGTGGAACTGAGAGTTCCGCATCTCGTACCTTGAGACAGGGGTGGCGGGGGGGGGGGAGGGAATTGAGTCACTTAGTCTGATCACAAATTGGGGTTTCCTGAGGTTAATTCAGGCAAAGTCTCAGAGTCTGGCTGATGGTCAGGGAGGCAACCATGCAGGTGAGAGGCATGGAAAGGAAGCCCAGATCATTATACCTGTCGGATGTCAAAGCAAGCCACACAAGTCCAAGCCACAGCAGTTGGAACAATAAACCCACAGAACTGAAGCTCCAGGAAAGGCCTGGTGCTTTGATGTAAAGGTAAAGGTAAAAGGACCCCTGACCATTAGGTCCAGTCATGGCTGACTCTGGGGTTGCAGTGCTCATCTTGCTTTATTGGCCGAGGGAGCCAGCGTACAGCTTCCAGGTCATGTGGCCAGCATGACTAAGGTGCTTCTGGTGAACCAGAGCAGCGCACAGAAACACCATTTACCTTCCCGCCGGAGCAGTACCTATTTATCTACTTGCACTTTGACGTGCTTTCGAACTGTTAGGTTGGCAGGAGCTGGGACCGAGCAACGGGAGCTCACCCTGTCGCGGGGATTCGAACCGCTGACCTTCTGATCAGCAAGTCCTAGGCTCTGTGGCTTAACCCACAGTGCCACCCACATCCCTTGCTTTGATGTAGGGAGGACCGGAAATGGGAAATGCTCCTCATTTGCATAGCCCCGCCTGTGAAGCAAGTGGAAGGAGCAACCCATTGTCCACCACGGAAAGAGAAAAATGGAAGGGATCACAGAGGCTCTGGCTACACGTCTCCTGGGTTCTTAAAAAATAAATAAATCTCTGCTTATATTCTCACTCCATCATCATACACATCTCTAATTCAGACAAGAGAAAGAACAGGGGCAATTAGCTACGAAAGTAAATAAGGATAGCATAAACTGGACATGGGAAATGGTGGCTCATGGCTCCAGAATCTCCCCCAGATTTCTCTGTCTGCCTCTTGGGTGGCCTTACAATTCATCAAAGGCAAAGCCTGACTTAGACGCTGCTAGTCTTTATGTGACTTATGCCAGCCATCGCCTAGGAATTCTAAGAAACCAAAGAATCAGTGCAGTTCTGAAAACAGTGGTTAAAATCAGTAAATCAGTGGAGTTTTGAAAAGTTCAGTCCGCCATCTTAATTCAAAATGGCACCCAACTGTATCCAGGCATAGAAGAAAACCTGCTTCTTGGTCTCAGGAACCATCACGCACAATTTCGGCTACAATATATTAAGTGGTGTCCAAATGCATATTGTACTGACCAAAACAAATACATTGCAATCTGTAAGGTAGCTATAACAATGAATCTCAATCTGTACCCAGGAAATAAGTTGTTCTGAAATGAGGAACCAGTTAGAACCTTTATAGCTCCAAGTTGCTTTCCTGCAAAAGGGAAGCCGCAATAAAACTGTTTTCCACGGCAATTGCAGCCGAGAGCAAACCAATAGCTCCCTCTGCTGCCCAGTGATCTACCTGCCAGATTCCCTGCTTTTAGACTCCCCACACCGAAGAAGAAGAAGAAGAAGAAGAAGAAGAAGAAGAAGAAGAAGAAGAGGAGTTTGGATTTGATATCCCACCTTTCACTCCCTTTAAGGAGTCTCAAAGCGGCTAACATTCTCCTTTCCCTTCCTCCCCCACAACAAACACTCTGTGAGGTGAGTGGGGCTGAGAGACTTCAGAGAAGTGTGACTGGCCCAAGGTCACCCAGCAGCTGCATGTGGAGGAGCGGAGACGCGAACCCAGTTCACCAGATTACGAGACTACCGCTCTTAACCACTACACCACACTGGCTCTCAGCCCCACCCCACAGCTTGACAACCCCCACTTACCATTTAGGCTTGGGACCTCGGGTCCGTTCCAATTCCTGCTGCCTCTTCTGCTCTAACAACCACACCTCTTCCATATGCAGACTCTCAAGCCGGAGGCGAGCCAGCTCTTGCTGGTACGGAGACATCTCAACCAGGGCTCTGCCGACATCACCGTCAGCAATAGTCTGCAGGAACCTATGGAGCCAATGAGGCCTTGTTACGGTTTCTGCAAGGCCTCCAAGCAGCCCTGAAAGCATTTGGCACAGATTTGCCAGGCAAGAGACTCTTTTCAAACCTGCTTTCAAAGCCATCTCCTAAAAGCAGTGAGGCGGGGATATTTTGCAGGGTGAATTGTTTGTTTCTTGTGGACGATAAATGACTAATGCAAGCTAGTGGTTTTTCTTGGGGTTGCCAGACCCTCCAAGTGTCCCTATTTTCCAGGGACATCCCTGATTTAGAGAAGCCGTCTCGGTTTCCTGGAATGTCCCACTTTTCCTTAGGATGTCCCTATTTTCATTGGAGAAATGTTGGGAGGATATGGGCTGCTGGGGGTTAGTCAAATGTTTTCAGGCCTGACAACCTATTTGCTATGCTGTCCGCAGGGTTGAAGAGAGGGGAGTATTTCACAAATCAAGGAATTCCCCAGGGGACTTTCCTTTCCTTTCCTGAACATCATGGCACTCTAGGCATCTCTCTCTTTGGCCCTTGGGACTATCACTGGCCTTGCTTCACACCCCAGGTGTTTTTGCCTGGCTGGAATGTGTCTGTGAACTCTGATAATGCCTCTTGTTTATATGGATAGAGAATGTAGGCATAGCCAAACTTGGCCCTCCAGATGTTTTGGGACTACAACTCCCATCATCCCTAGCTAACAGGACCAGTGGTCAGGGATGATGGGAATTGTAGTCCCAAAATATCTGGAGGGCTGAGTTTGGCCATGCCTGGAATAGAGAGAGAGAGTGTGTGTGTGTGTTTAGAAATCAGCCTGCAGTATGAAGGCATACATTGCTCCACCCACTTTTGCCTCTGGCCCCACCTAGAACTGCCATGTGGCCCCCAGAAGGGAATGCAGCCCTCGAACTGAAAAAGGTTCCCCAGCCCTGGTTATACAGCTAGATAATTCACCCTCTGAACCTTTCAGGGAAGGGGGACATAGAGATGGGCCTCGGATGACAAAAACAAAGTCCGGGTCAGTTTGTACGCAGAGAGGCGGTCCTTAAGGTATTGAGGTCCTAAGGCAGGTTGACTGCAGATGCTGACTGCTGCTACCATCAGCCAGGATGGGCAACAGTAAGGGATGATGGGAATTGTGGTCCAGCAATACCTGGATAGCCACGATTCCTCATCCTTCCTTTAGGGCATCATAATCTAGACTATCACAAGAGCAGAATGGAGAATTGTTGAGGGGTGAATCCGACTGGGCGTCATGGCAAAGGTTTCCACTTACCGTTCATTGAGCTCCTGGGCTGTGGGTGAGGAAATGGCAGCAGACGGCAAGCTGTAAGGAGTCCATGGATTGCTCCGAGCTCCCCTCTCGATTGCCTTGCTGGGAATCCAGGATCTGGAGGCTAATGTCCCTGGCCTGTATATCCTCGACCGTGACCGCTTACTTGACCCGCTTTTGCTACCATTTTCCCCGGACTTGCCAAGCTGAGGCGGGGGCTGCGCACAGGCATTCGCCTTGGCCGAGCTGGGTCTCCAGGCAGGCTTTGGAGACTGAGATCGAGATCGGAGCCAGCGGGTGCGTTTGTTGGCAGGCGAGAGCGAACGCTCACGGTTGGTCCCAGAGGAACCGAGACTGAGCGAACGGCCTCTGTCGAGGGAGGAAGAGGTCCTTTTCAGCAAGGATGCTCTGACTGGGGTCTTCGGAGGCAACAAAGACTTGACGCCGATCACATGAGGGGCTCCGAGTTTCAGAGGGAAAGTGAAATCCGCCAAGGGGTGCAAAGAGTTTTGACTTGCAATCTCGCTCCCCAGCAGCCCTGCCAGCCGGTTCACTGGGGACGTGGTAAAGGTTGGAAGGCCCAGGCTCGTCAGGGCTGAATACTCTCCTACGGATCTAAGCAAGTGTTTTGGCTTCAGGAACCACTCCGTCTCCACCGGGGTCTTGGCTGGGCCTCCAACGCCTGATTCCATATAGCTCCCAGTAGGAGCCGCTGGCCACCTGGAACTGAAAGGACCTGAGTCAGCTGCAGGGTGCAGGTCAACAGTGCGTTCGTGATTTGGGTGTGAGCGGAGACTGGAAGCCAAGCTATCCACTTGGAGCTGAAGCTTCCGCAAGCTTTCTTCCAAGTTGTCAATGCTGGGGATCTCCCCCATGTGGTAAGATGAGTAACTGCCTAGGTGGAAGGAAAAGCCATTTATTTAGAAGAAGCAACAACCAAGAAACGGTCAGCAGAGCAAACCTGACACTGCCCCAAAACACCTGGTTTGCATAACACCCTATGCCATGGTTTATAAAACACGGTTTAGTTAACCACAGTTAAGAATTATTGTCCAAACCCAATGGGTTAATGATGGTTTACTAACTGTAGTTAACTGGCATTCATTAACTAAGGTTTGTAGTTAATTTACCCATTTTTATTCAACAATATGAGGGGGGAAATCATTTTTGATCAGTTTTGCTTGTAACGGAATATGTGTGAGACTACGTGTTAATTTCATAGATGTTTTGTTGCATCATTACATCAGAGGTGAGCAGGTTACAAATTGGTTTAAAGAGGTATGGCAGATTGCACTACAGTGGTACCTCAGGTTAAGAACTTAATTCGTTCTGGAGGTCCATTCTTAACTTGAAACTGTTCTTAACCTGAGGTACCACTTTAGCTAATGGGGCCTCCAGCTGCCGCCGCGCTGCCGCCACGCGATTTCTGTTCTCAACTTGAAGCAAAGTCCTTGACCCGAGGTACTATTTCTGGGTTAGCAGGGTCTCTAACCTGAAGTATCTGTAACCTGAAGCATCTGTAACCCGAGGTACCACTGTATTACAAAAATTGACAAATAATTCAAGACTTGCATGAGGACAAATAAAAAAAAATCACTGCAATCTGGGTTAACTTTATAGATTTTTTTAGTCGAACATGGTAATCTTCTGGCATCATCTTCATACAGACATAACATTCCTAACTTCTGCTTCTTTGGTGAACTAGGCTCACCTATGGAAAAAAAAATAGGGGACGCGGGTGGCGCTGTGGGTAAAACCTCAGTGCCTAGGACTTGCCGATCGCATGGTCAGCGGTTCGAATTCCCGCGGCGGGGTGAGCTCCCGTCTTTCGGTCCCAGCTCCTGCCCACCTAGCAGTTCGAAAACACCCCCAAGTGCAAGTAGATAAATAGGTACCGCTTTATAGCGGGAAGGTAAACGGCATTTCCGTGTGCTGCGCTGGTGCTGGCTCGCCAGAGCAGCTTCGTCACGCTGGCCACGTGACCCGGAAGTGTCTCCGGACAGCGCTGGCCCCTGGCCTCTTAAGTGAGATGGGCGCACAACCCTAGAGTCGGACACGACTGGCCCGTACGGGCAGGGGTACCTTTACCTTTACCTTTTTATGGAAAAAATAACATCTCTTATACCTCTAGGTGGTGCTATAGTTATGTAAATATTCTGAATTAAGGTTTCATTATTTTTGTTACTTCAATCCATCTCAAAGAATTTTTTTATTTTAAAATTTTGCACCATGGTTTGGTTTTGTTTCATTTTCTATGTGTATCGTGATTTAGTATATAATATTATTAGTTTGATTAGTTTCTCAGCTTTCCAGGGCTATCTCTCCCAGACCTACCAGCAGATGCCACTGGGAACTGAACCTGGGACTTTCTGCATGCAAGGCAAATGCTCTTCCAATGAGCTATGGCCTTCTCTCCTATCAGACTAGAAGAATAAATCCCACCCCCTTGACTTTTACAAAGCAGGCTGGCAGGAGAGGGACCCCCACCTCAGTTTGTCCTCAGAACAGCTCTGTGAGGTAGGTTAGGTTAAGAGATGATGACTAGCTCACGCTCATCCAATGTCCTTCATGGCTGAGTGGGGATTTGAACCTGGGTCCTAGTCCAGTCGTCTTACCATTTTCTCCTTCAACCAGTGATGATCTTCCCTGCTTATCAGGAGCCTGGTATCTCCCTAGGCTTGAGAAGCTAAAGTTCTGTGTAGTGTTGGTTCTTTGGCTGTTGCTAAGGCACACTTTTGGCGCCTCCCTTTAAAAGAAAAAACAAACACTGTTCACCAACAATGTTCGCCAACATTTCCTGTCATTCTCTTGTCACCGTAAAGAAACTACTATTTGTATTAGTTTTTATAGTGCTTCACATACTTGCCCCGTTTTAGTGGTACTCCATGGGGTACCACTGAAAAAGTCCACCCATGAGTCCCCATCCGATATACTACTAAAAGGTAGTAGTTTTTAACTACCTTTAAACAGATCTTTAACACAGTAGCAGGAGGATATGGTATTTCATTGACCTTAGACCTAGTTCATTTAGAGATTTAAATGACAACATAAGCACCTTAAATCTGGCCCTGGATATCTGTATTTAGACCATCCCAATTTAAATTCTGAGTAGACATACATAGGACTGCATCACAAGTCTTGGTGTACTCTGTAGGTCGTAGCCAGTGTTAGTCCTACTCAGATTAGACCCAGTGAAATTAATAGAAATGGCTCATTTTGGTCTATTAATTTCAATGTTTCTACCCTGTGTAGGACTTAGTTGGCAGTAACTGGGATTTACTTCTAAGTAGATGACATACACGGGATTCCACTCTCAAATCGGAACTGAAAGAATGGAGCTGAGAGATCAATTCCCAGAAATTCCCCTTAGATTTAAAGCCTCAAATTGGGATAATGTATCCCTCCTTCCTAAACCAAGTCCCAGCTTTTTAAAAATAAAATAAATTGAGAACTGTAAGGGCATGTGTTTGAGTTTGCTTTCCCCTCTACCCTCCTGTTCCTATTTTCCTCATGTGTCATGACTTTTTAAGACTGAGGGCCAAAAACAGACCAGGAGCTGATTTGTAATATATCCTGAGAGCCTTTTTTTGGCAAGTGCAGTAAATATACATAAGAAAACAAAACATACCTGCCTCCATTTCTCCTATTAATTTATTTAAATACATAAATAAAACATACAATAAATAAAATATAGCCTTCCCAGAATCGCCCGTCCCTCTCCCAGCACCTGAGGGTGACTCCACTGCCCCGCACCCGCAAAGCTCCAGCCTCCGCCATGCGCGCCCTTCTCTGCAAAGCATCACTTGGCATCCTCCTTAGCGACAGCCTCAACATTCCCGTTGCTAAGGAGAAGGACCGCCTCCTTCTTTGCTACAGGTTGAATTCCCCTCCCTGCCTCCCTCTCTCAGGTCCCGCCCTTCTTTTCAGATCACCCAATCGCATCACAGCTCTCTGCGGGGAGGGCGGGTTCACTGTGCTGGGAGCCAATAGAAGACGAGAAGAGTCAAAAGCACGTGATCTAGGAGTCCCGCCTTCTGCTTCTGCTTTGGCCCAATAAGCATTCCTGAAAGGGAGGACCCACAGAGATAGTAAAACTATAGAGCAGGCATCCCCAAACTCAGCCTTCAGGTATTTTGGGGCTACAATTCCCATCATCCCTGACCACTGGTCCTGTTAGCTAGGGATGATGGGAGTTGTAGGCCAAAAACATCTGGAGGGCCGAGTTTGGGGATGCCTGGTATAGAGTGACACGTTGAATAAATTGCTATGTTGTTGTTGTTTAGTCGTGTCCGACTCTTCATGACCCCATGGACCAGAGCACGCCAGGCACTCCTATCTACCTCTGCCTCCCGCAGTTTGGTCAGACTCATGCTGGTAGCTTCAAAAACACTGCCCAACCATCTCGTCCTCTGTCGTCCCCTTCTCCTTGTGCCCTTCATCTTTCCCAACATCAGGGTCTTTCCCAGGGAGTCTTCTCTTCTCGTGAGGTGGCAAAAGTATTGGAGCCTCAGCTTCAGGATCTGTCCTTCCAGTGAGCACTCAGGGCTGATTTCCTTCAGAATGGAGAGGTTTGATCTTCTTGCAGTCCATGGGACTCTCAAGAGTCTCCTCCAGCACCAGAATTCAAAAGCATCAATTCTTCGGCGATCTTTATGGTCCAGCTCTCACTTCCATACATCACTACTGGGGGGGGAAATTGCTATAGATATATCTATATTTCTCTCACACACACACTCAGAAAAACCTGGTGGGGCACACATTCTCCATCCCTCCCCTAGCCGTTGCTAGATTCCAAGTCCCACCAGCATGGCCCATGGCAAACGATCCATGGGAGTTGTAGTCCAGCAAATACTCCCAGGACTTCCGGTTCTGCGCCCTTGGCTCTAAAACGAAACTGTACGGATGAAGCCGGAACGAGCCCGTCTGTCCCCCAACTCTATGGTTCCTCACGCTCTTTTTTTTTGTGAGCGTGTGTTTCCCACCAATGGCAACGCGGCGGAAACCGGAAGGGGCGGCGACGGCGCCTGCGCAGTGTGAGCGGCGCTGGGTCCGCGTGTGCGCCGCTGCTTGCTGCCTGCCGGCTGGGCTGCAAAGAGCAGAGCAGCGCTCATGTCGTGGCTCTTCGGGCTGAACCGCGGCGGCGGCGGCGGCGGAGATGCGGGCCTGGGAGCTCCCCCCGGGGCCCCGCCGCTGCCGCCTTCGCCGGCGGGGGCCTCTGGGGAAGGGCCGGGCGAAGGGGGCCGCCCCAAGGACAAATGGAGCAACTTCGACCCCACCGGCCTGGAGCGCGCGGCCAAGGCTGCCAGGGAGCTGGACGCCTCCCGTGAGTCGGAGGAGGGAGGGGAGGAAAGCCAGGGCCGCGGGCAGGCCTAGGTCCTACTCGGGAGTAGACCCGCTGAAGTTAATGAAGGCACGGCTAACTTGGGGCCATTGATTTCAGTGGGTCCACTATGAATAGGACTTAGTTGAATGCACACACACAAAAACCCTTTTATGGTACCTCGGGTTACATACGCTCCAGGTTACATAGGCTTCAGGTTACAGACTCCGCTAACCCAGAAATAGTACCTCGGGTTAAGAACTTTGCTTCAGGATGAGAACAGAAATCGTGCTCCAGTGGCGCAGCGGGAGGCCCCATTAGCTAAAGTGGTGCTTCAGGTTAAGAACGGACCTCCGGAACGAATTAAGTACTTAACCCGAGGTACCACTGTAATACGTGGGGCATGAATGCATGAGCGCATGGTGGGCAGGTGCTGGGAGTGTATGGGTTCCAAGTGGAGCAGGGAGCTGACTGTAGTGTAGAAGGAAGGTCATGTGTAATAATAATAATAATTCATTTATACCCCGCCCATCTGGCTGACCTTCCCCAGCGACTCTGGGCGGCTCCCAATCAAATGTTAAAAACAGTACAGCATTAAATATTAAAAACTTCCCTAAACAGGGCTGCCTTCAGATGTCTTTTCAAGATAGGATAGCTGCTTATTTCCTTCACATCTGAAGGGAGGGTGTTCCACAGGGTGGGCGCCACTACCGAGAAGGCCCTCCATCTGGTTCCCTGTAACCTCACTTCTCGCAATGAGGGAACTGCCAGAAGGCCCTCAGCGCTGGATCTCAGTGTCTGGGCTGAACGATGGGGGTGGAGACGCTCCTTCAGGTATACAGGACCAAGGCCGTTTAAGGCTTTAAAGGTCAGCACCTTTGTAAGGGGGGGTGATAGGGCTGGTTGGATCTACAGGGCTGGAGCGCTTCTTTGAAAAGCAGGGTGTGAGGGCAGTGTGTGTGTGTGTGTGTGTGTGTGTGTGTGAAGGGTTAACTGGATCTAAAGGATTCCCACCCCCCCAAAAAAATCCCTTCTTTAAAAATGCTAGGGAGGCAAGAGCCACATGTGAGCTGCATCTGCAAGGTCCTCTCTTGTGTGCCCCAGAAGCTCCGTTTTTACAGGACAGAAATGGGAAATCCATAAACCAGGCTCCAGAAACTGCTGCAAAATGCCAGGAATGTGAGTCTGAGGGCACATTTCTGAAGCGGCGTTTGTGCCCTCATGTTTCAAACTCTGGAGAGCCGTGTTGCAGTTTCCCCAACAGTGGTTGCATCAGTGCTCAGCAGAGGGAGGGTTGCCCTTTGACCTTGCAACAGTCATATGACTCCAGCAGGCTCTGTAAATGTTCAGCAGCTCTAAGATCTCTTTGTTACAGCAGAGGTTCACCAGAGGGGCTGCATTGCCTCAGAATTATTGCTATTATTATTTTATTTATTTACTTTCTATACCACCCTTCATCATAGGATCACAGGGCAGTTCACAATATAAAAACACAAAAGTATGTAGCATAGTAACAAACAAAAACCCAAAAGGTTGTACAGAAGAGAATGATGCACTCAGGTCAAAAACCTCAATTACCTTTGAGAATTACAGTGGTACCTCTGGTTATGTACTTAATTCGTTCCGGAGGTCCGTTCTTAACCTGAAACTGTTCTTAACCTGAAGCACCACTTTAGCTAATGGGGCCTCCCGCTGCTGCCGTGACGCCAGAGCACGATTTCTGTTCTCATCCTGAAGCAAAGTTCTTAACCCGAGATACTATTTATGGGTTAGTGGAGTCTATAACCTGAAGTGTATGTAATCTGAAACGTATGTAACCCGAGGTACCACTGTATTTATTTCTTGTTATTTGTGCTGCCTGAAAACTGTGCCTCAATGTCTGAACTGCAGATGAGAGACAGTGTTACAGCTCCACTCACCTACCTTGAAGGGGCAGCGCAAGCTTCTCAGAGGAGCTTTCGTTCCTAAGAGAAGATTGTGAGTTAGGTTCGAATTAGGCTGTATCTGCACCTTACATTTAAAGAGCACCATGCCACTTTAAACAGTTGTGACTTCCCCAAAAGAATCCTAGGAGTTGTCGTTCATTAACGGTGCTGAAAATTGTTAAGAGATCCTCCATTCCCCCTCACAGAGCTACAATTCCCAATGTTCCCAGGGAAGAGGGATTGATTAAACCACTATGGGAACTGTGGCTGCTTGGGGGATGGGGGTCTCCTAACAACTTTCATCTCCTGTGGGAAACCATCCCTGCTTAACGCAGCGTTGATACTCCTTTTAAATGTATAGAGCAGATGCCACTAAGGGAACTGTAGCTGCTGGGGGGGGGGTCTGATCAGAACCCTTGCTGTGCTCACACTAGGCTGTGGTCACCCAGCTCTTGTACAGAGGGATGTCAGGTGGCGGGGGGTCAATTTCTTTACAGCTTAAACGGACTAACTGGGACACACTCTTTTCTAGGACATGCGAAAGAGGCCCTCCACATGGCCCAGATGCAGGAACAGACCCTCCAGTTAGAACAGCAGTCCAAGCTAAAGGTAAGCCCAGTTCTGGAACCCAGATTGCTCTGTGTGATTGGCTTTACCTTTTGTTGTTGTTTCTTTGTGGCGTCGTATCTCCGTGCTAGAGGCCATGCTCCCAGATTCTGGGTCTGGCATCTTCAGTACCAAAGATCACAGCAGGGCTATGAAAGACCTTTGCTTTAGTGGACAAGCCATGGCTTACCGTATTTTTCGTTCTATAGGACGCACCGGCCCATAGGACGCACCTCATTTTTTGGGGGGGAAATGAATAAAAAAAATTATTCCCCCAGCTGCCGCCCCAAGCCTCGCGTGCTCGGGCTGCAGGCTGCCGCCCAAGCCTCGCGCGCTCGGCGGGACCTCCCACCGGGCGCGCGAGGCTTGCAGACACTCGCCCGAAGCACGGGAGTCCTCCGGAGGGCTCCCCGTGCTTCGGGCGACAGGCTGCCGCCCCAGCCTTGCGCGCCGGCGGGACCTCCCACCGGGCGCGCAAGGCTTGCAGACACTCGCCCGAAGCACGGGAGCCCTCCGGAGGGCTCCCTGTGCTTCGGGCGACAGGCTGCTGCCCCAAGCCTCGTGCGCTCGGTGGGACCTCCTGCCGGGCGCGCGAGGCTTGCGGACACTCGCCCGAAGCACGGGAGTCCTCCGGAGGGCTCCCCGTGCTTCGGGCGACAGGCTGCCGCCCCAAGCCTCGCGCGCTCGGCGGGACCTCCTGCCGGGCGCGCAAGGCTTGCAGACACTCGCCCGAAGCACGGGAGCCCTCCGGAGGGCTCCCCGTGCTTCGGCGACAGGCTACCGCCCCAAGCCTCGCACGCTCGGAGGGACCTCCTGCCGGGCGCGCAAGGCTTGCAGACACTCGCCCGAAGCACGGGAGCCCTCCGGAGGGCTCCCGTGCTTCGGGCGACAGGCTGCCGCCCCAAGCCTCGCACGCTCGGAGGGACCTCCTGCCGGGCGCGCAAAGCTTGCTGACACTCGCCCGAAGCACGGGGAGCCCTCCGGAGGGCTCCCCGTGCTTCGGGCGACAGGCTGCCGCCCCAAGCCTCGCGCGCTCGGCGGGACCTCCTGCCGGGCGCGCAAGGCTTGCGGACACTCGCCGGGGCTGCAGGCTGCTGCCTGCAAGCCTTGTGAGCCCGCGGGAACTCCCACCGGGCTTGCAAGGCTTGCGGATAGCTTCCTGAAGCCTGGAGAGCGAGAGGGGTCGGTGCGCACCGATGCCTCTCGCTCTCCAGGCTTCAGCTAAGCCTGCATTCGCTCCATAGGACGCACACACATTTCCCTTCATTTTTGGAGGGGGAAAAGTGCGTCCTATGGAGCGAAAAATACGGTAGTTGCAGGGCGTCTGTTGATGTGCAGAAGATCCTGGGTTCAATCTCTGGCATCTTCAGATAGGATTAGGAAAGACCTGAAACCCTGGAAAGCTGCTGCCATTCAGCATAGACAATCCTGATTCAGTATGTCAGCTTCCTATGATTCAACCCTCAATCGCTTTCCCTTTAAATTTTGGCGGAAGGGCCATAGCTCAGTCTACGGTTTAGTCCCCAGCATCTCCAGGTAGGAATGAGAGAGACTCCTGGCTGAGATCTGGGAAGATGCTGCTGGTCAGCGTAGTCAATGCTTGGGTAGATGGACAAAATAGACCAGGCATAGGCAAAATAGACCAGGCATAGGCAAACTCGGCCCTCCAGATGTTTTGGGGCTACAGCTCCCATCATCCCTGACCATTGGACCTGTTAGCTAGGGATGGTGGGAGTTGTAGTCCCAAATATCTAGAGGGCCGAGTTAGCCTATGCCTGAAATAGACCAATAGGGGAAGGGCTGTAGCTCAGCAAAAAAGCACCATGTTGCATGAAAGTGCCTCAGGTTCAGTCCCAGACATTTCCAGGTAGAGCTGGGAACATGCCCTGTCCAAAATGCTGGAGAGCGGCTAGCAGTTAGTGCAGACTATACTTGGTGTAAGGCAGCTTACCCTGTTCTTGCAGAAACCCTCAGAGCTTTTGCCAGTGAGAAAAGACAGCACACAGTCTGGTTGAGGATAAAGTATTTTTTATTTATTTCACTCAGCTTTTGCAGAATATTTTTATCTCATGTTGCTTACTCTGCCACCAGTATTTTTGTTTCATTTTTAAGTTGGCTTCATTAGTTTTTGTTCTTTAGTGTGTGTTTTTTAGTGGATTAAATATGTTAATGTATTTTATTATTTCTGCCTGTGTTTGTCGATTTGGCACACTCGTATCCTGCTGTTGAAAAGGCTTGCATGGCAGTTACTTAAAGCAAGACAGCCCCCACCCTCACCCCGGCTTAACAGACTAAAAACTACACAACACTAAAGGAATGAGGAGGGAAGAGGAAATAAACTTTGGTCCCAATTCTTAAAAGTTAAAACAGTAGTTATTTTAATGACTGGGTGGAATGAATATAGTTCAGGGACAGGAGGAATCTGATGGGACTGGACTTTTTCCACTGTGGCAGCCTGCTAGAATTCCATATTATCATTTATATGATATATAAATGAGATTCCTTCAGCATTTTGAAAGGAAAGGCGGCGGTGATGACAATGGTATTAAGTTAAGATAATTGGCACCTATATAGGGTGCTCCAGTTTTCAAAGCCCTTCTGGTGCATTATTTGGTTGTAATTCTTACAACAACCTTGTAAGGTAGATCAGTATTATCTCCCCATACTGCAAATGGAGTGACTAAGAGAGAGCGAGAGCACTTTTCCTATGACCACCTAGAAGAGCAGGTGTGGGGAAACCTTTGACCCACCAGACAGTTTTGCTGAACCACAACTTCCATCATCCCCAGCCATTGAATTGGGTTGCTGGGGTTGATGGGAGTTGTGGTCCAGCAACATCTGGAGGGCCAGAGGTTCCCCACACCTGACCTAGAGAGTTCATGGCAGAGGCAAGATTCAAACAGGGAACTTCCTGATTTACAGCTCATTAGCCTCCAAAATTATCCTTTTTTTCCATTGAGGCACCCCTCCCCAACTGAAAAAGAATCCTTGGGGTCTTTTCAGAGGTTTGTCATTGACTAGGACCATAATAGTAGACAAGGTTCCATGAACAGGCAGTTCATCTCCTACTGATCTTTCTCTTCCTATTCTAAGGAATATGAGGCTGCCATAGAGCAGCTGAAGAACGAGCAGATCCGCGTGCAAGCTGATGAAAGGAGGAAGACGCTTACCGAAGAGACAAGGCAGCAGCAAGCGGTACAAGGCTGGCCTTTGTTATTTATTTCGTTAGTAGCATGGATAAACTTTTATATTTGTGTGTGTGTGTGTAAAAAAATCAATGTGTAATATATTTATACACGTTTGTTAAAAAAATACAGAACCATTAACTAATATGGAAAGGCAGGTGGGAGTAAAAAAACCATTGATAGGTATTTTATTTTATGATGTAATGGCTGTGAAGACGGGGGGGAGGGTTGTACTTAACAAAATTAATTCATATTATTTCATATTGCTATTTTAATTTAATTTTAATTTAAGGTTTGAAAAATTATATATAATTTCATAATTAAATTTTGAAAATTTATTTTACCTTCATAAGAAACGTTTGAAAATTATATATATTCCATTGTTCCAGAGGTTACTTCGCAAAGCCCTGTTTGCTTAGTTCACTGTGTTCTTGTGTATGGAATCGATTTTCCATGTATGTTTTTTTTTCCCCCCTACCACCATGAAGAGAGCGCAGTACCAAGACAAGCTGGCCAGGCAACGCTACGAAGACCAACTGCGACAGCAGGTCAGTCCCGTCCGTCTCCTGAAAATTTCCTCCCATTTTTCCATTTGTGCTTAGACTGCCATGAGTTGCAGTGACAAAATCAAAGCTTTCATTGCCGGAAAAGGGGGAAGGTCTAGAAATCTTAATTGAAATATGCCTCTAGAGCTAGCAACCCTGAACCCATCTACTTCCCCTTTGAAAACGTGCAAATAGGGTTCCCCTGCCATTTATAAGCATGCTTTGAGTCATACAGTCACTCACGCAGAGATGCGGCAGACAGCCTCCTTTCTGAATGCACTGTTATTTGCAGGATTTATATGCTGTTTCTCGGGAAGACTTCACAAATAAGTTTCACCAGATTACAAAAGGAAAGCATTAGTTTGTTTTTTAAAGAAAGTTGCAAAAAATGGAAAAGATAAGTTGTTTGTTTTGAAAAAAGCTTTTACTGCTGCTTCTCCCCCTCAGGGAAGGACGGTCATTCAGGTGGTAGTTAGCCTTTAGTCCCGGGATGGGGAGACCTTTGACCCTCCAGTTGTTGTTGGACTGAAACTCCCATCACCCCTGACCCCAGGAGCCATGCCAGCAGGGGCTGATGGGAGATGGAGTTCAACAACATCTGGAGAGCGACAGGTTAGGAACATAGGAAGCCTCCTTGTGCGGAGTAAGGCCATTAGGCCTCTCTACACTGACTGGCAGCAGCTGCCCAGGATTTCAGAAAGGAGCTCTCTACCAGCCCTACTTAGGCATAGTGTGGATTGAACCTGGACCCTTCAGCATACAAAGCAGATGCTCTACCACCGAGCTGTGTCCCTCCCCATCTCCTTTAAATTGAATCCATTTAGCCTCATTCCCTCTTTAAAACGACACTAAAGGCTCCCGTCTTAATTCAGAAAATATGTTCTCCTGCTGTCAAGCATTTGGGTGGCCCGGGATTCGCATTTTCCGCTGAGTTTTCAACTCCTGTGACAAACTTGCACAAACGAGTTTATATAAATGTAGACTCGCCATGCACAAATTTAACGACATTTGGAATTCATTTTTTATAAACACTGTACAGTGGTACCTCGGGTTACAGACGCTTCAGGTTACAGACTCCGCTAACCCAGAAATAGTACCTCGGGTTAAGAACTTTGCTTCAGGATGAGAACAGAAATCACGCGGCGGCAGCAGGAGGCCCCATTAGCTAAAGTGGTACCTCAGGTTAAGAACAGTTTCAGGTTAAGAACGGACCTCCAGAACGAATTAAGTTCTTAACCTGAGGTACCACTGTATTAGGTTACATTTAAGTAAACTACAATAACAATCACGTAATGTTTATAAGTCTCCCCCTTTTTTTTTCTTTTCACATCTTCTTTTACCTTGTGCCCTTATAACTTTGTACTTCTTATTTCTCAAAAAAGAATATAAAATAAAACCTTTTGGTTGGCCCCGTTTTGTGATTTCTCTCCCTCCCTTCAGCAACTCCTAAATGAAGAGAACTTGAGGAAGCAGGAGGAATCAGTTCAGAAGCAGGAGGCAATGAGGCGTGGTAAGTGTCAAATCTTAGGAGTGGGTCCTCTTTTGCGGCTACCAGTCACAATGGCTCTGCTCTGGTCTATGCTTCCATACACCAGCTGCTGGAAACCACAGGCGAGGAGAGTGCTCTTGTGCTCAGGTCCTGCTTGTGGGCTTCCAAGTAAAGGCGTCCAGCTAGCTACTGCAAGAACAGGATGCTGAACTAAATGGGCCGGGCTATCCTTGCATTCTGATGACGCTGGAAGCAAAGCAATGGGACTCCCATAGCCACGCAAAGAGACACCATTTGCTCTTTCAGTTACAGTGTGGGGGCAAGGGTGTGCCACCCACATTTTCTGAGCCACGAAGAGCAAAGAGCCTCCTACAGGCCCAAGGAAGACAAAGCTGTTTCCTTTTTCTTTTCCGGGGGTGGGGAGGGACACCTCACACAGGCTAGTAGTTGAAAAACCACCTTTAGCATCCTTGGTGGATGAAGGCAGAGTCCCCAGATGCTAACGGTGCCTCTGTCTGCCGTTCTTCCAGCTACCGTGGAGCGGGAGATGGAGCTCCGGCACAAGAATGAGATGCTACGGATCGAGGCCGAGGCACGCGCCCGTGCAAAGGCCGAGCGGGAGAACGCCGACCTCATCCGGGAGCAGATCCGGTTAAAAGCAGCTGAGCATCGCCAGACGGTGCTTGATTCCCTCAAGTAGGTTTGAACAAACCCATTTCATTCCGTTCCATGCAGGCCTGTGGTTTTGCAACTGCAGTTTCTTTCCTTTCCAGACACCCCTCCTTCCTCTTCCTGCTCCTCCCCATCTCCCATAATTGGGAGCTGCCCTCTTCTCCACTGTCAGACTCTTTACAGTCATACCCTGGATCCCGAACGCCTTGCAAGTCGAACGGTTTGGCTCCCTAACACCGCAAACCCAGAAGTGAGTCTTCCGGTTTGCAAACGTTCTTTGGAACTAAAACGACTGACGGGGCTCCCGCGGCTTCTGATTGGCTGCAGGAGCTTCTTGCAGCCAATCAGAAGCTGCGCCTTGGTTTCCGAACATTTTGGAAGTCGAACCGACTTCCGGAATGGATTCCGTTCGACTTCTGAGGTACCACTGTATTCACTATTATTGATTAATTAAATTTGTATACTGCCCTGTACTCACAAGCCTTGGGGCAGTTCACAACATAAAATCACAAGATAAAAACACAAGATACGTAATAAAAAATAAATAAATGTACAACCCAAGATTCAAACCCTTGACTGAAATGAACTAATCAAGCCACCGAGTTTATTTATTTATTTGATATATTTATATTCCACCTTTCTCTCAAGCTTGGATTCAAGGCGGCCTACAGTATTTAGGAACACTGGCTATAAAATGCAGAGTAATGAATGCAGAGCTAGTTGAGAACAATAATCAAAGTAGAGTACGCCGTATCTGATACCAGGGATTAAAATGTAATTTGCCCTGATAGCAGCCCAGAGACCAGCATCGTCTGAACCTTAGTTTCCCATAGGCCTGTCTGAACAGGAAGCTCTTAGGTTGCCAGTGGAAAAAATAACAAAGAAGGAGCCAGTCTTAACTGTTCTTGGGAGGAAATTCCATGTTCTGGGAGCGGCTGCGGAAAAGGCCCTGTCTCGCGTCATCACCAACCGTGCTCCTGGTGTTGATGGGACCGAGAGGAGGTGCTCATTTGAGGATCAGTTCCAGCTTGCGGCCTGATGTGAGGGTGATGGTAGCTCTCTTTGCCTCCTTCTTGACATCTCTTGCTCGTTTGTCTCCCTAGAACTGCTGGGACGTTGTTTGGAGAAGGGTTTCGTGCCTTTGTGACTGACTGGGACAAAGTGACAGCTACGGTGAGCCAGGGTCTGGTGGGCAGAGGCACTGTGCAAAGGTGCAAATACTCGGTTTCTCTCTCCGTGGCCTGGGAGTGGGAGGTGACCAGGGAGCTGCTGAAGTAGAGAGAGAAGGGAAGCAGAAAGAAATGGGGAGGGGACATAGCTTACTGGCAGAGCACCCGCTTTCCATGCAAAAGGTCCCAGGTTCAATCCCCACAGCATCTCTCTAAGTAGGGTTGGGGAAAGCTTCTCTGAAACCCTGGAGAGCTGCTGCTGGCCGGTGTAGACAGTACAGTGGTGCCTCGCAAGACGAAATTAATCCGTTCCGCAAGAGTCTTCGTCTAGCGGTTTTTTCGTCTTGCGAAGCAAGCCCATTGACGGATTAGCGCTATTAGCGCTATCAGCTGTTTAGCGGCTATTAAAGGCTTAAAGGCTTAGGGATTAGCTGCTAAAAGGCTATTAAAGGCTATTAAAGGCTTAGCAGATTAGATAAAGGGGGAAAAGCGAAAACAAAATCGCCAGACTCGCAAGACATTTTCGTCTTGCGAGGCAAGCCCATAGGGGAATTCGTCCTGCGAAGCAACTTCAAAACGGAAAACCCTTTCGTCTAGCGGTTTTTCCGTCTTGCGAGGCATTCGTCTTGCGGGGCACCACTGTACTGAGTTAGAGGGTATAATAAGGTACGAGAACACTCATATCAATATACTTCACTGGAAATACTTTGAAACGTTTATCTAGTTAAGTTCAGTGTAACAAACTTTATTCCTTCTTCTTTATCTCTCTGTTTAGTTTTTGTTTTGCATTGTCTTTGTATGATTGCAAAACAATTTCATGGTGGGTGGGATACAAAATGCCTTTATATTAGAATATATACCATTTATTGGAACATATAAACACACACACACACAAATGCACAAGATCTGACAGTTTTGCACAGAAGGTAGGCCATGGCTGGCCCTCCCATTGTAAGAAGAGCAAAATCTTCACACAGAGAAATAAACAGTCCATCTGTTCTCAACCAAAGTCTTTCCCACTTCTTCCTTTGGCTTTTCTTTAACTCATCACACAGCATTAAATTCCAAGCTTTAGCATAGGGTAATGCAATATAACAGTTTCACCAAAACATTGAAACACACGCAATTAAAATGTGCAATAAAAACCAGCCCGTTGCAACAGCGCAAGGGTTTAGAACAGCAATTAAAACAATTAAAGCAGGAGGATTTATGTTGGGAGATCAGGGGGATGCTTGTCTGAACAGGTGCATCTTCAAGAGCAGATGGGATGTCAGTAATGTATTTTCAGCCGGGAGAGCTTAAAGAGCCTGTTTAAAAAGATGTAAAAGGCTGGGACAGTCACAGGATCAAGTGTTTCCTTGGCGTATGTATAGTTCTGGGTTTTTCCTAGCATGCTGCCCTTACGGTGGAATGGAGTCAGCCTTTCCAAAAGGGGCCTTGAGTCTTCCTTGAGACGACATTCTTTATTTTATATCCTGCCTTTCTCCCAGTGCAGAACCCAAGGCGGTTTGCGGTATAAATTAAAACGAATACAGCTAAAGGCACATCATACATATTTTAAAAGCAATAAAATAAGTAACTCTATGAACAATAATAACCATTGGAGCAGCACCCAGGTAAGACCTAACAATGAGGGCCTGACTCTACCAGGCCTCAGGTATTGGCCTGATCAGAGCCAGAGTAAAATTATCTTTTTACAGATGGTCACTGATAAGTCTTGGACAGAAAACATACCTCGTCTGCCGTCTTAGCATTTATTAAACCACAAACCTCACATATTGGACCGATCAAAGCAGGCATTAGCCTGAGAGCATAGGAGCCAACTCCTAGGGGCCGAGGGGTTTTCATCCCCCCTAATATATTTGAGGGGTCCGGTGCCTCCCCAAAGTTGATGAGCGTTGCCGTTCAAATGGTGTGTGTGCACTGCATCATGTGATTGATTATGTGGGGTGGGGCTTCCCTGGCCCCCTCCCCCAGTATTTTATTCAGCTTGGCACCCCTGCCTTAGAGTAATATACAGTCTACAGGATAGACATTAAGCGCTACTTGAGAATGTGGGCCCAGACCTCCAGGCTTGGGATAGGGTTGGGTGGAGGACGGTTTCAAACTGGCTCCAAGCAGTCCCTGTTTCATCAGATATTACGCTGGTAGGAGCTTTATATTTTTGGGAGCGCTAATCAAATGCTGGCTGGTGAGACATAGGAAGAGAATTGTGTAGCAAGCAGCTCTTCCCGGGGTTTTATATAGGAATAGAAAAAGGCTCCCAAAATCCTTCCGTGTGTGTTGGAAGTTATTTACCTGTTACAAGGGCATCGGAAGCCATTGGTTGGCCTAGTCCAGCATTGCCAACACTGACTGGCAATGGCTAGGGTTTCAGGCCCAGAGTTTTTCCTAGCCCTAGCTCTGGAGATGCCAGAGATTTGATTTGATTTGATTTTTTTTGAGATGCTAGAGATTGAACCTGGGCTCTTCTGCACACAAATCAGACGCTCTACCAACTGAGCTGTGCCCTTTCCATTCACACTTCCTCCAACGAGTTCAAAACAACGTGCAGTCGTACCTTGGAAGTTGAACGGAATCTGTTCTGGAAGTCCGTCCGACTTCCAAAACGTTCAGAAACCAAAGCGTGGCTTCTGATTGGCTGCAGGAAGCTCCTGCAGCCAATCGGAAGCTGCGGAAGCCCCGTCGGACGTTCAGGTCGCAAAGAACATTCGCAAATCGGAACACTCACTTCCGGGTTTGCAGCGTTCAGGAGCCAAAACGTCTGAGTACCAAAGCGTTCGGGAGTCAAGGTATGACTGTACTTGGTTCTCTTCCCCAGCTCCCTCTCTTCTCAAGAACCCTGCAAGGTAGGCGAGGTGGACTGTGACTCCCAGTAAGTCATTTGATGAGTTTCATGGCCAAGTGGAGAGTTTTGAGCTTGGGTTTCCCTGGTTGCAGTCCAGGAATCTTAACCATTATAGTGGTACCTTGGGTTAAGAACTTAATTTGTTCTGGAGGTCTGTTCTTAACCTGAAACTGTTCTTAACCTGAAACACCACTTTAGCTAATGGGGCCTTCTGCTGCCGCCGCGCCGCTGGAGCACGATTTCTGTTCTCATCCTGAAGTTCTTAACCTGAAGCACTATTTCTGGGTTAGCGGAGTCTGTAACCTGAAGCATGTGTAACCCGAGGTACCACTGTATACCACACTGGTGGTTCCAACAAACCTTTACAATGGGGCAAAAATTCAAAAAGGTTTCTTAGAGCTCGTATTTCACCTTGCAGATGGGACACTGAGAGAAGCATTCAGAGAGATGACACTCTTAAACAGGCTTCCTCAAACTCGGCTTCCAGGTGTTTTGAGACTACAGTTCCCATCACCCCTGAACACTGGTCCTGCTAGCTAGGGATCATGGGAGTTGTAGGCCAAAAACATCTGGAGGGCCGAGTTTGAGGAAGCCTGCTCTTAAAGATGGGAGGTCATTGGGGTGGAGAGACATGGTGCGACCTGAGTTTTCTATCCCTCCCTGCATTGGGTTTTTGATACGAACCGTAATTGCATTTTAGGTACACTAGGTAGCGCCTTTGCCGTTTTAGTGGCGCGATCCACCTGCACGCAGTCACTACTCCTTCCCCCCTTTTTTTTTTTACCACTGCCGGCCTGGTAGTGGAGCTCGAATCGTGCCTTTCGGCTTGCAACTGATCATCAGCTGCTGCCGCAGCGGGAAAGCTGTTGAAGCAACGCTTTTCCCCTCTCTCCCCAATGCCAAAAATATAGCCCTTGTGTAACACTTCGGGCATTAAATGGAACAGGCATCTCTTGAGGCTGCTGGTGTTTCAGATCCCAGCTCCTCCTCGCCTCCAGCTCCTTCCCAGCCTGTTTTTGCCGAAAGCTGATGGGCAAGGGAGAGAAGGGGGCCTGCCGCGGTTGCCAGGCAACCGCCAGAGGATTTTCCGCAGCTGCTTCTTGGCCCAGGAGACGGTCCCTATCTGTTGTCTGTTTCCAGGTGGAATGAGAAATCCCTTGTGGTGGGAAGACTCAAGCAGCCTAACCCCAGAAAAGGCCAAGAACAGCCTCAGCCGTTTGCTGGGAAATGCACCGTGAATCTCTTGTGTCTCCCCCAAAGGTTGCAAGATTCTCAGGGCAGGTCCCCTCTTGCTTACGTGACTTTGCCAGGCAGGAGTGGGGAGCCTCAGGCCCGGGGGACAGATGTGGCCCTCCAGGCCTCTCTGTCAGGCCCTTGTAACTCTCCCCCAAGCCACACCCCTTGCTGGTGCTTTTTTCACAACCAGAGTGCTTATTAAGCCTGGCGGGAATGCAGCCTGGTAACGCTGGTAAGGCCTCTTGCACATTTGCAAAGCTAAGCAGGGTCCGGTATGGTTTCACAGTGGATAGGAGACTGTGTGTTGAGATCCCTGCGTTGCTGGGGGTTGGACTTGATGACCCTTGGGGTCCCTTCCAACTCTACAATTCTGTGATTCTTTTTGTAAAATATAATTTTTATTAAATTTTCAGAATTTCACAAAAACTTAATCACATCTTTGTTCATAGATAGACTTCCCACCCACACCTCTGCAGTGTTTTTATTCAAACCCTTTCCTACTGTGTTGTATTTCAAGCTCTTTATCAAAAAACAATTATTTTGTCATTTTTCTTCCCCTGCTCATATCTCAAATCATGCCAGTGATTTCATTTGACTACAATATTTTTTATAATAGTCCACAAATCGCCTCCATTCTTCTCTAGAAAGTTCATCATTTTGATCAATTAATTTTGTTGTTAGCTTTGCTATTTCCGCTCCGCCCACTTTTGCTTCTGGCCCCGCCCACCACTGCCATGTAATTCCCTCTCCCAAAGGCTGTCACTGCTTTGTTGCCTGTGATTTAGCAACTTGTTTCTAGCCACACCCAGGCCACACCCCCTTCTCACATTTGCTTCATACCCTCCTTGAGAGTTTTTGCCTGGCTGGAATGTGTCATTGAACTCTGAGCATTTCTCTTGCTTGCCTGGGTAGAGTATAGGGAGGCCTCCTATTCTGCTGTGCAACGCTAAAACATATTCTCATTGTTCTGCCCAGTTTATGACTTGGGCCCTGCCTGCCAGTGGCATGTGGCGGAAGGTTGCCCAGAAAGGAATGGCAGTGGCTACAGATCACAAGTAGGGGGAACAGAATGCTGGACTACATGTGTCAGTCGCCTGATCCAGCAGATCTCTTCTTATTTTCTTAATGCAGTCCTCGACCAGGGGGGCGAAAAAGCATGCATGTCAACTTTATATACTGTCTTCCAATCCGTAATGTGCAAGTTGGAAGCACATCGATACTGACAACAATAAAACAGCAGTATGAAAATCCCCCAATTAATCCGCAGAAACATATAGATACAGGGGTCAGCAAACTTTTTCAGCAGGGGGCCAGTCCACTGTTCCTCAGACCTTGTGGGGAGCCAGACTTATATTTTGGAGGGGGTGGGAGAACAAATTCCTGTGCTCCACAAATAACCCAGAAATGCATTTTAAATAAAAGGACAAATTCTACTCATGTAAAAACATGCTGATTCCCGGACCGTCCACTGGCCAGATTTAGAAAGCGATTGGGCCGGATCCACCCCTGGGCCTTAGTTTGCCTACCCATGGTATAGAACAACGCAACACACTGTTCATAACTGGCAAGGACTGATCAGTGTCGAAAGCCGTCCGTTAATCACCTCTGCAATTTATTTCTTTGGAACCATGCGATGAAAAGTATTCCTAAGCAGACAAGGAGACACAAGTTTCAAGATAATTAAATAGCAGCAATCCATTTTCTGTTTCACCAAAATATGGCGGCCAGCTTCTTCCTCCTTAGTCTAAGCATTGCGCTTGTGGAAACCAGCAGGAGAATGGGGACAGAACTAGAATGAGTTGGCTCAGCCCTGTCATTGGCTCTGGCGCCATCTTACTCTTGGGCTCCCCGCTTTCTGCTTCTGAATATCGGATGCGGGAAACTGCAGGAGTAGAGAATCTTGTGCTTCGATCCTGCTTTCAGGCTTCCCAGGGGCCTCTGGCTGGCCACTGCGGGAACAGGACGCTGGACGCAGATGGGCCATTGGCTTAATCCAGCTCTTCGTATGTTCAGCCTGACCATTGGGGGGCAGATGGGATTTGGAGCCCATCAAATCACAGTGCCGTTTTGAGCAACTTTGCTGTACTGTTGCTTCCCCCCTCCCCTCTTTTCCGTACCTCCTCTTGATCTGGTGTGTATTTTCCTTTAACGAGTGCCGCCGGGCATCAGGAACCTTGGCAAGGGGAGAGAGTTTTATGTAGCGGCAGCCAGCCTGAGACTCTTTGATGGCATCGGAACTGCCCGTAGCGAAACAAGGGAGGTCAGACACCCCATCGAGCCCAGCCTTGCAACCCCTGTGACAGCTGTACCCTGGAGGCGGGTTGAGGAGAGGGGGCATGGGTTCATTTTGAGCGTGTTGTAGAAGAGAAATCGCCTCTGGTAGGCGCGAGGAAGGAAGCAGGAGACCGTGTTCCGCATCGTGCCTGCGACTCTGGTGAAGTTATTCTGCATAACTCAACAGGCACTGCGAACATCCTGCCAACTGGGACCCTCTGCCTGCAGCTGTAATTTGTTGATGCTTGTGTTAAAAGGGAAGAGAGGAGAGGGAGAGAAGCTCTTAGCGACATCAAAATGGCCCATTAATCAACCCTGGCCTCCCTTTGTTTTTATTATGATTCCTTCAGCTTGAGCAGAGAAGCAAAGAGCATCTGCAGTGGAGGAGCCTGGCAGGTTTTTGTTCTCCTAAAGGACAGGAACTGAGATGGAGGGGGGGTTAAGGGGCCTTGCGGCAGGCGTGTTTCAGGAGCAGAAAGGGGGGAGCAGGGGCTGTGATGAGTCATGCACGCAAGAGACCCGTAAGCCTATCATTTTTGTGCGCACGCACACACACACCAGCAATTTAGGATTGGCTGGCTTAGATTGGAAGTCTGAGGATCCTAGCGTTTTGTCTTTGTCTCAGGTTTCTAGTCCTCACTGTTGCGGTGCAAAAACATAAAACCTAGGAGGGTTCTTCAGGGCAAGACTTCCACCGTTTCAAACAGAACCGCCTAAGGAGAGCTTTTTCAAACAGCCCAATAGTTTCTTGTCGCATTGCAGGGAGAAAGGTGGGGTGGAATTATTATTATTATTATTTATTAATACTATATCATTTATTGGACTTTTTAGTCACATTTTAAACAAAATATAAACTCAGAGCGACTTCAAACATAGAATAGGTGTTATCCATTGGGTGGTATCGAACTTCTGCCCAGCATAGATCCATTGAAGTTAATGGACCTAAGTGAATTATGTCTATTAATTCCAGTGGGTCAGCTCTGGGGGGTGCAAGGCAAACTCCAGAATTCCCCACTCCACCCCAAAACGAAGGCTTTCTTTTAGTTTGTATGAAATTCAGATTTGTCAATATCTGCCCATGCCACCCCCCAAAAAGTCTGATTTAAAACATGTTTGTTTGTTTTTAAAAGAACAACAACCATCAGGCAGGTTTGGGGGTTTGTTTGCTTTTTCGTAAATTAACCTTGAACAAAACCGGCAAATCTTCTTTTTCTTTCTTTCTTTCTTTCTTTCTTTCTTTCTTTCTTTCTTTCCTTCCTTCCTTTGACAGGTGGCTGGCCTGACCCTCCTGGCTGTTGGCATTTACAGCGCCAAGAACGCAACTGCGGTCGCTGGACGGTACATTGAGGCCCGCCTGGGCAAGCCGTCGTTGGTGAGGGAAACCTCTCGTTTCACCATCCTGGAAGCTCTCAAGCATCCCATTAAGGTAATCCCTTCTAACGTACCGCACGACTCCTCTCATGAGGGGGTGGAATAACCAGGTGGAAGGTACATTCAGCGACATCATAATCCAACGCATTTGTACTTAACTTATTTGTGGCATTTATGTTCCACCTTTTCCCCCCAAAGAGTTTGTCGAGTTCGTGGCCATGCCCTGCCACTACAGATACAGGCAGGAATGCTCCTGAATACCACTTGCTGGAGCCCTCAGGAGGGGAGAATGGTCTTGTCCGCGTGGTCCTGCTTGCAGGTTTCCCCACACACAGTTGGTTGCCCAAGATGCTAGACTAGATGGGCTACTGGCTTGATCCAGCAGGACTGTTATGTTCTTAATTTTCAAGCCCAGGATGATTCTGAATTTATAAACAGAAGGGATTTTACGGGCTGAAACCAATGCACCTGTTATTTAGTTCAATATATGCATGGAGACTTCACTCCAGATTTGTGTAGGGTTTACTCCTTAGCCTTTTCTTCTCCTGAAGATGTCCCTCAAGACAGCAGGTACATACGGTATTTTTTGCTCCATAAGACACGCTTTTTTCCTCCTAAAAGGCAAGGTGAAATGTCTGTGCGTCTTATGGACCGAATGTGTCGATCACTGGCTCCCTTTCTGGCCCTGCCCCCTTGCCCAGGACTCCATTGCTGAATGTTCTGCAGACGGAGGCTGTTTGTTTCCCCCGCGACATGTGACTGGTTGATTAGATTATCTGTGTGGAAACTCTAGAAACTGCTCCCTTTGCTTTACTAAAGAAGCTGCAGAACTGTGAGTTGAACCCCATAAAAACAGGATTGTTTCCCTTTGCAAAGTAAGCTCAAGAACGTAGAGCTAATCCTCAAAAAACCAGGGCTTTTCCCCTTTGCAAAAGAAGCTGCACAACTTTGAGCTGATCCTCAAAAAAACAGGGCTTTCCTCCTCTAAAAACTAGGTGCGTCTTATGGAGTGAAAAATATGGTACCTCCTTCTGGCAACTCCTGCAGCCAAGCTGGTGCCAAATGTATTGCTCTGTTTCCCTTTGGTCCACATCATCAAGGCCAAGAACGGGGTCTTGTCGTTTGGGCAGCCCAGGACCTCCATACACAGCACTCCAGGTTTGCGCCCCAGAAAGGTCATTTTGGTGCTGCTAATGTTGCAAAAACAGCATGGGAGGCAACAGCTACAAGTTACCGGTCACTACAGCCGCAGCAGGTGCTGTGATCCTCAAGTGGCTTGACTTCACCCCCGGAGACTCAACATAGAATCATAGAACTGTAGAATTGGAAGGGATCCTTAGGATCATCTAGTCCAGGCATAGGCAAACTCCAGCCCTCTAGATGTTTGGGACTACAATTCCCATCATCCCTGACCACTGGTCCTGTTAGCTAGGGATGATGGGAGTTGTAGTCCCTAACATCTGGAGGGCCGGCGTTTGCCTATGCCTGATCTAGTCCAAACCCCTGGCATACAGGAATAGGCAGCTGTCCCATTTGGGGATCGAACCTGCAACCTTGGCATTCTCAGCATTCTCTCTGGAGACAGACAGATGCCAAAAACAACATGTATGGAGATTAGTCCCGTCCTGCCACAAATACCTTTCGGTATTCATATCGCCTATAGATATGTTGACAATATAAACTGAAGGGGGAGGAGCTTAAGATATCGTTTATGTGATTGCCACCTAGTGGCCAAAAGGTGAAGTGTTATAAAGTGAAGGGGGAGGAGCTTAAGATACCGTTTACGAGATTGCCACCTAGTGGCCAAAAGGTGAAGTGTTTCGGGGGGGGGAGTTGGAACTGAGCATGCTGCATAACAGAAACTTAAGAAACGGGTATTGGTGTTGCCTGCATGTGTTACAAAATTCACGGGGTGAATAAGCTATATTCTACCGCCATTGTCGGAGGTAGTGTGACTCCGAAGACCAGTTGCTGGTGCAAACGGCCAACCAGATGCCCCGTTTGGAAGCCTGCAAGCAGCAGCAACTGTCCCCACCTGCAGTGACCAGTAGCTGGTATTCAGAAGCATCTTGCCTCTGGCAGTGGCGGTAGAGCAAAACTATCATAGCTCATGGCCACTGGTAGCCTTCCGTCCCATGAATTTGGCTAATCCTCTTTTAAAGCCATCTTGGTTTGGGGCAGTGTGTCCCCACTGGTGGGAAATAGGCTTCTCCCATGCCCTTTGTCCATCACCCATCACAACAGGTAACCTGACTGCCTTCACTTTCTTTCCTAGCTTGGCAAGCGGCTCACCAGCAAAGCCCAGGATGCTCTCGAAGGAGTCATTCTCAGTGTGAGTAAATAATAATAATAATTAAATTAAAAAAGACTATTTGTATAAAGAAGGGATGGCTAACCTGTGGTCCTCCAGACATTCCTGGACTACAGCTCACATCAGCCTCAGCTAACACATCCAATGGCTGGGGATGGATTAGGTGGGCCGTTGGCCTGATCCAACAGGGATGCTTTTGTGTTACATTTTTTGGTCCCTGCCCAGAGCAGTGTGATGGGGAAGAGGTGCCAAATTCCAACAGTACCTCGGTTTTGGCCGAATTCGAGCCACATCTGCCAAGGGAGTGCGCACTAAAGGCTTTAATTTTCCTGTGCCTGCTATCAGCTAATTCGCCAAATGGTGTGAATTGCCCCCAATGGCCGCAGGATGAAGGTTTCCCCACCCCAGTAAGTTCTCAGCCAGGACGAGATTTGAACCCCGGCTTTCCGCTTCAACTGTGCCAACTTTGAAAGAGGAGTTGGACTTCTCCTTCTGCTCCCCTTGAAGATTGCAAAAGCAGCTTCCTCGGGGTCAAAAAAGCATTTCCCAGCTTTGTTTCATTGCCAAGACTGTTGGAGAGAAATGTCGCTCAAGAGGGGTCGAGTGAGTCTTTACTCCGAGCCAAGAATCCACATGTGGGGAACCTTTGCTCACCTCCGCACAGCAGCCAGCGAAAAAAATCCCTGAGTCAGCACTCGCAAGCTTCCCCCCCCCCTTATGCCAGCACCTTAATGGGCTAATAATTTCTGCCCGGGCGCCGCTTGTTGTAGATAATTGTGGGAATAACGCCACAGTTTGACGACTCTCTTTTCCTAGCAAAAAAGCATGCTAGTCAAAGTTGAGGCTGCCCTTTGCTCTCACTAAAGATAAAGGTAAAGGGACCCCTGACCATTAGGGCCAGTCACGACTGACTCTGGGGTTGCGGTGCTCATCTCGCTTTATTGGCCGAGGGAGCCGGCGTACAGCTTCTGGGTCGTGTGGCCAGCATGACTAAGCCTCTTCTAGCGAAACCAGAGGAGCGCATAGAAACACCGTTTACCTTCCCGCCAGAGTGGTACCTATTTATCTACTTGCACTTTGATGTGCTTTCAAACTGCTAGGTTGGCAGGAGCAGGGACCGAGCAATGGGAGCTCACCCCGTTGCGGGGATTCGAACTGCTGACCTTCTGATTGGCAAGTCCTAGGCTCTGTGGTACAACCCACAGCGCCACCTGTGTCCCCTGGCTCTCACTAATGGCACCTTATTCAGGAATTTTGCCATTTCTTCAAAAAGAGCCGTGTGTCTACGCTTAAAAGCAAGAGTGGGCACTGGGTCTGGCTGACGGGTCGGACGGTTATCTCCCTCACTGCTTGTGGGCCACTTTTGGCAGAAGGGCATCAGGTGTCTGACCAGATGGTATGGAACACTTTGCTATAGGGCTTCTCAACTGATTGTTGGGTCTCGCAGAGCACTTTGCAAGAGGCTCCACAGGATCCGACCACAATCAGCTGACTGCACAGGGGCTTGGCGAGACCTTCCAGTCATCCGCCTTGTCAGAATTTGCACAGGGTTTGTGCCTACAACGCCCGTTCTGGCTGACCTGGTGTCAAGCGTAGCGGGGCAGGCAGCCCGCGGTTTGGTCAAAACGACCTTGCGGGCCAAATGCGGACTGATTGAGCCTGCCATCTGGAGGTTCCCCACCCCTGGCTAAAAGAGCCTTAGGCATTCCATTTGCCAAAAAGCTCCAAGGATGCTTTGCGGGAGCATCACTCACAGGAGCCGCTCCTGCCACACATCAGCATACACCTGGGCTGTTCAAACCACCCACAAGCAAGCCTAGCAATTCACAGGAGCGAGTAAATGTAAACGAGGCCATAGGCAAGAGCATGCCATCTGTTCCCAGCATGCACCGGGAGCTCATCCCACACGTTAGCAAGCAACGAAATGCAAGCATGTTCATCTCTTTTTTACTTCGTAAAAACTGTGTGCCCCTTGATTGTAAAGAAAACCGCAAGGTCGTTTACGGAAAGAACAAAACGATGCAATTGCTGGGGGAAACAACTATTTAAAACATTTTTTTTCAAAGTTAAAATCAGTTATAAACTACCCACAGATCAAAACAAGTGTCAGCTCCCCTAACGTTTTTGAGCAGTACAGTGGTGACACCTGCCTGGTGTCAGTAGGCAGGGAGTTCTAAAGCGAAGATGCTCTCTAAAAGAATGATTCCTTACAAATGCAATGTCATGCAGCCGCTATAACAGCGCCGGATCCACAGATCAAAATGGTCGAGTGGGCAGATATGGGGGAAAGCGATCTCGCAGGTCCCAAGTTGCTCAGGGCTTTACCTATTAATGGTAACAGCTTGGTAGCAAAGACTATTCTGTTTGGGTCTCTGAGCACAGCTATTCCATGCCGACCAGGTCTCACTCCTGCCGGCAGTCGTGCTGCAACATTCTGCGCAAGCTGCAGCTTGCGAGTCAAGCACAAGGGAAGCCCCACGCTGCTTCTGGCATGCATCACAAGAACACACGCATGAGCAAGCACCAAAGATGGTTTCCTCCATGCCCTGATTGTGGGCATCCCAGAGGCATCGTGACGGAAACAGGATACTGGGCTGGTTGGAAAGTTGGTCTGAGTCCTAGGGCTCGTACGTAGGTAGAGTCCCTGACCCACCCACCCGGTGTTTATTCCATGTCTTCTTAGTTCAACCTTGCCCTTTTTCCATATTTTTTTTTTTGCAGCCAAAGCTGGAGGAGCGAGTGAGAGACATTGCCATTGCGACACGGAACACGCGGAACAACAAAAGCTTGTACAGGAACATCCTCATGTACGGCCCCCCTGGGACGGGGAAGACTCTCTTTGCCAAGGTAGCCCCAGTGGCATCATTGCGATGTGATCACTGCCAGCAGCTCAATCGACAGCCTCTCGGGTCACCACTCCTGAAGGCAGGGGAGAGCTCTTCACATCAGGGCACACTTATAAATCCTGCTCTGGTCGGCATCAGACCAGAGGGTTGGGGCCCTCTGGTCGGCTTAAAGTTGAGGGTCTGGGGCTTCAGGCTAGCCCCAGTCACTGAGCCTTTGATAGGATCACCTGAGTATGTTTCTGTGACCTTTATTCATGAGGGCTAGGATGCTTTTTAATTTTTTTTTAAATTATAATTTTGGAATTTGGGGTTTTGCAATATATTCTACAGAGCTATGTAAACACCATAGGGCAAATGTTTTTTATTATTATTATTATTATTATTATCATCACAGTGGTACCTCAGGTTACATACGCTTCAGGTTACAGACTCCGCTAACCCAGAAATAGTGTTTCAGGTTAAGAACTTTGCTTCAGGATGAGAACATAAATCGTGCTCTGGCGGCGCGGCAGCAGCGGGAGGCCCCATTAGCTAAAGTGGTGCTTCATGTTACGAACAGTTTCAGGTTAAGAACGGACCTCCGGAACGAATTAAGTACTTAACCCGAGGTACCACTGTATTATTATTATTATTATTATTATTATTATTATTATTAATTAAATTTGTATACTGCCGTATATCTGCAGGTCTCAGGGTGGTTTGCAAGACAAGATCACAATATAAAACACAGACTACATAATCAAAAAAAAAAACAAAAACAGTCCAGTAACTCCCCCCGCCCCAACACATTTTTGAAGGGCATTGGGTGTCAATGTTTATCATTACTTGATTTTCTTTTTCGCTCCTCTAGTTGCTGAGCCTTTGATGGGGCCCCGGAGTATGTTTCTGTGTCATTTACAAATGAGGATTAGGAACCTGCTTTTTTAAAGTATTTTTCAAAAATATTATTGGGAAGATAGTTTGTGTACAAGATTCTACAGTTATGTAAATAAAAAGGTAAAGGTAAAGGACCCCTGGCAGTTAATTTCAGTTGTGAACGACTCTGGGGTTGCGGCACTCATCTCGCTTTATTGGCCGAGGGAGCCGGCGTACAGCTTCCGGGTCATGTGGCCAGCATGACTAAGCCGCTTCTGGCGAAACCAGAGCAGCGCACGGAAACGCCGCTTACCTTCCCACCAGAGCAGTACCTATTTATCTACTTGCACTTTGACATGCTTTCGAACTGCTAGGTTGACAGGAGCAGGGACCGAGCAACAGGAGCTCACCCTGTCGCGGGGTTTCGAACTGCCAACCTTCTGATCGGCAAGCCCAAGAGGCTCAGTGGTTTAGACCACAGCGCCACCCGCGTCCCTTTATGGAAATATCACAGGGCAAATGTTGATTGTTATTTGATTTCTCCCTCTCCCCCCCCCTTTCTTTCTTTCTCCCTCCCTCCCTCCCTCCCTCTCTCTCTCTCTCTCTGTCTTTTTCTCTGCTCCAGAAATTAGCCATGCATTCTGGCATGGATTACGCCATCATGACTGGTGGTGACGTCGCCCCCATGGGGCGGGAAGGAGTTACTGCCATGCACAAGGTCTTTGACTGGGCAAATACAAGCCGGAGAGGGTAAGCTTTGATCTGTTTCCCACCACTTTCTCAGATCGAGAGTTCCATCTTGCTTTTACACACATGCACACACACAAAAAGATGTTGCTTTCCTCTCAGTACACAATCCGTTGCAGTTTTCAGTTGCTTCATTTAATCTTGGTGTGGTCTGGGCGGCTTCCAACAGAATAATAAAAACACAGTAAAACATCAAACATTAAAAATCACCAAGCGGTGATTGCAGAACCGTTCATGGGCCGGATCTGGAGGGCAATTGGGCCGGATTTGGCCCGCGGGCCTTAGTTTGCCGGCCCCTGCCATACACCGAGTCAGACCAATGGTCCATCTAGCTTGGTTCTGTCTACACTAACTGGCAGCAACTGTCCAGGGTTTCAGGAAGAGAGTCGCTCCCAGCCCCACCTGGAGATACTGTTCGGGATTGAACCCGGACTCTTCTGCGCACACAGCGGATGCACTGCCCCTGAGCCACGGTGCTTCCCTGAAACTTAAAGCCTACTGTGCAGAGATTAAGTTGACCTTCTTGGCCCCGCCTACTTTTGCCTCTGGTCCCGCCTGCTGCTCGCATGCAGCCATCGAGTTGAAAGAGGTTCTACATTCCTGCTGTTGTGGTACCCAGCATGTTCTCTACAATACCGTGGTACCTCGGTTACATAGGCTTCAGGTTACATACGCTTCAGGTTACAGACTCCACTAACCCAGAAATATTGCTTCAGGTTAGGAACTTTGCTTCAGGACGAGTACAGAAATCGTGCTCCGGCGGCACGGCAGCAGCAGGAGGTCCCATTAGCTAAAGTGGTGCTTCAGGTTAAGAACAGTTTCAGGTTAAGAACGGACCTCCGGAACGAATTAAGTACTTAACCCGAGGTACCACTGTAAAGAGAAAGCAAATACCTTCCACAGTGATGGTGCTGTTTGGCGCTTCGTCTCTTCTCTCCTGCACCCCCAAGCATCTCCCAGAGACCCATTAAAACCGAGTAAGAGGAACTGGGGATCCGGCGCTGTGTGCCTATGCCGTCCTATTTTGTGGGGGGTGCCGAAGGAGGGAGGTTCGGGGATGGCGCTGAGCGTGGCTAATTGATGATGTATGTGTCCCTTGATTGGCTCCGACAGACATTCGCTCCCTTTGTCCAAACTGATACGCAGGCACATTCATCACCAGAATGTTTCTATTTTCCACCTTTTTCTTTCCTTAAAAAGAAAGGGGGGGGAGAGAGAGAGAGAGAGAGAGAGAATGGAAAGCCACCCATGAAATGAAATATTTAGAGCACTGCAAAACAAACTTCCTTTTGCAGATGGTTTTTCGTGGCCCACCTTTTTGTGGGGGGAAACGGCAAGAAAAGCTGAAATGCTGCATGTGTTTAAAAATGCATTGGCGGTCCATGTTAAATTATTCACCGGCCGGGGGGGGGGGAGAGAAAGCCAGCAGAATTGCAGATCCCAGAATGTGACAAAGCAGCCTCTCATAGCTCCCTGAGTGACTTCTGAAACCCTCCTCCCCTTTGCTACTTTACAAGCCAACCCCTAGAGCTATGGTGTGTTTTCATGCTATTCCATCCTTAAGGAGTCTTTTTAAAAATAAAAAAAAGCATTGTGGTTTGTATGCCAGGGAGCATAGTAACACAGAAAAACATATCCATGGTTTTATCAGTCTAGTTCACACCTGGCTATTGGACATGCTGGCTGATGGGAGGAGTTTGTTTTTGGACTACAACGCCCATCATCCATGCCTATTGGCTGCGCTGGCAGATGCTGACGAGAGGAGCTGTTGCTACTGTTGTAGTCACTTTATTTATTTATTTGAATTGTTTCCGTGCATTGTTGTTGCTGCTGCCGCTGCTGTTGTTATTTAATCTCAAAAGCTGTTGACAACCCAGTTTAAAGCACCAAGTTAAAAAATTGCACAATATCAGAACGAAACCTTAACAGACGAAGCTTGCGTATATAATGTGTCTTTAAAGCAGCATAACGGACAAGAAAGCAAAATTCTCTCTTAAACCGTATCATGGATAAAAATCGAAGGCTTTCATGCAGTCCTCAGAGCTGACCCATGGAAATTAGCGAACCTAAGTTACTCATGCGTGTGTTAAATTTTAACGGGCCTACTCTGAGTAGGACTGACTAACGTAGGTCACAACCCAAAAGCAATAGATGCCACAAAACCTACTCTGAGCAGATGCGTTGAAATGAATGAACTTGTCTAACTTAGGTCCTCTGGTGGGCACGCTCCAAGGAAGTCTTGGTTAGGCACAATCCCATATTTGTTATTTTTTTACACCGAAGCGTCTTGGGTGAACTTTGGATTGGTGATGGCCCAACTCTGCAAGGATGGTGGGCCCATTTGCTTGATCCACTGCTCCTGCCAGACTCACCCAGGCTTTTCATTTTTTTTAACAGCCTCTTGTTGTTTGTGGACGAAGCTGATGCGTTCCTGCGGAAGAGGTCAACGGCAAGTACTTCACACTCCCTTCTCTCTCTCTTGCATGTTGTACGCATGCTATCGTTTAGTTTTTACCGAGTATTTATAAACTGCTTTTCATGGAATGTTTCGCAATCGAAGGGTGGGGAACCACGAAATAATAATAATAATAATAATAATAATAAGTTTTATTTATATCCCGCCCTCCCCAGCCGAAGCCGGGCTCAGGGCGGCTAACAACAATAAAACAATACAAAAGTACAGCATAAACAACACTCTAAAATCATTCATTATAAAATTCATTAATTCAAGCCACTGGCAACCATTGGGCCAGAGCTCCGCGAAGATTGCCGAGGGAGGGAGTCAGGCTGTGCCCTGGCCAAAGGCCTGGTGGAACAGCTCTGTCTTGCAGGCCCTGCGGAAAGATGTCCAGTCCCGCAGGGCCCTGGTCTCTTGTGACAGAGTGTTCCACCAGATCGGAGCCACAGCCGAAACAGCCCTGGCTCTAGTTGAGGCCAGCCTAACTTCTCTGTGGCCTGGGACCTTCAAGATGTTTTTATTTGAAGACCGTAAGTTTCTCTGTGGGGCATACCAGGAGAGGCGGTCCCATAGGTACAAGGGTAATAATTAAAATATGGCTATACAGAAAACACACACACATTTAGTTAGTTTCGTTATTCCCTGCTTGGGATTCTGGAATATTCCGTGAAAAGCAGGTTATAAATACTTGATAATAACAAACTGAAGGAGTATGTGTTTTCTGTATTTTTATATTTTAATGCATGGTTAATTTAATTGTGATTTCTCCTCCTTGCAGGAAAAAATCAGCGAAGACCTACGAGCCACGTTGAATGCCTTCCTGCACAGGACGGGGCAGCACAGCAACAAGTAAGATTCAGGGGAAACATAAGAGCCATCTTCCAATGTCTGAAGGTGTGTCATGCAGAAGATGAAACAGACTCTTTGGGTGGTGTCCCAACATTTGTCCTACTCAGATTAGATCCATAGACTTGCAAGGTCGCCTTACCTTCCATATACAGTGGTACCTCGGGTTACATACGCTTCAGGTTACATACGCTTCAGGTTACAGACTCCACTAACCCAGAAATAGTGCTTCAGGTTAAGAACTTTGCTTCAGGATGAGAACAGAAATCGGGCCCCGGCGGTGCAGCAGCAGCAGGAGGCCCCATTAGCTAAAGTGGCGCTTCAGGCTAAGAACAGTTTCAGGTTAAGTACGGACCTCCGGAACAAATTAAGTACTTAACCCGAGGTACCACTGTATAGCTCCACCCACTTTTGCCTCTGGCTCCGCCCATGTGGCCCCTGGAAGGTTGTCAAGAATGGAATCTGGCCCTCAGGCTGAACAAAGTTTCCCCCATACCATAGACATATGCATTACTCTTGGATTTTGAGCCTTCTCTGGGCATAGCCAACCCATTTTGTTTTAAAATAAATAAATGATGAAATGGGATATTATCTCAGCGTTGCTTTCCACTGCAGAATTCCTTATTGCCCGCAGGCCTGTCTAATTATACATTTGGCTTCACTCTAGTTATCCTGTTTTGATGGTTCTACTCTCCCCCCCACACACACACACACAAAAAGCAAATTTGATTGGTGCATATCTTCATTTAGGGAATAGTTCTGGGTTCCCTCTTAAAAAAACAATGTTCTGCAGAGCCTGTAAGGAATTGACTCCAGTCACTCAACGCCACAGTAACGTATGCAAATCCACCAATAATGAGCCCCCCGGGAGACAGTTAACTGGCAATTCTGCCTTCTGTCAGGAAAATGTGTGCTTTTAAGTAGCCAATTTTACGCTTCTAGCAAACCCTTCAGGAATGCCGAGTCCTGGACGTTCAGAGTTACTGTTTCCAAGAGCAACTGGTTGGGTCCAAGATGGCTGCCCTCTCATCCTCTTCCAAAATGCCTGCCAGTTCTCCTATTCAGAGTGCCCCCAGAAGCGCAAACGGGAGACGCCTCTCGCTCAAGCTTTTTTATGCTTCTGAAGTGTGGTTAAGGTAAAAAGGTAGGACGGTTAAGTCCAGTCAGAGGCAGCTTTGGGGTTGCGGCGCTCAGCTCGCTTTTAGGCCAAGGGAGCCAGCGTTCGTCCACAGACAGCTTTCCGGGTCATGTGGCCAGCATGACTAAACCGTTTCTGGCACAATGGGACACCGTGATGGAAACCAGAGCATGCAGAAATGCCATTAACCTTCCCGCCTCAGTGGTACCTATTTATCTACTTGCACTGGTGTGCTTTCAGACTGCTAGATTGGCAGATTTGGTTAAACCACCACTTGACCCCTGTAATTCTTGTTTTTGTTTTGCTCTGTGCATTTTTACTTTTGTTTGAGGAGTGAATCTGAGGTGGTCTGGGGAACCTATATGAATTTTAAACGTGATAGAGAGATTCGGTCAGAAAAATAGTAGCGTAAGAAGCTGTGTCAGACAGGCTTGTGTACACACCATGTATTTAAAGCACATGACATTCCCCACCCCCAAGCATCCTGGGAACTGTAGTTCGTTAAGAGTGCTGGGAATTGTAGCTCTGTGAGGCATAAACTACAATTCCCAGGGTTCTTTGGGGTTGGGAGTCATGTGCTTTAAATGTACGGTTGTATACCGCCTCCCTAGTCAGACATGGCCCATCTAGCTCAGTATTGTTCTTTCCTCTCAGATGTTGTTGGACTCCAACTCCCATCAGCCCCAGCCAGCATGGCCAACAGTCAAGGATGATGGGAATTGTAGTCTAGTGACATCCAGAGTTGAAGAAAGCCAGTCTATGTTGATAGGCAGCATCTCTCTAGAGTTTGTGGTCAGGGTCTTCCTCAGCCCTGCATGGGGATTTGAACCCTGATCCCCGGCCCTCCTGGTACCTGCTGTTCAAACCAGCCACTCTGAGGTTCTTCATTTCAGTGCCTGCGCTAGGAGTGTGCTAAATGTGAAGCGGAACAGCTCCAGGACAGTCTAAATAGTTTTCTTGCTCTTATACTTTGCCTTAGGCTGGAAACATTAAATAATAATACTACAGATTCTGCTTATGTTGGTTGGGAGGGGAAAGGGAGGATGTTTCCAGTTTGTACCAAATGTGCACATCCCTAATAAACTATTTATTTATTGGCCGCTGTATAAGCCAAGCTATATTTGTGGCCATCTTGCCACGGATTAAATGGAACAAAATTTACAGTAAATCAGTATAATGCAGTTTATACACCATATAATACGCCTTGTAAAATAAGGTATCACTATAAAAAGGCAGAAGAGAAGGAGATTTTTGTCGGGTTAAAGCCATTGAAATGAAAGGAGGAGAAATAAAAACTCAACAGGGCTGCCTTTGAACTGTAATAATGCTTCTTGCTTGCCTTGTTTGTGAGTGTGTGTGTGTGTGTGTGTTAGTTCTCTCCCACTCCAAGTAGACCCCTTGAAGCTAATGCATATGACTTAACATAGAAATAATAATTTTGTCTGCTCTGAGTAGAACTTAGCTGGATGCAACGCTAAGATTTCTGCCTGAGTTTTGCATTGGGGAGGGTCAAGTCCATGGCTCCACCAACTTTTGGCTCTGCCCTTGCCCAGCCCTTTTATGTGGCCCCCACAATGTTGCCCAGAGGGGAATGTGGACCTCGGGCTGGAGAAAAAAAAGTTCCCTACCCCTGAAATAAATAAATACATTCTGGGGTTTATTGCCATTATCAGAAATAGTCTGTTAAATATTGTGCATGTTAAAAGGATGTTATTTAAATACCGTATTTTTCCATGTACAAGACTGCCCCCCCATTTTTTTAGTCAAAAATTGGGGGGTCGTCTTATATGCAGATTTATACGGTGAGTCTTGGGTGAGCTGGCGGCTTCTGGCAGCTCCTGAGTGACTTGACTGCCAGAACAACTTTTCTTGGCGATTTTCAAAAGAAAGAAAAAGCAGTTTTGGGCGATTTCCTCCAAAAGCTCAACTTTAAAATACTGATTTCTTAATTTTGGACTCCCCAAAGTAGGGGTCACCTTATACATGTTATACACGGAAAAATACGGCAACAGGTAAGAAATTGCCCCCTTTTTTGTCCTTGTTGTCTGGGAAAGCATTTAGGACTTTGGGTCATTGTGTCTGTCCCTCTGGGATCTCGTCAGGGCTGCGTAGCCGCAAGCCAGGAATGGGGAAATCAAGAAAAGTAGCCAGTTTCCGAATGAATGTGGAGATGGTGGCACCCCCCCCCCCTGGCCTCCCCCCCCCCCCGCTGACCCCAGGGGGGCCATCTCGGAACAGATGGCGAGAGTGTCGCCGCCAGCGCCCATTAGGAAAACAGGCTGATTCAAATCCTAATGCGCCATTAAATCAGGGCTTATTGTCAGTCGGCGAGAGAGAGGGCCGGAGGGGGTTGCGGGCAGAAGAGAGGCGGCAGGCGCTGGCTGTGAAGCAAAAGGATGCTTAAAGCACTGCGTGAAGTTTTGGGAAGGAGCTGGGAGCATTTTGAGAGAAGTAAAGGAGGCAAGAGGCAGAAGAGGGTAAGCCTTAGCCCGCAGTGCTAAACACACAAGTCCTGGGAAGTGAGACCCATGGGATATAAAATAATGAGTAGATAGGCATAGGATTGTTGCTTTTAAGCTTCACCGGCACACACTCATTCTCTCTGTGTGTGTGCTTTTCTTTCTTTCTTTGTAAACCACTTTGAGGGTTTTTTTTACCTGATAACAACACAAACAACGTTTGTAAATATAAATTCTTTTTAAATGCGATTCAGCGTATCATATCAAAATATCTGGTTATATAGACCAACTTGTCATATAAACGAAACATATTATGAGAAATTAAAGTCCAGCAGATTCCTCAGGAAATACAATCTATTCAGTTCTTACATTGGCAATATCCACAGTGTGGAATTCTTATATCAGTCTTGTAGCGTTCTACGTGAAGATGCTTTTAAGAATTCTAGCGTTCCTTGTATGCAGGTACTTCGGCTGATTAGTGTTGTTATCGGTTTTGTATTTGCGTGACAAAGGGTATGGTAGTGTTTTGAATGAGGTGTTTTTGGGGGGGGGTTAGCAGCAAGTGGTGTATAAATTTTATGAAATAAATAAAAATACTTTGATTCTGCAGAAAAGCGGGATGTGGTATTATTGGTTAAGAATGAGGGAGAAATTTGGTTTGATTAGCAGTAGTGTGCTGCCAAAACTTTCTGCAGTGGGAGGAGTGTGTGTGTGTGTGTGTGTGTGTGTGTGTGCATTTATTAGGGACTGCCTTTTAAAGGGAGGTGTGGGGGGTGCTTCTGAGAGCAGTTTTTGGAAGCACCTCAAACCCTCTGTTAGACCTTCCTGCAGCCTTGTATAATCGAGGGGACAGGCAGTTCACTGCAGCCATATGAATTGCATCCTGACAACAGCCTGACATTTTTATGCCTCTATGAAGATATTATGGGTTGTACCCAGCCAAGTCCCATTGAAATCAGTGGACCTAAGTCCGTGAACTTCAGTGGATCTCATCTGAGTAGGGCTGGCATTGGATACAAGCCCACACACACACACACACACACACACACACACACAATGCGTGCCTTTCTGTATTGAACGAATGAGCATTGAATGGTTTTATGGTGTTTGGGGGATGCGCTCTTGATCACTGGTACAGTCCCTCGAAGTATTCCCACCCTCCCTGCGTGCACACCTCTGTTTAAAGTGGAAGGGGTTGCTCATGTGGAGGATGAATCCCAATAGAACTGCCTTGCTTTATAAGAGAAGGAAAAAAATGATGGTTCTCCTCTCCTCTCCCCAGGTTCATGCTTGTCTTAGCCAGCAACCAACCGGAGCAGTTTGACTGGGCCATCAATGACCGGATAGACGAAATGGTTAATTTTAAGCTGCCAGAGCTGGAAGAGAGAGAGCGTCTGGTCCGGATGTATTTTGACAAGCACGTCCTGAAGCCAGCCACTGAGGGAAAGCAGTCAGTATATTTATTTTTTTAATTAATTGCCATATTTTTCAGTGTATGACTAGGTTTTTTCCCTTTAAAAATAATGTTGAAAATTAGGCATCTTATACACGGATACATCTCCCCCCATTTTCTTAAGTCTGAGTACCTCGAGTTACAAACACCTCAGGTTGCAAACGCTTCAGGTTACAAACTCTGCTAACCTGGAAGAGTTGCCTCAGGTTAAGAACTTTGCTTCAGGATGAGAACGGAAATCGTGTGCTGGCGGCGCAGCAGCAGCAAGAGGCCCCATTAACTAAAGTGGTGCCTCTAGTTAAGAACAATTTCAGGTTAGGAATGGACCTCCGGAACGAATTAAGTTCTTAACTAGAGGTACCACTGTATTGGCATGAAGTCAGGACAGGGTAGGTGAGCAAAAGGGAACGACAGCAGTGGCTGCACAGGAGCATTTTGTCACAGGCCTAGCTTTGAAGGTTGGCTAATGTTACTACTGGGCCCTGCTGCTCCCAAATATATCCTATTTGGGTTATGAAATCTGTTGAGAACATGAGTCACTTGTCATCGTTTGCAACTGAATAGCGGAAGCAGAATTGACAAGAGGATTCCCCCTGTATCGGGCAAAGATCTCTTGCAACAGGGAACGCATCTTAAACCTTTTCCGGTCCACTTCATTCAAGATCCCGCAGGAGTGGGAGGAGGGGTTGCCTTGTCAAGCTCGTCTCCTGCAGTCGCTTGGTCTAGCCAGGCAGATTTTCATTTGTACAGGGCTTGGCATCAACAGTCCCTGTCTGGGTAGCTACAGCCTCTTGCGGGAGCAAATTCCATCGTTCTAACGATGTGCATCTTAAAAAGCAGAGACATCACCTTGCCAACAAAAGTCCGTATAGTTAAAGCCGTAGTTTTCCCAGTAGTGATGTATGGAAGTGAAAGCTGGACCATAAAGAAGGCTGATCGCCGAAGAATTGATGCTTTTGAATTATGGTGCTGGAGGAGACTCTTGAGAGTCCCATGGACTGCAAGAAGATCAAACCGATCCATTCTGAAGGAAATCAGCCCTGAGTGCTCACTGGAAGGACAGATCCTGAAGCTGAGGCTCCAATACTTTGGCCACCTCATGAGAAGAGAGGACTCCCTGGAAAAGACCCTGATGTTGGGAAAGATGGAGAAGGGGACGACAGAGGACAAGATGGTTGGACAGTGTTCTCGAAGCTCCCAGCATGAGTTTGACCAAACTGCGGGAGGCAGTGGAAGACAGGAGTGCCTGGCGTGCTCTAGTCCATGGGGTCACGAAGAGTCGGACATGACTAAACGACTAAACAACAACAACAACAACGATGTGCTGCGTGAAGAAGTACTTTTGTTTGCCCTGTATCGAAAAGCAATATCATAAAATAGAGTTCCCCAAAAATTCAGCTGGAGGACATCTGCTTGGCATGCAGAAGGCCCCAGACTCAAACCACAGCGGCATCCCAGGAGAGTTGCTCCCATCCAGCATAGGCAGTACCTAGGAAGGTGGGCCAGTGGGCCTGAGTTGGCATAAAGCTTCTTCGTGGTTCCTCTTTTGTTAATCCTCACAACAGCCTTCAAAGCGGGTCAGTCTGAGGGAATGACAAGCCAAGTCGTTGCAGACTGAGCAGGGGTTTGAACGTGGGTCCTAACCGAACTGCTTCACTGGCTAGCAAATCATATACCCGTATTTTTCGCCCCATAGGGCGCACCGGCCCATAGGGCGCACCTAGTTTTTTTGGGTGGGGGAATAAAGAAAAAGTCGTGCCGGGCTCTCATGGCTTGCGGAGAGCTGCCCGAAGCCCGGGGCGCGCTCTGCTGCGCTCCCCGGGATTCGGGCTGCAGGCTGCTGTCCGCAAGCCTTGGGAGCCTGGCGGGAACTCCCGCGGGCTCCCAAGGCTTGCGGATAGCTTCCTGAAGCCTGGAGAGCGTGAGGGGTCGGTGCGCACCGACCCCTCTCACTCTCCAGGCTTCAGCGAAAGCCTGCATTCGCCCCATAGGACGCACACAGATTTCCCCTTCATTTTTGGAGGGGAAAAAGTGCGTCCTATAGGGCGAAAAATACGGTAATAGTTTTATTTACTGGATAAAGGGTTGCATCCAACACTGACCCTACTCAAGAGTGCTTTCATAAATTAATCAAAGTGATTTAATTTATGCCCGTTAATTTCAGCGGGTGAACTCTTTTGATGGGTACGTAGTTGAATACAACTTATAAACCCTAGACCGGGGTTTTCCAAACTTTGGTCTCCATCTGTTTTTGGACTACAATTCCTATCATCCCTGACCACTGGTCCAGCTAGCTAAGGATGATGGGAGTTGTAGTCCAAAAACAGCTGGATACCCAGGTTTGGGAAACGCTGCCTTAGACCCTACCGACGGTGTTTCCCAGCAGCTTGCAATAAATATAACATGGCAGTGTTGATGCGAACTGGTGTGCTTTTTCCTGTCCAGGCGCCTGAAGCTCGCCCAGTTTGACTATGGGAAGAAGTGTTCAGAGATCGCCAAGCTGACCGAAGGCATGTCTGGCCGAGAGATCTCTCAGCTCGCCGTGGCCTGGCAGGTAAGTCCAGCATCCTATGAGAGAGCCGGTCCTTCGGCGCAGTCTTGCCTGCTCAGACCAGTCTGCTTGGTTTGTTAGCTCTGGCTGAGCTCAGCACTGGGGAACCTTTGGCCCTCTAGATGTTGCTGAACATGCTCTTTCTTCCCTGTAACCATAACCCCGCATACACCTGGGATCTGGGGAAATTGCTTCTGGTAGCCCACTTCGCAAAATCATTGTGATGGTGGAATGGAGTGGGGAGAGCTGGGTTTGCTGCCTTGACCTTGGAGGAAAAGCAAAATATAATTTCAGTAAATGCATGGATTCAACACAGGAATGGGCTAAGCACAGAGACCGGCTTCCAGGCAGCGTTGCTTTTTTGTTGTTGCTAACTCTTGTTGCCTGGAGGGAGACTAGAGACGGGAGTATTTGTTTATTTTATTTTGCTGTTTATTAAATTTGTATACCACCCTTTACCCATAGGTCTCAGGGCAGCTCGCAACAGAAAAACACAATGTGAAAAAAGCACAAAATACATGATCAAAACAAAAACAAACCCATAGCTTTCACCCCACCCCCTCCTACAACACATTTAAAAGGTTATCGGATGTTAAGCAGCAAAAGGCCTGGTTGAAGAGTAATGTTTTCGCCTGGCGTCTGTAGAACCCCGGTAAAACTGATGAAAACGTTCCGTGCAGTTTATAAATACGTTTTGAAAAATAAAGCAAGCCTTAGGCAGGGCTGCTGCTGCCACACCTCATCCAAAATATTGCAGGTTTTCTGTTTGAGAGTTCAGTAAGGTGCGCGAGCTTGCAAATTTGCTGTGCGCAAGCTTCAGTTGGTCTTTTTTTAAAAAGAAAGAAAACACTGCCTTGGCGCATCCAGCCCCTTGGGACCGATTAAGGCAGCCGCAATAAAATTGCCCATTGACTCCTTTTTCCAAAGAGCCTCGGGTTGCGTAATGCCTCCTGAAAACTCTCGTTTCCATCTCCCATCCTCTTGTCGTATGCTGAAGACAGCACCTTTTTACTCTGGCCTTAGACGTGTGAGAGAGGAGTTTGTGTATATCTATATTCTTTATCTTTAATATTTTGTTATTAGTTTGCAAATTATTATGGAACCACAGGGGCAAGTAAACAATAACAAAAATTCAACATGGATATAATGAGGGGGCATACCAATGTACCTGAACATATTAAATCCCAATCTAAGACCAGAACAACCATATTATCTCTAAAAATAAATCCCCACCAAACTGGATATTTATTTCATTCATATCCTGCCTTTTTTTGTCCAAGGAGCTCAAGGTGGTTCTCCCCCTCCTCATTTAATCCCCACAGCAACCCTGTGAGGTAGGTTAGACTGAGGGAGACGGTGGGTTCAGGTTGTACTTTCGAGTTAATGGTATAATTTGTGTGTTTTATGTTGTAGGTCGCTTAGAGATTTTTAAAATATTATAAGTGTTTTATAACAATTACGAAATATCAGCAAAAAATGAAGACAATGTGGGCCAGATAAAACTGTATAATTTTGAAAAATACATTAATAAAACAGCAGCTTAAACTTCAGTAAATAAGACATGACACTAGAACATTTAGCATTCTCCCGGGGCAAATTTGTTTTTAAATAACCGCTTGTGTTGTCAGGGGTCAAACACCAGCAACTCCACAGATACAGAGCTTGTGAGATTTCACACGCTTTCAAGCAAAACTTTGCAGTCGTAAGGACTGCTTTTGGAAAGAAGAGAGAGCTGACATTTTCTACAAGTTCATTTCCTTGCCCAGTGTTACATTATGTTACATTGCAAGAGAGAGCGCACTTGTGAGATTTCACATGCTTTCAAGCAGTCATAAGGACTGTGAACGTAGTTTTGAATAGAAAAGAGAGCTGAAACTCTTCGTAAGTGCAATTTTGTGCAGTTTTTGCTTCTATGGAATTGCAACACACACAGCTGACTAGCGCTGAGATGAAATCCCTCCCAAATTCATCACCCCATTCACAACCGTGGGGAGAATGGGGTACTATTGGTGGTGGCGGGGAGGTCATGAAGAGTTTCTTGTGTGGTGACAGGAATTCTTGCCACCAGTGGGGGTGTCACTGGCAGCAGTGTTGTTATCCTCTGGGGGGGGGTAGAGAAACAGCCAGCCGTCGTCAGGAACTGTGGCAATTATATATATAGAATTTTGGGGCACCCCTTAAGAACCTAAGATGAGCCCTGCCGGATCAGACCAAAGGCCCATTTCATCCTGCATCCTGTTTTTACAAGAGCCAAGCCCCCCACAAGCAGAACCTGAGCACCATGGCACTTTTTGAGGGGTTGTTGCTGTTGTCGTGATTGACTCTTCGTGACCCCATGGACCAGAGCACGCCAGGCACTTCTGTCTTCCACTGCCTCCCGCAGTTTGGTCAAACTCATGCTGGTAGCTTCGAGAACACTGTCCAACCATCTCGTCCTCTGTCGTCCCCTTCTCCTTGTGCCCTCCATCTTTCCCAACATCAGGGTCTTTTCCAGGGAGTCTTCTCTTCTCATGAGGTGGCCAAAGTATTGGAGCCTCAGCTTCAGGATCTGTCCTTTTGAAGGGAGGGGAGCCTAAATCCACAGGGGGAGGGAAATCAACCCCTGAAATTTGGTCTTGATCCAAACCCATAGGGTGCTGGGCTGGGGAGCCGAAGCCCTCCAGACATCGAGGGACTACAAAGCCCATCATCTCTGCCTGTTAGGTCCAGACTTATCTCGAGGGCCACAGGTTCCCCCAGCCCTTCATCCTAGGGCTAGGTAGGGATTGAATTTAGAAGGGGGGGGGGGAATCAAGGCTGTTCTTTGCCTCTTCTGAGAACGCTGGACATTGACACCCGCCAGTTTGTGACGTGATTGGGTGGCGCAGAGTGACTTTGTCACCTTCCCAGGTCCCTTTCCCTCCTTGTGAGCGTGCTTGCGTTTCCTGATCTTGACAAACAGCAGCTGTGGCGAGCCAGGTGCGGCTGTGCGCATCCTTCAAACAGCCTTGACGCAAGTGGATGCCTCGTGGAAGGTGTTTTAGAATTCCTTCCCCTGCCTCAGTCTCTCTCTCTCTCTCTCTCTCTCTCTCTCTCTCTCTCACTTCCTGCCTGCCTGCCTGCCTTGGTCTGTTTCCGACAGCCTTGGGGCGGGGAAGGAAGGGCACTGCGGTGCTTTAAAAGAAAAGAGTCTAACCAGGAATGAAAGTTCACAACCTGTTTTTTAGCCAGCACCTCAGGTCAGCGAAAGCCACGATTTCTGCCTCCTGGAGCCAAACGATTTAATGAAGCAATTTCTCAAACCTTCTCTTGGTCAGAGCACCTTCGATATAATCCCAAAGGGGGGGGGAGGCTTAATTGCTGCTAACGACTGCTGCTTAATTCACCTCCAATTGGTATTTTCAATTACTTTGCCTCGCCACCATCCACACTGCAGCATTCTCTCTCTCTCTCTCTCCCCCCCCCCCCATTTTGCAGGCTTAGAAAACCTCTCTGGCAGACTACAGTTCGGTCCTACTCTAGACCAATGTAGGTTCATAAAAGGGCAGCCAGAATTATCAAGGGACGGGGCAGCACTTCTGTACATTGCAGCATCTGGGACTTTTTAGTTTAGAGAAAAGGCAAGTGGTGTGAAGTAAGTTCACTGAAATATGCATATTATGGAGAAAATCGGTAGAGAAAGGTTTTTCTTCCTCTCTCATAACGCTAGACCTCGTGGCCATCCAACGAAGCTGAATTTTGGGATGAAATAAAGTAACTTATCTATGCATCCCATGGTAGGGTTACCATATGTCCTCTTTTTCATGAGTGTAGAGTCATCACAGCGATCCATAGTTAAAAGTAGAAGTCGGCAGATGTCTCCTCTTTATTGCTCTTCAAAATATGGCAACCCTACCAGTTAAACTATGTAAGTTTTCTGTGGAGGTTTTCCATAGGCATCTCAGCCGCTTTGAGGACAGTGGATTAGGTGGGACATTGGCCTGATCCAACAGGTTCTTTTTATGTTTATGTTCTTTGGCAACTAGGGACGTGGGTGGTGCTGTGTTCTAAACCACAGAGCCTAGGACTTGCCGATCGGAAGGTCGGCAGTTCAAATCCCCACGGCAGGGTGAGCTCCCATTGCTCGGTCCCTGCTCCTGCCAACCTAGCAGTCGAAAGCACATCAAAGTGCAAGTAGATAAATAGGTACCGCTCCAGCAGGAAGGTAAACTGCGTTTCCGTGCGCTGCTCTGGTTCGCCAGAAGCGGCTTAGTCATGCTGGCCACATGACCTGGAAGCTGTACGCTGGCTCCCTCGGCCAATAAAGTGAGATGAACGCCGCAACCCCAGAGTTGGTCACGACTGGACCTAATGGTCAGGGGTCCCTTTACCCGTTACCTTTACCTCTTTGGCAACTAATTCCTACTCAGAGTAAGCCCATACGAAACAAAGGAACATGACAGACTTGGGGCGATTGATTTCAGGCAGTCTGCTCTGAGCAGGGGCTTAGTTTGAGGCAACCCATTGAAACGGATGCACTTGGCGAATCCAGGTTGATTTCAATGGATCTGCTTCAAGTAGGACTTAATTGGGTACTGTGCCCACCCATCAAAGCTGGCCCATGGAAAGGGTTGAAAGAGACATGGATGGGTGGCACAGCAGAGCCAGTTCCCTGCTGTGAACCCTCTTGGGGCTGACAACAATGTGCACTGGATAATGCCGTTGTTTCGTTGCGCGACGTGTCAACCAGACCAGGAAATCTCATATGATTTGTTTATGATTCCTTTTTTTCTTTTCCGCCCTCCCTCCCAGAGGAGCCCTGTGCGGGGAAGGCTCAGAGTGTTCAAACAGTGCAATTTTAAAATAAAAAGGTAATTTAAAACATTTCAGAGCCATTTAGAACCGTTTGACATACGTCAAACGCATCTTATGAAAGCTGCTGCGTGCCCTCACAGTTGCACCATTACATAGTTGCTCTGTACGGTATTTTGCAAGCGTTTGGACAGCATCTTGTTCTCCAACAGTGGCCAACCAGATTCCTACCCATGGGAAACCCACAAGCAGGACCTGAGCAGAGCAGCAGCTCTCTCCTCCTGTCACGCTGACTTTGCTTCTTCCTCCACCATGGGCAATATTTCTGAATATCAGTTACCGAGAGTCACAAGTAGGGAGAGTTGCTTTTGTACTCAAGCAGGCTTCCCATTGGTATTTGGTTGGTTAGATGAGCTGGTGGCCTCATCTAACAGGCTTCTTGCTGCTCAATTTGCATACTTCATGCAGGCCTAAATGTTCTGCAGTTGCAGAATATCTCTCTCACACACACATAGTACAGAATGATGTTCTTTGGGGAAAACTTTACAACCTTTTACTCGCGGAAGAGGCGGTGGTTGAGGAATTGGAAGCCAATGGGGCAATTGTTCTGTGTTCCCACAGTTCCTCTGTGCCACACACAATCCAGCTTCTTGAAAACACAGCTTTTATGGTTGTTTCTAAGTTTCTAGCCCTCATTATTAGGACGATAGAAGTAGAAGGGAGGGGATTGTTGAAATGACAGGATAAGAAGTCCCAGAGCCTTTTTGTCTCAGTGAGAAGTCCGGCCTGGTGAGTGGTGCGGTGTTTGCATCTTAAAAAACGGCGAAAAAGCCTGGTGTGTTCAATTTCAAGGAGTTAAAGCTCCTCCTGGAAGGGGCATCTGCTTTCTCCCACTCTTTCCTGACAGTCGGGGCCCCAGGCAGGTCTATTTTTAGAAAGTCATTGAGAGAACCAGCCAAGCGTGCATCGCACGGCCCCAGCTGGAGTCTTCACAATAAAAATTTGCAGGCGGTCTGGCCAGGGGGGGATGAAGGTTGCACCCTTGTGCCCACACACACCCTGCAAAAAACACAGCAAAGGGAAAGCACGCGGCGGCCATTGAACAAACACTGGATCCTTCCTGGTGCTGAGCCCCGTCTCGCCAGGGAGCACCTGCATTTTGCAGCTCCATTAGTGACGGGCACCTGGGCAAGCTTTGAGCATGCCAAGCCATCAGTGGCTGCCTGCCCCGGGCATCTTGCATTGTGAAGTGCTCTTTTGAGGCAGCGGCTCCCAAGCATCATTGGGCTGTCACTCCTCTAGGTGACAAATCCAGGATGTAGAATTCTACAAAATGTTGCATTGCAGAGTGCCTGTAGCCCAGGTTCCCCCTGGCCATACCCTCTCATGGGCTACTCCATTCCATTCTTCCCCCCTCTCCCAGGCTACTCCATTCCATTCCTCCTCCCTCTCCCAGGCTACTCCATTTCATTCCTCCCTCTCCCAGGCTACTTCATTCCATTCCTCCTCCCTCTCCCAGGCTATGCCATTCCATTCTTTCCCCCTCTCCTAGGCTACTCCATTCCATTCCTCCTCCCTCTCCCAGGCTATGCCATTCCATTCTTCCCCCCTCTCCCAGGCTACTCCATTCCATTCCTCCTCCCTCTCCCAGGCTACTCTATTCCATTCCTCCTCCCTCTCCCAGGCTACTCCATTCCTCTCCCCTCTCCCAGGCTACTCTATTCCATTCCTCCTCCCTCTCCCAGGCTACTCCATTCCTCTCCCCTCTCCCAGGCTACTCCATTCCATTCCTCCCTAGTTTTCTCAGATTTTTTTCCTCCCCCCCCCCCCCACAGTTGGTATGAATGTCAAGCCCGCTGAATGCCCACAGACAGACCTCAATGGGATTTTTCTGGGGTTCCCACCCTTTAAGGCTCTCTCTGGAAAATGGTTTCAATTTGTACTTCTCCAAACCTTCTCCCTCTTGCTCTGGGGTGTGCGCTTGCATTTCGTCTTCACCAGGATCCATACACTTGAGGAGGAGTTCGCTGTTAGTGTGCAGCAGAGCGGGAAATGGTTTTCAGCCTGAGAGCCACATGCCAGTGGTGGGAGGGGCCAGAGGGAAATGTGGGCGGAGCAATGGATGTAAATTTTTCCTTTGTGCGCTGGGCGATTGGTTTCTGCGCAACTCGAACCCCTCTCTCCATCCAGCATCCAGGCAAGAGGACACATTTTAGAGAGGCATGAACACTCAAGGGAGCATGCAAAAGCTAGGCCACTGTGGGGTGCGGCCTGCGGAAGAGATCTGAGGGCCAGACTGAGAAGCCTGTAGGGCCAACCCCCTGCTCTGTGTTGGGGGAATGGCAGCTTTGTAAGTCAGCAGTGAAGGGTCCTGGGACAGAAATGAGGCTCACTTAAAAGGCTTATCGAGGAACCGATTTATCCATGCCACGCAGAAAACATTTTTTTCCACTTTGCGGGTGCCATTCAAGGAATGACCAAACCAGGTTTATTTCCCGCTCCTTCTCCTCTTCAGGCCGCAGCGTATGCCTCCGAGGACGGCGTCCTCACGGAAGCCATGATCGACGCCCGGGTGGCCGATGCCGTTCAGCAACACAAGCAGAAGATGGAGTGGTTAAAAGCTGAGGGGGTGGAGCCGGGCAAGAGCCAACCGTTGCCTCTCACGATGGGGAAGGGCCTATGAGGAAGCTTTGGGGGCGGGAGAGGGAAGGACAGAAGAGAACGGGGAGGACGCCACAGACCATTGCGACGTGTGGAGCAAAGGATGCTGGGGAAACCGACTCTCGCTTTGCAGCCGCGGTCCAGCTGGAATCATGTCGAAAGTGAACACAACATCGCGCTGGTGAAAGGGAGGGCCAATCTTTGGAGTCTGCTTTCTTGGGGTTTTTTATATATATATATACCTCAGGGTGACACCTTGAATAACCATGTGCGTGTATGTGTGTGTATCAACCAATACATTAAAAAAAAGAGAGTTCTTTTTGCCAAACGGCACCCCACCTCAGCACCTTGTTCTTCTGTGTATCTGTTTCTTTTGAACAGGACCCCCATGAACCATCTTATACAGTCTTGGTTTAGATTCTGCTTGGGAAACAGAAGAGGCATTTTCACTCAGTAGATTTTTATTTTTATTGGTCTTTTCGTTGTAGATTAAGTTTTGCAGGAAATTCATGGAGCCATGGCAGCTATATTTCTCCCTCCTCTGTTGGAGGCAGTAAATAGAAGACAACTGAAGGCAGCCCTGTTTAGGGAAGCTTTTAATGTTTGATGCAATACTGTATTTTAATATTTTGTTGGAAGCCGCCCAGAGTGGCTGGGGAAGCCCAGCCAGATGGGCAGGTTATAAATAATAAATTATTATTATTATTATTATTATTATTATTATTATTATTACTACTACTACCTCTGAATGCCAGTTGCATTCAGAGATCAGCTCTTGTGCCCGTGTCCTGTATGAGAGCTTTCCATCTGGGGCATCTAGCTGGCCACTGTAAGTGCTGGACTAGAAAGGACACTGGCCTGATCTAGCAGGGATTTTCTTCTGTTCTTAGCTTTCTAGCTAGGAGCCCTGGCATCACAGTTAATCTAGCTCAGTTTTATTTACAACAACTGGCAGGATTTTCCAGCCCTACCTAGAGGCCTTGTGATTCCACGTGGGGCCTTCTGCACGCAGATTTGCAGCTCCCCCCAAATTTTAGGATCGCAGCACCAAAACATAGGAAGCAGCCTTCTGCCGGGTCAGACACTTGTTCCAAGTAGCTCAGCATTACCTACACTGACTGGCAGCAACTTCCTGGGGGTTGAACCTGGGGCCTTTTTTTTTCTTTTGCATGAAAGCTGTGGCTTGTACAGTGGTACCTCTGGATGCAAACAGGATCCTCTTCTGCCCATGCGCGTGACGTCATTTTGAGCCTCTGCACATGCGTGAGTGACGAAACCTGGAAGTAACCCGTTCTGTTACTTCCGGGTCGCTGCAGAACGCAAGCTGGAAAAGCTCAACCTGAAGTGTCTTTAACCCAAGGTATGACTGTAGGGACGCGGGTGGCGCTGTGGGTTAAACCACTGAGCCTAGGGCTTGCCGATCAGAAGGTCGGCGGTTCAAATCCCCATGATGGGGTGAGCTCCTGTTGTTCGGTCCCTGCTCCTGCCAACCTAGCAGTTCGAAAGCACGTCAAAGTGCAAGTAGATAAATAGGTACTGCTCCGGTGGGAAGGTAAACGACATTTCCATGTGCTGCTCTGGTTCGCCAGAAGCGGCTTAGTCATGCTGGCCACATGACCCGGAAGTTATACACTGGCTCCCTCAGCCAGTAAAGCGAGATGAGCGCCCCAACCCCAGAGTCGGCCACGACTGGACCTAATGGTCAGGGGTCCCTTTACCTTTACCTTTATGACTGTATTATGAAGCTGTCGTACCAGTTCAGACCACCTAGCTCAGTATTGCCTTTGCTAACTTAAGAGTGGCTCTCTGGCTATTACGGTTTTCAAAGAGGTAATCATTCATAGTCTTTCCTGTGCGTAATGGCTGTACAGAACTGCCACGTTCAGTGTGCCTCAATGCCAGAGAACAACAGAAGAGGGTTGTTGCCCTCATGTCCTTTTGGGTTTAACAAAAGGCATCTGCTTGGCCTCTGAAAAAGAAGATTCTGGACTAAATGGTGCTTTCAGCAGGGCTCTTAGCATTGATTTCTTGAAGCTGCGGACATGTCCCTTTGATGTGAGGGCAGCTAATCATTCCTCACTGGACTAACAGCCTCATAGGCAGCTGTTTATGTGTTGCAGGGCAGGTTAAGAAAACAACAACTACCTCTTAATTTGGAGTTGAACGCAGGCTGACCCAAGAGTTCCTGGGGGAGGAAAGCATGTTCCTTCCTTGCTGCCCATGCCATGCAACTTTCTATGTTTACCTTCCTTACCTCTCTGCCTCCCACACACACCTGGCATCAGATTTTTAGACTACTACACTAAGTGACAGGGTTCTCTGCTCTGGCCACTTTGCTGAGAAGTGCTGGACAGCTCTGAGGAAATTGGCCTTGACAGGAGCTCTGGAAGGAAGCGAGGAGGACAGCCGAGGGCAAGTGGAAATAACTCATTTGGCACCTTTCTTGCATAATCACGAAAAGTAAAAAAGTTCCACTCTCTTCTCCACAGCACAGAGCCTGCTGTTCTGGTTCTAACATTCTAAGAAGGGATCTAAACTAGATCATACATGACCGATATATCCAACCCTTGCTTAAAAACCTCCAAGGAAGGAGAGTTCACCACCTCTTGTGGGAGTCTGTTCCACCGTCAAACAGTACTACCTGTTCTTCCTGATATTTAGTCAGAATCTCCTTTCTTGTGACTTAAATCTGTTGGTTTGGGTCCTACAAGCAGGCTTCCATGAGGCAACCCTTCAGATATTTGAAGATGGTTATCATATCATCTCAGTCTTTTCCAGGCTAAACAAACCCAACTCCAGATCTTTTTTCATCTTGGTCACCCTTCCCTGCACACATTCCAGATTGTCAACATCCTTCTTAAGTTGTGGAGCCCAGATCTGAACACAGGACTCTAGGTGTGGGCCGGCCGAGGCAGAATAGAGCGGCACTATTGCTTCCCTTGATTGGGACACTAGATGTCTGTCAATGCAGCCTAGAATAGCATTAGCCTCTCTTGGCGCTGCATCACACTGTTGACTCATGTTAAGCTAACGGTCTACTAAGACCCCTAGATCCTTTTCACGTTTACTATTGGCATGCCATGTGTTCCCCATCTTTTATTTGTGCAGCTGGTTCTTCCTGCCTGAGTGGGTCCAGATCCTACATAATGCAGAATGTACCTCCTGATTTACCTTTTGAATTATGGTGCTGGAGGAGACTCTTGAGAGTCCCATGGACTGCAAGAAGATCAAACCTCTCCATTCTGAAGGAAATCAGCCCTGAGTGCTCACTGGAAGGACAGATCCTGAAGCTGAGGCGCCAATACTTTGGCCACCTCATGAGAAGAGAAGACACCCTGGAAAAGACCCTGATATTGGGAAAGATTGAAGGCACAAGGAGAAGGGGACGACAGAGGACGAGATGGTTGGACAGTGTTCTCGAAGCTACCAGCACGAGTTTGACCAAACCGCGGGAGGCAGTGGAAGACAGGAGTGCCTGGCGTGCTCTGGTCCATGGGGTCACGAAGAGTCGGACACGACTAAACGACCAAACAACAACACTGGCAAGCTAGGTGTTCCTCAAATTACATTTGTGCAGCTGGTTCTTCCTGCCTAAGTGGGTCCAGTTCCTACATAATGCAGAATGTACCTCCTGATACCATAGTGTCTGTATGAGGCTCTCACCTGCAGTGATCAAATGGAAAGATGAAATGAGATTAACTTTCAGGGCTCTGTGTACCAAACGCAGCACCTTGAACTTCGCTCAGTAGCTCATTGGCATCATCTGCCTTGGTCAGGGTAAGACATCACCACAGATTCTTGCTCCTCTGGCCGCCAACTAATATTTTCAGGGGGCCCTCACCCCCCCCCCCCAAAAAATAATGCCCCAAGCATCTCTCCAACGAGGCGTCGCTTGGCACCTTAGAAATAGGCCAGTGTTGACCTGGCTTTGTGTTTCTGGCTTCCTGGCACCTGCTACAGCAACAGATTGCCCATCTTTTATACCTGCCAACGTTATCCCGAGCAAAATACAGGCCTGTGATTGATGGCGAAGCCGAGAGGTGGCATGAGAGAAAGAGAACCAATTAGTCTGTCTCCACGATGTGATGCTATCCCGTGTCAAAGGTACCTTGAGCTGGTATTGGTGGTGACTGCTTGTGATGGATAATCTCATTTCCCTCACCTCTTCCCCACATTCAACCAGCTGGCAGGGAATACAGTTATAATAGGCTTTCTCTACAAGCTCGTAAGTCAAATCATGTCTCCAGATTCAGAGGAGTTCTTTCTCTCTCCAGTGCTGGATTACTTCCATCCTGCTACCGGGCCTGCTTATTTGGTAGTCAATTTAGCACCCCGGTTTTTTAAAAAAAACGGAATCCAAGAAGCAAAAAAACACTCCAAGAAATTAGACCCGCTTGGATAATTTCCGATCCAGCTAAACTGGAGGGAAGGAATGTTAAAGCTACAATCCTTCAGTGCCTGGAAGAGCCAGCCTTTGCCGGGCAAAAATGTAGACTCCCAATATTTTAGTAAGCAGAGAAGGCAAACAGGAATTTGAAAGGTATTTGGCCTGGGGGCCACATTCCATCATAGGCAACCTTCCAGGGGCCACATTCTAGTGGTGGGTGGGGCCAGGGGGAGTGGGGGGAGCAGTGGATGTGACCTCAATGTTATAGGCTAATTTTCAACCACACACAAGTCAGAAAGATCCATACACACAGAGTAGGGACTCTCACCCCCTTTCCCCCCCTCCACCTGGCCACCTCCTTCCTTTACACCTGGGGGGGGGGAATCAACTCCCTTTACACTTCACCTTTCCCTTCACAGCTCTCTCAAACCTCTTTTAAGGAAGGGGGGAGGCGCTTCGGAGAGTGGTTTGGCAAACAGCTCTTTGAAATGCCTTCCCCGTTTGCCTGGGCTGCCTGCTACCTGCTTGCTCTCTCACCTGCCATCCTGTCATCATGCTAGAGTAGAGGTGGCTGCATCATGGCGGTCACATGAACTGCTGCGTGACGACAGCCTTGCCTTTATATATATATAGGAAGATAGCGTACTAGAAGAGCATCGAGCAGCACTTTACGCAAGCTTCCTTTGGATCGTCGGGGATCACAGTTCCTCAGCCTCACTTATACACACACAAGTGCCTGTGTTTTTAATCCTGCCACTAACACCCACTTCCCTCAGGAGGCTTCGCGACCTCTTAGGAACATGGCTAGGCTTGAAGTTGGACTTGAGATGAACACCACTACCAGAGGCAGGATAAATTTACAAGTGGGCTTATTAAGGAGATCTTTATACACAAAGGGAAAAACTAATATCCATATTCGGGACTTAGATGGCACTTTCCACATACTCAAGAGCCACTGCTACTGACTCTAGC